GAACTCAAGGTGAGGTGTCACCACTTTGCCCAAGTCCAGCAGTGATGGATATATATAATACTTGTGGGGAGGATCTATATAAGCTCTGGTGGTGCAATGGCATAGAGCACCACCTCGGAACAGGTGTCATATAAAGGTAAGGTTGAGGGTTCAAGACTGGCTAAGGACATTTTTTTCATATATTTTTCCAGCACTTTAAATGCATTTGGGGCTTATAAACAGATGGTTTTGAGGTCATAGAAAGCATCTCTACACCAGTCAGAAATCATAGACCTACTCTATCCACTACTATCAACGTCTACTATAGCACTATTTCCGTCTACTATAGTGCTACTTTGCACGAATTTGCATTGATAGTGCAAAATAGTGCAATTATTTTTGGGGACCTCTCGATTTTGCGCTATTTTTCACTATCCAACTACTGTGTCTATTAAGAGCTAAATTGTACTAAATAGGTGTAATTCGCAAAGGTGGTTTTTACAGATGAGGGAATTGGACATGTTTGAATCAGCAAGAAGTCGATGAAGAGGGGAAGCACAGAAAGAAATCTTTGTGAGGATTCTGTTTCACCAGACAGAAGTCCTCAGAAACAGTTGCTTTCTGTGTCCCCTCAGCCGCATCAAATGTTTCCGGGCCAAATGTTTTCTCTAGGAGATACAGCCCATGTATGCCGCAATCGTAATCATCTATTTCTCCGACTATCCTAATTTAGTAGAGCTTGACAATGTTCTCTGCACCTTCTCTACTTGAGTAGTGAGAGAGACCACAATGACGACTAGGAGGTTGATGCCCCAGGTCGGATCGGCCTCAGCAAGCTCTCAGCTGAAGGGACCTGGACTGATGTCCTTGCAAACTCAGATAAAAACAGGTGCTATTTGTACTACAATCCCCCAGGAAGCCACCCGAGCAACCCATCAGCAAAAGTGCATTTCGATTGGCCTGAAATATCTTTGAATATAATGTGGGCAATGCACCCAATTGAGCCAATTGATTGGGCCAAGCATGTTAAGTTCTCCCCCGATTCCCTTCAAAGCCTCTTGAAGGGAAGCGAGCCAATCAAAGCCAATCAAAGCCAATTGCCAGACGCCCGTATACGTCTGTAAGCGCCTTGCAAGACTCGCCTTCCAGAAGTGAGCTTCAAGTTGTATTTTGTCAAGAGAGGCTTCCAAAATCTATTCAAACAGGTTATGTAGAGTCTATCTTTCCATTTTACAGAAGACAGTGGAGAACCGGAGTGGTAGGGGCAAGCACAATCTAGCCAATCGATTCTGCCAATTGGCTTCAATTGGCGCCAAAGAGAATCAAGTCCAATTTGTCCCAATTTTGGCTTCCGTAGCCAATTGGGCCAATCAAGGCCAATTATTTTGCACTTTTGCTAATGCCGAACGCAGGAATAATGTCTAGGACTGTCACGCACAGTAGGTCGGACTACGTCTGGATTGACTGGCGTCTCACCGCCACTTAGACCGCATGGCTCATGGTCACGTGTTTGATTGACAGGTCACTGACGGGTCATTGACGCGTCAGTAGGGGGTCGATCGATAGCATTGACACGCATTGACGCATTGACGCATTGACTTTGACACGGACAGCACTGCTCGGAGGGACTTGCAAGCATGGGCAGAGTAGCGCTGAATACCACGTGAGCGTGCGTGCGTGGATCCGTTAGCGCCGTCTGCCACGTGGCCCCACGTCTCCGTCAACGGCCAACGTCGTGAGCGCTCAGCTCAGCAGTCCTCTAGTAGTCCTAGTAGCGCGTTGGGATGCTTGGGCAGTCTAAGGTAAATGATCCGCAACGTAATCCTGGATCCCTCGATCACGACCACAGCACTTGGAAACCAAGGCGTCTGGGGGATTGAGGACCGACGCTGGCAGAGCCCCATATCGACCATCGGCCCGCCGGTGCCCACTACTTTGTAGCATGTGGATTCCAACTTCGAGCCTCCAAGCTTCCATCATTTATCAGAATCGATGATACTGTACGGTGTTCAAGTACATGTTGGCGAGCGACGCAGCCGCTACTTGTAAATCGAAGCAGCGTGTCAGTACATCGTCCAGTATGAGAGCGTTTCGCAATTCAAAGGTGTACATCTCGAGGGTGCCAGTGAATCACAACGTCTCGATCTTTCCAGGCCAGAACGCAGGTCCGCCCTTGTTCGCGTTAAACCAAGGCTCATCGTGCGCCAGGAGCACCCGCACCCTGGGGTTCTCCTCGATCAACGCCTTGATCCGTTCGATATGCTTCTCTGCCTCCTCCGCGTTCGCATGAGCACACCCAAAGTGGGCATGATGGCCGATCTTGCCCTTCCCCGTCAGGAGGCTCCAATGGTGCGCGCTGTCGCCCGCGAGGTAGACCCATCCTCCGTCCGCGGACGTGCGGACGAGGAGGTTGATGTGGCCCGGGACGTGGCCGTGGCCCGCATCGACGACGTAGAGGCTGCCGTCGCCGTAGAAATCGAGCGCGTGCGGGAAGGGCCCGATGGGCGGCCACTCCTCGGGGTCGAGGTACGTCGTGCGGTCCTCGGGGACGACGTCCGCAGGGAGGCCCGAGCTCGGGTTCTTGGGGTACGCGTTGGCGACGAGGGCGCGACCGCCCGCGCCCACGAAGAAGCGCGAGGTCGGGAAGAGGGCGGCGTCGCCGTAGTGGTCGAAGTGGAGGTGGGAGATGAAGACGCGCTTGATGTCGGAGGGCTTCGTGCTACCCTGAGCGAGCGAGTCGGCGACGTCTTGCTGGACGCTGGGCTCGAAATGGAGCTTGTCGGTGATGTAGCTCACGAAGCCGGGCGGCAGCTCACGCCACCCTTTGCGGAGACCCAGGTCTAACAGGATGATGTCGCTGTTGGAGTGGTGGCGGACGAGGAAGGAGAGGGCGGGTACGGTGATGGACTCGTCGTCGCCCACATCGGCCAGGATCCACGCGAGGGGTGCCTTGACGTAGCCTGCTTCGAGTGCGGATACGTCGCAGAAAGCTTGGTTGGCGACAGGAGGTGGAAGACTCATCATGAGAGTGTGCCTGCGATGTCACATGTAAATGACGGCGTCGCTGAATATTGACTAAATGGAGTCATAGGGAGTCTCCGCTCACCGTAAGATAGCCTTAGCGCAGAAGAGTACCAGGGCATGGAGCCTTCATGGCAGCTTTTATGGCTCGAGTGATTGGGATCTCCGTAGGCCGGAGTGCATTTGTCATAAGCTGATCAGCAGGTATCTTGTATGGCACAATAACGCGAATGAATCACAGTTTGAAGACAGGCTGTTTGTGGTTGAGTGGTACAGCACAAACCCTTAGATGCTAACACCGATGTACGTTCCCTGATCACCCTTACTAGTGCCGCTGGATGTGGTAAGCCAGTCAGACTCGAAAGACATCAGGTCGGCAAATATCATCATCGCAGTGCCCCGGGAGCTGGCGTCTATCAGGACCAGGCCCGCCTATTTCCGCCACCCGGTTTGGGAAGTTCTCGTTGGTACACTGGCAATGGTAGTGCTCGTCCCCCTCGCCAGAACTCTACTTCACGCTGACCTTTCGACATATGTAACGTCCATGAGAGTCGGACACTGCACCCATACACTCGATACGTGAGTAACCTATACACACGGTGTCCCAGATCCAGCGCGCTCTTGCCGATTCGTTGTGTTTACTATGGCCAACGGGAAGGAAAGCTTGGTGGAGCGATACCCCTCTTCAGATGACTCCTAACCGGGACGGACTTACCGTACAGGAGCTCGCACCTATGGATAGAGGTATCCGCGCTTGGACGTTTTGCTTCTGTTCGTTTCTACTGGAGACAATGATATGGGGATTCTGCTTCAGGTATTTTCCTATATGCGCGACTATACAATTTGGAATGGAAGCGCAGCTACGGTATCTTCCAAAGTGGGTGCCGCCGTTCGCCGTCTATCTGACTTGGAGGGCTCATCTGGCGACCGTCTGGCACTCGGATCGTTCACTCATCTAGACTACTACACAACTCATCCCCCGTTCAACTCCTCGTCTAGAATGGCCATTGCTGCGGTAGGGACCATCGCGATCGGTTTGCAGTACATAGAGGTATGCATATGGAATCCCCGCCGCCATTTTGTGTGCCAGCCCTCCGTGTGCGCATCAGTCGTCTGACTATGTCGCGGGGTTTTGTGACCGTTCATAGATGTTCCAGATTGCTTGCGTGTACGGTCGCTATCCCGATTATATGAACCGGGGAATGTGGATCGGTCTCGCCTTATACTTTCTGCCCATCTTTGGCGCAAGGTTCGCGACCAGGGTGCGCATTTCCTTGCTCCCATCATCTGGTCGGCTCCTGAGATAGCTTATGACAGGTGTCACAACTCATCCTGCTGCAAGGAGTCGTATTCGGAATCAGCGGCGGGCTGTTGTATGTGCCCATACTCAAACTGATCCCCGAGTATTTTTCGGAGCGGAGTGGTCTCGCATCAGGCATCATCTTTGCCGGGGGAGGTGTCGGAGGTGGGATATCTCCCCAACGTGCGGCTATAGCTATCAGTTATGGAGATAACTGATTCACTCTCAGGATTTTTCTTCGCTTTCATCCTGAATGCTTTATTGGATCAAGTGGGTCTGCGATGGACCCTCCGGATTTGGGCGATCGGATCAACCATAGTCTCGGGTATCGCGCTGCTTGGCGTACGCCCCCGTCTGCCCGTTCCGACCTACGCTTCTGGCCAAAGACGCCCTCGCTTCATCCCTCCACAACTGGGTCTTATGAAGAATCCTCTGTTTTGGAGCGTCGTGCTTTTTCATGCCTTGCATTGCTCGCGGCTGATTCTGAATCACGCGTAGTCCTTAACAATCGCGCTGCAAGGTCTCTCATACTTCCCAGTGTTGCTGTACATCACCAGTTTTACGACGGCGACGTCCACGCCATTGACCGCCGTCATCGTCACGTCCATCTTCAACTCGTCGGCCGTCGGCGGTCAAATCGTCCTGGGCCATCTGAGCGATCGCTACCCATATCCGTGGGTTATGTTCCTGAGCGCGGTCGGAAGCGGAATCGTCGCCTTCCTTCTCTGGGGTCTAGCATCTTCCGCTACGCAGCTCTACTTCTTTGCCGTTATATTCGGCGCGTTGGTGGGTGATTTCCGCCTCCACCGACAGCTACGTTGGGGCATGTTGCTGACTAATTGTCTTGATGTAGAGCGACGGCTCCTCCACCTGGGCCAACGCCTCTTTCGATTGCGCTGGCGGACGACCTGAGCACGCCGGTCTCGCCCTGGGCGGCACGTCCGTCTTCAAGGGTATCTCCGCCGTCATCGGTCCCGTCATCTCTGGGCTACTTCTGGACGCCGGCCGGGGCTCGTCCATCGGTGGAGTCCTTGGCCAGAAAGGCTACGGCATGGTGGAGATTTTCGTCGGATCGTGTGCGATTGCGACTGGGGCGGGGAGTATCCTAGTCGCGTTCATGAGCCGGAGGGCGAACCACGTCTCGTGAAGGAAGGCAAGCGTGTTAGCCGCTTTTGCCTCCCGCTTGCCTCTGGGCGGCATTCCTACCGTTGGCACCCACTCGAAGGTAGAAGATGACCTCGATAGCATGGATATGACTCCTCTCTGCCAAAACTAGAAGCAAAACGTGATAGGCGTAATCATGACCGTGGCAGGTGCGCAGTCTCGATCGTGAATGGTCAGTGCCGTCGGTCTCGACTACGAGATGTCAAGGCGCTCTATCTGAGTCTTAGCTGGACATACTGCAAACCGCATAGTCATGTAGCGATCACCATGATCGCTACGTCATTTCGCGGTTTGCAGTATGTCGCCTCCCGAGCGGTGCTCCCAACCGGTATCCAGCTCGGATTTCTCGAAATGCGCAGGGCCGTCAGGAGCCAGTGACCGGCGATATACCTCCGGTTACATGCATGATTTGTATAAAGAAGGCCCTCGGCGTTGGAAGACTTTGAGAACAAGGGCTCGCAGCCCTCTCGCACCACATATTCGACCTAGCTCAGCATCATCCCAGCAACGCAAAGCCGATGGGGTTCATAGTCGTCCACACTGATAGGAAATGGTTCATAATGGTACGCTCGTCTCAACTTTTCCGTCTGATATCCGCATATGCTAACGCACTGCACTAGTTTTCTGCGGGGATCTTAGCTTCTCTCATCTGCATCGCCTATCAACTCTGCAAACTTGTCACGCTCACAGGGAAACTCCTGGAACAACAGTCTACGGCTGCTCGGCCTCCTCAACCAGGCGTCCCGTCTCCACCCGCATCTGAGGAAACCACTTCAGAGCAGCCGGACGTGACGTACGAGCCACCTAAGAAGTGTGTCAACAAGATGGTAAATTCCATCAGGAGGCGTGGTTCCCTTCCCGCCGCGAGCGCTCGCGCCATTCGGAAGACCATTGGCCTACCGCGGAGCAAATCTTTCATGTGGCCGTCCCATGCAGCGCCTGACGAACGCCAGCCGCCAAGCCTGCCGTCCGTGTCCCGCGACTTTACCCTTGTCAGCAACCCATCCAGTCAGGACGAAATAGAATACACACCAGCCGCGCGACCGCGAGTCCGGATACCCAGGAAGTCTTCTCAGCAGCCAGCCGCGATCGATACCGACGCACTGTCAGCCGTTGATGAATGCCCTATACAAGACCGCGAGCCAGAGCTGAAGCCGTCAAACGACATGCAGAATCAGACTCAGATCACGCTGGCAGGGCCAGTCGACTCGAGCTCCTCACCCGCCGATACGTCGGCACCGCCTTCCAAGCACCGCTCACGTCGACGCGTGAAGGGGCCGCGCCCCCGACCTTCGAGCATGTCCGCCACTGTTGACGGGGATGGACGGCGACGATACGCCCGCCCTGCTCGGCCCGACAACTCCATACCCCACGAGATCTTCGAGACGCGGTTTGAGAATCCCTTCAGGCCGAGGTCGTGGAGCGCCACTCTGAAGCGCGAGAAAGGTGCGTCATTCACAACTCATCACAGCTGGACGCTTGTCTGACATGCCCGCCGTTGAACGTCGACAGGCTCCGCATCCGATACTTCCTCCCAAGCATCGTGCACGTCCAGACGACTCAGCGTTTTCGGGATGCTCTCGACCTTCCGTCAATCCCTCGTCAAGAAATCTGACGGAGACGAATCACCGCGAGACCCCTCTCCCCTGTCTCTGGACTCGAGCGCGTCGTCCACCGGGGCCTCCGTCTCCTCCGCGTCTTCCAGGTCAAGATGGTCGTTCTGCATGCGCAATGGGGTGCCGCGAACGGATCCGTATGGGCCCCCCTACTTCGCGCAGCCGCCGATCCCCTCCGCGGATGCGGATAGAGGGCGACGCGCCGCAGGCCGGATCGCGACATGACCATGAGTTCACGCGTCGAGGTCGAGAAGGGAGAGGAAGCGGGGGCACGACGGGGAGGAATTGGCTCGGTAAACATGGATTGAGGAGACTTGTATTTTAGTTACACGAATGTTTGTGTGTACGGGCCTGTCAGATTGAGATTGACGTTAATGTCTTGTATCCCGCGAAATCCAATGCTCAGGACTCGTGTTGTCCGTTATTATCCCTCGAAACGTTCGTATATTATGTGTACTGCATCTTTTACTATCGCTCCACGACCACTACAGCAATCTACAAGCAGGTAAGGTATCGCTTTAGTGCGTGTTATGCGGGGTCACCGTATACCGTCAGATAATTACCATAATTGTATGACAGCGGCAAAATATCAAACAGCACAGAGGCTGAAACGAAGATATCGCACCGTGCGCACGCCAGCGCACAACATCATGCCACTTCCATCCAAATTCAAGGCATAGCCACCACTCCTAATCAGCGTCCCGTACCGTCACGCCTTCGCGTTCTTCGCTCGCCGCGGCCCCTTCTCATTCTCCGCCTCCTCCACACCCTTCCTCCCACACCTCTCCACGTGCCTCTTACACGAATCGCTCCGCCACACCTTCTCGAGCCCACACGTCGGGCACCGATTCACCGCCCCGACGTGCACCGCGAGCAGGTGCCGCCCGAGGCTGTCGATCGTCCCCGGTGCGTCCTGGCAGGCGTCCGGGAACGGGCACCGGGCCTTCGTGCGGCAGCGCGTGCCGCCCCGGCAGGCGGGGACGCGGCAGAAGTCGCGGTGGTGGTGCGTCCGGAAGTGCGCGCGCCACGCGCCCGCGCTGCCCGAGAGCGCGGCGGGGCACCCGGGCATGGGGCAGCGCTCGTGCTGGGCGGAGGAGACGTAGCCGAGGTAGACCGCGCGTTGGCGTGTTGGGTCGGGTGAGAGGGTGGGGGTGGAAGTGGAGGTAGGAGTGGAGGTAGGAGTGAAGGTAGGAGTGGAGGTAGGAGTGAAGGTAGGAGTGGAGGTAGGAGTGAAGGTAGGAGTGGAGCTAGGAGGAGGGGGCGAGCGACTCGGATGCCCTGGGGGTCCTGAGGGGAGATGGTGCTGGTAGAGATGGGGGGCGTGTGCATGTGCAGTGTTGGGGGTGGACGAGGCGTAATGGCCCGTTTGTTGTGTTGCGCCGGGGGTGAACACGGGTGCGGCGGCGTTGCTGGGCGTCCAGGGGACGGAGGAGGCTGAGGATGTGGATGCGGAACCCTGTCCCGCCGGCACGTGGGGAGCGTTCGAGCCATACGCTGGGACCGTGTACGCATCGCTGGCATATTGACTAAACTTGAACATGCCGTGCGGGACATTGATGGGAGTAGAGGGCGCAATTGGAGGAGTCGGAATGTGCCAGGGGTACGCGGCTTCCACCTGGAAGCACGAGCTGTATAGGCCGAGGCCGAGACCATTCGACGTCGGGGGCTCCTGAACGAGCGGCATCGTGGCCAGTCTGGGCAGGTAGATAGAGTCAGCGTGTCACGAATGGGGCTCGTACGAAGTGGCGACTCACAAGGTAGGATCGCAGAAGCCCTGTGAGCCGTATGAGACGTTATACGCCATTTGTGTCTTGGAGAAATATGGGGGGGAAGGAGAAGGGACTTCGGTGGCTTGGTGAATAGCACTATGACAGCGACTAGGACGAGGGGATTGTTGGTGATGAGTCCATCTGGTCTTCCCTCGAGCCCCTTTTATACAAATATCCCCCGACGCTTTCATTGTGCACATTCACCGACCAGATCGGTGCCCGAACACCTCAATAGCGTGCGGCGGGTCCCCCGACGGACGAGCGCCAAACCGAAAGAGGAAGGCAGGAAAAGCTTCAAGGCCTTCGGCTAGCCTCGGCGCTTTTTCGAAGGGGAATCGGGCGATGCGATCTGAGAAGTGGGACGCTTTGCGAGTATCCATGAAAAGGCCAGGGGCAGTATGTTCCGGGCACGTTGTGGCCTGCCGCATGGTCTTATGTGGCCTTCGATAAGGGAAGATATAAGCGTGCGTACAGATGGGGCTGAAATCAGGCCTGCTCATAAGTCATGAAAGAGAACCGAAGGTGTTCGGCACGAGCTGTCAAGCGTTTCGTTGTGGCCACATGCCTCGAGGCTACTGCCACTCTTTGTGTGAGTGAGCTTGGTCCTTGACAATGAGAAACGTGGCAGCTCGTTGGGTTGCTCCTGTAGTATATACAACGACAAACTCGACGAGGACCCTATACAAGTCCATCTTGATGTTCGTTTGGTCGCTGGCAGCCCATCGACGTGCAGTACTTGGGAACTACGTCAGTGCAGGTCATCAAACAGATATCCTGTTCCATATGCTGAAGGGACTCACCGACAAGCAGCCCACTGAAGCTCCCCGCACTTTTCGCCCGACGTCCTGGGCCAGTTACCGGCGCTGACGAACCATGGCGGCGCGTGCGCCTATGTAGCTTGACCTCGACAACGAGATAGCGCGACACGTCACAGTCAGCTGATTACGGTCACCCTCCTCACAGCGCGCTGGACGCCTATTGATAACAACTTCCGGCGAGCCTGTCGCGACTTCCTGCATCTACATCAAGACAGTACTGGTGATACGTTGTCTACAACAGACTTCAATGGATGGTCCCATGTCTCAGGTGATGTTAACTAAGAAAATCTGTCCGCAACTTTTGGGGCAGCGAGGTGGGATCGGATGGATGAGGTTTTCGCACCTGGCGTTTTGGGTACGCGCCATCTATCTCTTTATGTTCTGACAGTCGCTCATCTCTTCTTGTTGATCGCGCGTGTGAATAGTCTTATGTTACGCCGCGTTAACGGCAGGCTCGAGACGAAGAGAGAAGAAGACCACAAGGCATTAATTGCAGGCATTGGTTGGACCTCGACACGCGAACCGATCTAGGGCCGAATGGGGCCTGTGAAGGGACAGTGCTTGGGACCGCCCTCAAATGCGCCGTCGTCGGTTGATCCCCTTCATAACGCCCCCCACGTACGCTCGTGTCGTATGGGCTGTCGGCCCTGCAGACGGACCGACGACCACAGCCTAAATCCCCCGCTCTCTACGCGCACCACCTCGCACATTAGATTAACATGAACGCGTTCACGGCGCCTAGCCCGTTCTCCGTACCATTCTCAACAAGCAACGCATCTGAAAACCTCGGCTCTCGAGGCAGCGCTCACTACCTGCACTCTCGACCTATTCCAGCAAACCACCCTCCAGAAGCGTCGACCAACTCGCTACCCCCCTCGCCCTTCCTCGACAAGCCCGAGGATGCAGAACTTGACACCGCGGACAAGGAAACGTACTATAGCGAAGTCCCGTCCCTTCCGAGGAAGCGTCCTCTTCACACGCGTCCGTGGGTCATCGCGGTCGCTGGCATCGTCCTCGCCGCCATCGTCGCCCTCGTCGTGTACGCTGTAGCGTCCAGCCCGCACAAGCACGGTCCCGCGGGCAACAAGAGCAGCGACTCCCAGTCTGGTGCTCCGAACGACGTCGGGCAGTCGAGCGACAAGCCAGCTCCATACGTAGAGATCACGACTGGCGGCGACGGAAGCACGGTCACGAAGGAGGACGGCTCCACGTTCACCTACCACAACTCTTTCGGCGGCTACTGTACGTCCCTTCTCCCCTCCCCAGCCGCCTCGTGCGCCCGAAAGGCTGACTATATGCGCGTCCCGCAGGGGTGGCCGACTCGACGAACCCCTTCGACAACGGCGCGCGCGCGAACTCGTGGACGCCCGCGCTCAACCAGACCTGGACGTGGGGCAAGGACCGCATCAACGGCGTCAACCTCGGCGGGCTCTTCGTCCTCGAGCCGTTCATCGTCCCCGCGATCTACGAGCAGAACCCGAAGGCCGTCGACGAGTGGACGCTCAGCACGGCGCTCCAGGGCAAGGGCACGCTCCAGGCGGTGCTCGAGGACCACTACAGCACGTTCATCACCGAGGAGGACCTCGCGCAGATCGCGGGCGCGGGCCTCAACTGGGTCCGGCTCCCGATCCCGTTCTGGGCGGTCGAGGTGTGGGACGACGTCGGGGTGGACGCGGACGGCCAGAAGGTCGCGGAGCCGTTCTTGGCGAAGGTCTGCTGGAAGTGAGTACTTGCGGATCCCTGGCCACGGGGCGACGTCGTGGGGGCTCATGTAGGGATGCGCGCACAGATACGTCGTACGCGTGCTGCAGTGGGCGCGCAAGTACGGCCTTCGTGTCCTGCTCGACCTGCACACTGCTCCTGGCTCCCAGAATGGTGCGTACGCGCTGTCGTTCGTGAGGCTGTCTCTGCTGACCGCTCGCGGTAGGCTTCAACCACTCTGGCAAATCCGGCGCGATCAACTGGTTGAACGGCGTCATGGGCCTCGCCAATGCACAGCGCTCTCTCGACGTCATCCGGTCCATCTTTGAGTTCGCTTCTCAGGTGTGTGCCCGACGGCTTGATTCGTTACGCATCATGGCTGACATGGAGGAATAAGCCTGAATGGCAAGACGTCGTCCCAATGGTCGGTGTTCTCAATGAACCGTACCAAGCCACAGTTGGCGGGGATCAGCTGCGCTCTTTGTGAGTTCCATACTAGGGAGGTGTACCGCGCTACCCAGCCGTTGACGGGAGGCTATAGCTATTATGAGGCTTATAAGATGGTCCGCAACATCACCGGCGTCGGTGAAGGTAAGGGACCTGTCATCGCGTTCCACGATGGTTTCAGTGGGTTCCAGCAATGGGCCGGCTTCCTGGAGGGAGCGGACAGGATTGCGATCGGTGCGCCTAGGTCCGTATTCACTTGAAGCAGCAGATAGCTTACGGGGCGCTCGTTGCAGATGACCATCCCTACTTCGCGTTCGGCGGCCGCCCAAACCGAGAACTTGTGAACGTCACTGCTGACGGCGGCGACGGAACCCTCATGGGCGGCCCTTGGCCCAAGGACGCCTGCGGATGGGCAGACAGTATCGCTAGCAGGTCAGTCGGCCCGCGGTATGAGGGTCCAGACACTGACGACTGCAAGCCAGTCGCACAGCGTTCGGCATCAGCTTCGCGGGCGAGTTCAGCAATGCCATCAACGACTGTGGGCTGTGGGTCATCGGCGTGGACGTGCCCGCGACTTACGGGGCCGGCTGCGACTACTGGTCGGACGCATCGCGCTGGTCGGACGAGACGAAGCAGGGGCTCATGAACTTCGCGATGGCGTCCATGGATGCGCTCGGCGACTGGTTCTTCTGGACGTGGAAGATCGGCAACTCGACGACGACGAACACCGTGCAGGCCCCCCTGTGGTCGTACCAGCTCGGGCTCGAGGGCGGCTGGATGCCCAAGGACCCGCGCCAGGCCGCCGGCACCTGCGCGAAGTTCGGTGCCCCCGTCCCCGCCTGGGACGGCGCGTTCCAGCCGTGGCAGACGGGCGGCGCGGGCGCGGGCCAGATCGCCCCTGAGGCGGCGCAGAATGTCATCGCGTGGCCGCCGCCCAAGCTGCAGAACGCGGGTGGGGGCGGGGGCCCGCTGCCGCAGTACGCGAGCAAGGGCACTCCGGTCACGCTCGCCCCGCCAACGTTCCCCGCCACCGCGACGGTGAAGGTCGGGAACGGGTGGGCGAACCCGCAGGATGACGGGCCGGCGGTTACGCCCATTCCTGGGTGTGCGTATCCGAACGCGTGGGACGCGCTCGAGGCGCAGGCTCCGGACGCGGGATGCACGCCTGATGATGCAGGTGCTGCTCCTCCTGCGGACGGCGCTGACCCTGCTGCTACCCCAGCCCCTGCTGCCTAAGCACCCCGTCAATCGTGCTGCCGCGTCATTCGTTGCCGACGACGGGTGTGGCGGAGGGAATGACTCTTGAGGCCTTAAGGTCGGGCTGGAATGGGATCGCGTTGATTTTGCATGTTGGGGCGCGATGTCGACGGAGCGCAGGAACGTTCTCGCCGTGGTGCATGTGGTCGATTTAGACTCGCCTGGGAGTCGTCGTAATGGACATTGATTAGGGTGTGGCAACTACCGGTGACCGGGTGGTGACTCTCTTCGGCTGAAGGCGAAATTTACCGAGGAACCTCACTCGCGACGGCGTTAATGCGAAGGCACATCGCTGGACCTACAATGACACACTCGCGGCTGTTTCTCGACGTCATGACGTAAATGGTGTGGTTGCAATCGATCCGGCGCTGGTCTCCGTGAACCCACTCTTCGGAACAACGGGGCCGTGGGACGTCTACAGCTCGCAACAGCACTCGATGTATCTATCCTACACTTCCTATCACTGACTTTCTCTTGTTCTCGTGAATCGGGGTCAGCCTCCTGCATGGTATGCTGCAGCTAGTTCTGGAAGGATCGTGTTGACATTACGCTATGCTGATTGCCCGTAAGCACAGTGGGCGTACCAACTAGTCATTGTAGAAGTGATGCCGAGTGTAACGGCAAAAACATTTAATCAAGGTGTTGGTAGTGTCATACATCATGCACCATACGTTGCAACACATGGTGTAGTAAGGGGCTTCTATTGGGAAGAGCCTACGAGTGTCTAAGGCGGTTTCGCTGAGGCGAAGGATGAAGATATTTCATAACACCTATTCGACTACAATGTGACACTAACAAGATATATACTTATCTACTTCGGTAGTGAAACACCCCCCTGCACCTACCTGACATGTCATAGAGGAATACATATCATAATCCCCACCTACATGCAACACACAGACGTCAGTCCGCAAGAGCTCAGTCGAGGACGCACCTCACAGGTTGCGCAGCCACATTGCCAGAGCCCGGCATACTCTATACAACAGCGATCCGTCAGCTTCCCGCCCCCATACTGAGGCGTTATGCGAGGACTCACCAGTCAGAGGCTCAGCCTTGCAATGCGACGCGTCCACTCCGCACAGTCCGAGTCGTCCGTCCCTGACAGACGACTGTATCGGAAAGGCGTTGACCCGCTACCCCTGCCGCTGCAGTTCTTGACGACAGGGGCGAGGACGAGCCCGAGTGGGACACGGCACGAACGTCGACTGCCACCAGGTGGGCTGACCATCGACGGGCGACTGACACCTCGATGCGTATAGCGTACTGTGAGTGGCGACGTCCGTACGGCTCAGATTAGGGAGGGATAGGGAGAGCGTACGTGATTGTGAATCAGCCAATGTAGGTGATGTATCTTAGGCGCAAAATTGCCCAAGAGTACTGGGGAAGCGATCTGCGTCCCACAATCATCATGAGTGGCTGACTGTGCACGACATTGTGGAGGACGTACCAAAGCTGCTGGGCACCGCCGACAACGACTGGGAGCGGGAATTCATTACGGGGGGAGATAGAGGACGCGGGATGGAACGTACAGCGTCGTGAGGAGGTGTCCACGCCAGTAGGCCGAGAACGATCCCAACTCAACGGACATCTCTCGCAGCGAGCGTACGACCAGCGACCCAGCATCACATGCGAGTCGCCGGCGCACCTAGAGCATTGAGAGAGGGAAGAGGAGATGGGAGTTCTGAGGAGAGGAAGGTGGGGCGAGGAGGAGGGCTCTTATAGGCCAGGAGGACAGAGGCTGGCGGGTGATCGGCACGTTCGTACTCGGCACGGCTTCGAAGTACTCAGTGGTCAGCCGAGTTGAGCTACAGATCGCCCATCCTTCTGTGCGCCATGGCTTCTCGTCTCGGGTCAGAATGATCGACTGTGACGGCTGTTTGGTCTGCAGCTGCGTCAGCAAATATTTCGCTGAATCGAGACTACTTCGCCACGGCTGCCAGACATCTGCAATCTACACCGCTGCCTAGAACGGTCAGCCAGATTCGGCTTGAGATCGTCTTGGCGTCGCCTCTGCTCGTGTGCACGGATGGAGAGGACCGCTAGGAGAGATGGGGTGCGGTAGTGGCCAATAGGGTCGAATGTCTGAGCGGCATTCGTCCAAGTGATCCACTTAGACTGGCGCTATCAACCTATACGCTCCGTGAAGCGATTTGGTGTGCATGGCGGTCTGGTCAGCAGGCGAGATGGCGCACTCAGCATGCTGGCAAGCAGGATAGACAGTGTGAGGGTTGCTGGGGACGTCGCCCCTGTACTCGCATGCGTGTACGCGCCCCGCCAGCGGTCTCCTTCGCTTCAGACATACGTGCGTGCTCCAGGATGTGGACGCCGTGAGGATCTTGCGCACAACCGTGATGCAGAGAGCATCGGGACTTACCACGGTGCCCGCGTTATAATCGGTTGTCATGAATAGTTGAAGGGGGTAAATCCTGCTCGCTCACCTGAACATCGGTCGCGTAATGTAAAACGGTACGGGCTGGCATCGGGCCATTGTGCTTACTGTAGTGGACCTGACATGGACCGAAGCAGGTAAGACGAGGGGGGGGAGCAGCTAAGCGATACTCGGAGGAAATAAGGAGGATGAATTCGGTGTGTATACATATGTACATGCAACAATGCACACTCTGCTGAGCAGACGACGTACCTCATGCCTTCCTGCCACCCTTCCCATTCTTGATTCCGAGTGAGTACCCGCCACCGTAATCCTCTCGTTCTTATCACCAGAAGAGATATTGAGGTAGAGCGTTACGGGAGGATGGGCGTACAACCGAAGGTGGGATGGACCGGCGGACGGGAGCCATGGCAAAGGGGGCAAGGCGACGGGAGCAGCGCTGAGCCTGAGCAGAGGGCGTTGACGGAGACTAGCAAGGTCGAGCAACGAGCTCGAGAGAGACGACGTGCGAGAGGGACGCGGATGATCGCGTTTTGACCCGTCTGCGACGTGCTCAGGCCCGGGATGCACTGTAAACGCCCGCTGATCTTGCGCGCCATCACGCTCACCGCATGTCTCGCAGCTTGCTCTTGGACGCACTGGGCCTATCTAACGCGCCGTCTATTCTCTTATGGCGACATAATGACCCCTCTGCCAGCCGCACCTTCAGTCTGCCAGCTCCTGCTAAGAAGCGCTGAATGGACCAGCACCACTCAGGGGGGCACCTCAACGGTCGTGCTGGACAGCCTGTGCAGCATTGTGTTAAGTAATAGAGGGGACGCAGACTATTTTCGACGATGCGCCGAACAGTCTGAGCTTGGAGGTGAAGAAGAGAAGTCATATGCAGACGTCGATGAAGAGGAACGGAAGATCTCTCCCTTAATTCATCGCGATGTTGGCCACACGCCAACTGTACCCACTTACAAATGTTTAGTACATGAGTGAGGCAGGTCGCCACGATACATTTGACTGCTCTCGGGTAGCAATTGGCAGAGACCGCCCGGTACCTGCCACGGGATCAGTCTGCCAGTGAGCACGTAGTAAAGATATTGGTTCACTTCGCAGTGCAAGGTGAGCCGATGCATCTATATTCAGAGATGTTGCTGAAGTAGTACGGTTCATAGACAGCAGACGAATATTTCAGTCGGATGTGCTCGGAGAGGTGGCTGGCCTTCTCTTCACTTCCAAGCCGAGCCGAGTACGAACGTACTCAGCGATCATGATCCTGGCGGGCAGAGCCATGTCCCGTCTGGCTCAGCCTGCCCCTCCTGGTGGTTCGGGTACGTCCTAATACACCAGGATGCCACAAATAACGCGACGCCATGGTAAAAACCCAGCGGCAGGAAGTCTGATCATCGCCAGCGCGACAAACAATCCAACGCTAGTTTTGGCGGTATGTAGTGTAAAATACATAGACCTCTAGCAGCCGTAGTGAAGTGGTCTCGATGCAGCGAGTTGTTGACACAGCTGCAGACTAGACAGACATACACCGTCACAGTCGATCACTACGACCCGAGATGAGAAGTCCTGGCGCACAGAAGGATGGGCGATCTGTAGCTCAACTCGGCTGACCACTGAGTACTTCGAAGCCGTGCCGAGTACGAACGTGCCGATCACCCGCCAGCCTCTGTCCTCCTGGCCTATAAGAGCCCTCCTCCTCGCCCCACCTTCCTCTCCTCAGAACTCCCATCTCCTCTTCCCTCTCTCAATGCTCCAGGTGCGCCGGCGACTCGCATGTGATGTTGGGTCGCTGGTCGTACGCTCGCTGCGAGAGATGTCCATTGAGCTGGGATCGTTCTCGCCCTCCTGGATTGGGCACCTCACGACGCTGTATGTCCCATCCCCCGTCTACCATCTCCCACAATGCTGAACTTGAGCTCTCAGTCAACGTCGGCGGCGCCCAGCAATCCTTGGTACGTCCTTGCATATGTCTTGTACAGTCAGCCACTCATAATGCGGTACTCAGATCGCTGCCCCAGTCCTCTTGGGCAAATTTGCTCGAAGGATTCATCCCCCATATTGGCTGATGCACAACCACGTATGCTCTCCCTATCCCTCCCTAATCTGAGCCGTACTGACGTCGCCACTCACAGTACGCTATACGCATCGAGGTGTCAGTCGCCCGTCGATGGTCAGCCCACCTTGGTGGCAGTCGACGTTCGCGCCGCGTTCCACTCGGGCTCGTCCTCACCCCTGTCGTCAAGAACTGTAGCGGCAGGGGTAGCGGGTCAACGCCTTTCCGATACAGTCGTCTGTCAGGGACGGACGACTCGGACCGTGCGGAGTGGACGCGTCGCATTGCAAGGCTGGGCCTCTGATCGGTGAGTCCTCACCTAGTAACGCCTCAGTATGTGGGCAGGAAGCTGACGGGTTGTTGTTGTGAAGTGTACGCTGGTCTCTGGCAATGTGGCTGCGCAATCTGTGAGGTGCGTCGTCAACTGAGCTCTTGTTGACTGACGTCCGTGTGTTGCATGTAGGTGGGGATTATGATATGTATTCCTCTATGACATGTCAGGTAGGTGCAGGGGGGTGTTTCACTACCGAAGTAGATAAGTATATATCTTGTTAGTGTCACATTGTAGTCGAATAGGTGTTATGAATTATCTTCATCCTTCGCCTCAGCGAAACCGCCTTAGACACTCGTAGGCTCTTCTCAATAGAAGCCCCTTACTACACCATGTGTTGCAAAGTATAATGCATGTTGGAACGCGCACTATGCTTACGGGGAGTCAGCAAAGCGTTAACGACTGAGGGGAGTTCCTCCAGAACCAGATACAGTATTTCATGCAGCGGACTAGGACGTCGTCCCATTTGAAGGCAATGCCACATGGTATGTGCGATCATCGTGTTCGGGGTGTTGTGATGCGCATTGCATCGCTGTTCCTCCACACCCTCATCCTCTCATCCGAGCACGCCGACACGAGGTCCTTCCAATGTGCGAATTGGAACACCGTGCCTGCGGATTAGTTGCTAGTTGAAGCATGAGCGAATGCTGCTTATGACATCCTCGTGCGATATCTGTTCATCCTTTCTCAGCAGATTTCCAAGGAAGTTGGGGCTACTTCAAACCCGTGGCGTTACTTCACGCGAGCGGGCATGTGACTATACATGCTATATTCAACTCGACTTCTTGACGACATCCAGAAGCTTAGCGAAGTCGGGCGTGCCAAGCCCAGTGACCTGTACGCCCTTATGAGTCGGGATCTCATATTACGAAAGCAAGTGACTACGTACCGGATCCCATCCCTCCGACGTAGGGAACCCATCCGTACCGCATCCAGGATTGTTGCTTTGCGTGATATCATTGAGTGCAGACGCTGCCGAGGAGTAAAGGAGTGGGTTCAAGAACCCAAGCGGCTGTCCCCCATCCTGGAATACGGCGTCGTTCAAGAGCGCTACTACCCCCGCGACAGTGGGGCCCGCCGCGCTGGTGCCAGAAACGGATATCGTTTGGCCGCCACGAACGACCTGGAAGCTCTTCGCCTGCGCGGCTATATCGGGAAAGCCGCGCCCGGAAGCGTTGAACAAGCCCTTGTTGGTACTGCCAAGCGTCTTGAGGTAGGCCGGGACGACGTCGTCCTGGTACTTCGGACGCGCAAAGACGTTGGAGAAGCCACCCGCGGAGAAGGAGACGGCGACCTCTGGTCCGAAGCTGTTTGTCCCGCCGACGGATGTAACGCTGAATGACGTTCCTTGTCAGATGGCCAGTGGCATGAAGGACGTATTTTCTCACAATGGGCATGAGGACGGGAAGGTGGGAACGAAGGTTGTACAGTTTTGGTTCTGGATGCCGGCAACTCCACCATCTCCCGAGCCGAAGATGATTGTGGTGCCGCGCGCGCCGAGCTTGGCATACGCGTTGCACAGGTTGCTTGAAAAGATATCAGCGCCTGCAGATCGAGAACAACGGATGACTGCACTCACTTCGCCAGACCAACCGGTACATCCTTCTCGTTGAAACCGAAGCTTGTTGTGAGAACAAAAGGTGGCTCCTCTTGTGAGATGAGATCATTGATAACGTCGAGAAATCCAGCTATGCCGTCGGTGTTATTTGATCCGACGGAAACGAATGTTGTGTCGACACCCGCTGCAACCCCGACCGTGTATTGCACGTCCAAGCTCTAGGAGCCCAAAATTTGTGGTGAACTCGTTAACATCCCGTGCAAATGAGTGGTACGCACGGCCTCGATTGTCGCCTTGGAGGCGTTGTTTGTTCCTCCATCGACAGCCTTCACACGGAAAGTCGTCCCTTGGCTTACGTCTGGACGGAACTCACCCAAGAATTTCTGGTATACATCGCATTAGGTATTCGTGCATGTTTGCAAAAACGACAGCCAACCTTCAGATCTGCTGGGTCTGCCGACTCCCCGACGAAGCTTGCCACAAAGATGTTGCTGGATGTGTTGAGCGCCGAGTCCGGAGGAATGTTATAGATAGCTTGCAAGCATGCAGGGGTGATCTTCGTTTTGCACGAGTCGTCCGGCGAGACAGGCCCCGTCGCTTGCGCAGGCTTAGATGTGGTCATCGCCGGAATGGCGTTGAGAGTTGTCCGACTCTTCCTGTTACCTCGCGCCCGCTTCGAGATGCCGTGAGTGCTCGTCTCCCGCGATTGCATAATCTGTAGCTCAGCGGGTACTGGTCTTGGAGCAACAAACCTGTTGGGCCGGCCCCGCTTATTAGCTCGCACTCCGGCGTGGGTCGCAAATGACTCACGCAGTCGCTGGGTAGATGAAATCGAGGTGTCCCTTCACGCTGGCTGGGACGGAATATGACATCGTACGCAGGACGGTGAGACCCGTCTCGTCGTGGCTATACTCGTTGAACTGCGTGTCCAACAACGCGTTCGCCTGCGAGACAGGAATGCGGATCTTCATCCACTCCCCAGTCGCCGAGGTCTGCGCGGTGACATTGTTCTTGGCCAGCCAGGTCGTAACCGCTTGCACGCTCTCAGGCTTTGGTGCTATGAAGGCATCAGCCTATTTTCCACAGTCAGCGCACAATTCTTCTATGGACATCTCCTGGCTTGCAATTGCGTACCTGGGCCTTAGTGAGATGCTTGCGATAGTTCTTGTTCCCAGGCGTGCTGACATCATACAGCGCGGCCTCCAGTCCAGCGGGATCGCTCTGGACAAGCGCGATCCTGAGGTCCAACGTCGCATTCGGGGCTGCCTTCCCTACGTACTTGAAGCCGTTCGGGACATCCGAGCGCTTCTCGTGAACATGAAAGACATCATGCGCGGTGGGCTGGCCCAAAGCAAGAGAAGAGAAAAGACTAAAGAGGAGCAGACCTGCTGCGATCATCTCGATAAGTGAAACAGTCCTCAAGGACGGAAAGGCGACGGGACCTTGGCCGGGGAGGAAGGCGGGCGAGCGGGAGAATACGAGCTAGGTTCTTATACGCTACCCCCGCTGTTGAGCGCATGACTCGAGACACATAGGGCATGATCTTCGATGTTCTGGACTTGGATGATAGACCGCGCTTTCGCTCCTACACAGCTTATGATCAGAGGCCGGCCATTTCAGGGGAGAGATGTTGTCGTGCGCTCGGGCTGATGGCTGCAAGTCCACGTTGGTCGACACTTTCAAGTCACGGTCGATAGCCTTATCCGCAAGGAGTACAACGTGTATCGAGGTCAGTAGGCCAAACGTAAGTACTTGCTCAAGCTATACATACCTACGGCGAATGCGATCGAAGGCAAGCAGTTCCAAAATATCAACACGTCCTCCTGGCGGCATCAAACCCGTCGTCATGACCTTAGATCTGATTCAGATGGCTCTTGCTTCATCGCGTCGACGGTGCCTGGTGGATTTGTCGCCCAGTGCAAACGTAGCGATCGAGACTCGAGACTCGATGCCGAGTTGATGCTGAGTCAACTCGGAAGTGCTCAATTCCTGATTGCAAAAGTTACGACACTTGTGGCGATGCACCTACGCTATATATGTACCATACAACATGGTTTCTTTAGTGTTAGAGACGCTAAGCTGAGCGGAAAGTGAACCTGTACTTAGCCAGCCATACAGTATAGTGGTACCAATACATTTGCGAGAACAACGAAAGCAATAGACGTGATGTATTCGACTATCTGCACCCGCGCCTCCAGGACTCTTCATACCGCAGTGGTCGCCGAGTCCGATGCCGCAGCTGAGCTAGAAGCAGCTGCTGTGGTCGCCGGGTCGCGAGGGTGGAAGAAGCCAAGTAGGTGCGAGTACTCGAAACCGGACTCCTGTTGCCAGCTATCGATGCGGCCTTTCATTACCTCGTCCCAGAACATCGTCGGCGTCTGCTCGTTGGTCTCCAAGAATTTCCTGATATGCTTCTCCCACTTCTTCACCAGGGAGAACTTCAACTCGTGCGACGAGATGTACGTCCCCTCGGGGTCGAATGGTGGGAGCCCCTCCTGATACGCGACGAGCCCCGCCTGCGCGAGCCAGTAGAACGGAAGGGCATTGAAGCAAAAGCGCTGCTGTGACTCGGGCACGTCCCGCGGCGTCTCGGGAGACTGCAACCAGCTCTGGAGCCAGTAGTGCAGGAGGATCTGGACGTGGAAGACGCGGTCCTTGTCGACGAAGTGCGGATTCAGCTTCGGGCGCCCGCCTGCGTCGCCCGGTTGGTGGAACTGGAGGCGGTCGCGAAGGTACATCTCGAACAGCTTGCGCATCATGGCATGGATCATGAGGAAGTGCCCGAAGGGCGTGAGGTGGAAGGGGCGCGGCTCGTTGCTCGGGTTGTTCTGCGCCAGATAGAAATAGAGGGCTTTGAGGTAGGTCCCGCGGAGCCGGACCTCCATGTTTCCGTAGGGGGAGGGTGTGTTGAGGAGCGCGGCCCATTCGGTAGCGTCCTTTGCAGTCCAGAGGCCATCCTCTGCCGGCAAGCCCAGAGTGAATTGCTCGGTGTGGAAGGTTGGAGAGAGGTTGAAGTAGATGGAGTGACAACAGTCGTGGAGGTAACAAATCCAGAGCGCCCTAGAGATTCTCTAAGTATGCAACACCGAAACATTTACACGGCTAGACAAACCTCTTGGCAGACTCGTGTCTGACCCACTCTCTCCACCCCGTCTGCACCGACACTGGGTCGTTGAAGTTAATTTCCGGAAGCTTCCAGTCACGTGTCTTCTCAACGAAGCCGTTCATCCGGAGCATCTGCACGCGCTGTCAGGAGAGGTCGCCACAAATGAGAGTGATAGAGCATACCATCACGATCATACCATGATAAACATTTGACTTGGCTCGTTGCTCAGGATTCTTGTGGAACATCCCGATGGTCTGGACCATCACCGATGCTAAAGTTAACTGGATGATGGTGTCGTAATCTGTCGCATGGGACTGCGACACTGTCAGCATTTGCTCATGTAGCGATTGATGATGTACGCACCAGGTCAGCGATGATGTCGTCGCGCACAGTCGCGAGGACTCGATCTATGAAATTTGTCGCCGCTTGTGTGCCTGAGTACATCGCGCCACAGGCTTTTGACGCTTTGACCAGGGCAGGATGTCGAGACTCCATTAGGAACGTGGGGACGTGTACGATCGGCATGTGCCACGCGTATGTCGTGAGGAATGCCATGACTGTGGAGGGCTATGAGCTTTCAAGGCGGAAAAGCCAGGATGCAAGACGGCATACCGAACTGGTAGTACTCTGCCACCGTTGGCATCTCGGGGTTGATGACTGCAACCGTTTGGTCCGTCGGCGGCGGCGGCGGCGGAAGGGGCTCGATGATCTCCTGCTCCGAGATGCTCTCCAGAGGGTCGGATGGGAAGGCAGGGTCTGAAAGATTCGGATACATCGCCAAGCTAGCGTTGTGGGTGCCAAAATATTGTTCGATGATCGCTTGGTCGATAGTTGTGAACTCCAGACGGTCTGTGAGGATCGAAGTGGAATCCATGTTAAAGTGGTGACCGGGGACGGTCGGGTTCTTTTGGAAGCTGGACGTGAAGAGACCCGAGAAAAGATTGTCGTACATCTCGCTCGAGAACAGTTCAGTGAGGTAGCTTTTCTCCCCAGGGCTTTCAGGATCTCCCGCGGTGGATGCGACAAGCGCACTCGTGTTGAACACGGGAAGTGTAGTGTTGAGGTCAAGTGGGTCAGCTGGTATGGAGAAAGAAGACAGCGGGGGTGGATGGTTTAGAAGGTCAGGGGCTGTCGTTGGATTTGAGACCGTTTCCGAGGAGCTGTTCGATGTTTGAGGAGAGACGTTCACCTCGGGTGAGGAATCCGGCTGCGTCGATGAAGTAGACGGCGAGACCGTGCTAACCTCTGGGGACGAAGCGACGTCCTGGGAATTATTGGCGCAGGCCTCGGTGTTCGAGCCGATCCCCGGGGTGTTTAGATAGACGCACTCGCGGCCACGAGCTTTGCATTTCGTGCATGGCCGTCCCAGATCACACTTGACCTTCGAGTCGGCGCAGTTTTGGCATGATTTGCGTCGCGACCGGTTAGCAGATCTACAATTAGGCATAACACAACCCAGATCAGCAAGCACCAAGGGGCCAGGCTTAGGGTGCCACTCACGAATCGGCGCAGGTACGTTTGTGCCGGGTAAGTAGGTCACTACGAGTGAACTGAGCATGGCATCGCTACAAGAGGGCTGTTAGGTTTAGCGCGGTGATCATGTGAGATATAAACTCACGTCGCATTCGTGAAGTCGTTCATTAGAGTCTACAATGAGCAGTTTTATCAATTCCGAACGGACAATTCGTGAGACAAAGCTACGCACGAGTCTTGAGGTGTCGATTCAAATGGGTCGTCCGCGTGAACCTTGCCGGACACAGAGGACAGAACTTTGTCTGTGGGAGCGTCGGGACGTTACCCCTATGGGAGCGCATCTTGGACACGCTGCCATTCTTGGTGACTCTGCTGCCGACTCCGGCGGCCTCGGAGGCAGTGTTGGTTGTCGCGGAGGTGGAAGGTGCCTCCGGGGCAGCTTCTCCTGCCAGTTGTGGCTGAACGGTATCGCCGGACATCGTATGAGCCTCAAGGATGTAGTCGACAACAGCGGTGGCTTTATATGATGCCGCCTGCGGGATAAGCAAGCAGGCCGAAAGACGCGCAATCCCGTCGATCCAAGTCACCCCTCGGCGCCGTGCCACGTGCGCAAACAGACGCCCAGATCCATATCGCCGTCCACTTACTAAGCTACCTTCCATTATGTAGAGTGTCGTCTCCTCTCTAGAAGCTGATGACCACTGGGATTTGCAAAATGGAATTGAATCAATCAGCACTTCTCTCTGGGCGATTGACTGGCTAGCACCAACGGTTCTACCCCATGTCAGATCCTAGACAACATCCGCACGGTAACAAGAACGGGGCAAGCTCTGCACGTCGCTGATCTCCTAGAATCGTGTCCCAACATATTATCAGGGGTCAGCTCCGATAGATATCACTGGCTCTAAGCCACGGATGGCGGCGGGAATTCACAAGAGCGACTAATTCTCGAACCTAAGGTCCGTGAGATGCAAGTTGTACAACACTTTCTCGGACCTCTTCGAGAAACCCCTGAAAGCCTTTCTGTCAGTATTAGGCCATTATCGGCAAGACCGCGACGCGCCTTGTGGTACATGTACGGCTTTCGCGATCTGCGTCGATATGGGAGAACTTACATCACTTTTGGACAACTTACATAGTCGCTAGATCATCTAATGACTGAAACGCAGAAGCTCTGGACGCGCACCGCCCGCCGTAGACATGTCACCGGACTCAAGTGATAAACCTCAAACGTTATGCCCTCCCCTCCCCCTCCTGTTAAGCTTCTCAAGCATGGTTGCCGCTCACAATTCTCACAAATACACGATAAGCGCTTCCGACGCAAGCACCGAAACCGTTAACGCACCCCCGTTCACCGCCACACTCTCCGTCCCCTCCGTCCCTTGCCTCACGCAGCTGCCCGAGAACGTCCCATTGCCCCCGATCGTCACCTGCGCGCCCTCGTCCGTCCGGCTCGTCGCGTCCGGCGCCGTCAGCCGCTTCGCGCTCTTCGTCCCGCTGGCGGTCGTCAGCCCAGTGAACTGCACGGTCGTCGCCGCGCGCGTCCCAGTGCCGTTGTAATAGTTCGTGTTGACAACGAGCAGCCGCAGGGGCGCATTCGCGGAGGAGTAGACGGCGTATGCCGCGATCGCGGACGTGCCGTTGTCGAGAGCGGCGAGCTGAGCGCCGTCTGCGCCGAGGAACTCGGACACGAAGACGGCCCCGTAGTAGGGCGAGTAGACGGCGCTCTGGCCCCACCAGCAGTATGCCTAGATTATGGAACACGGAATGCGAACGAATCGCGCAGATCAGTGGGAATAACCCGACCTCTAGGGACATCGGACGGGAAAAAGAAGTGGATGCTTACACAGTTGCTGATGGTCCCGTGGTGGAAATACAGACGGTCGACGCCGATGAGGGCACTCTGCAGGACATAGTCAATGATCCAGAGCCCAGCCCCAAAGGTAGGGCTGATGCCACCCCCGCCACAAGTCGCTGAGTTACATGTCAATTCGCCGTTAAGCCAACAGTTACAATCAAGTCATGGGACACGCCATGCTCACCTGAGTTGGTCTCGCCCAGGAAGAACTTCTTTCCAGCGTTATGCGCTATAGTCGCCTCTGCCTTGTACTGGCTCACATATGATACAATTCCCCTGTAGGACGCCGTGAGACGAAATAGGTAAGGGATTCCGGCAGAAATCCGTAGTTCGACGAGAAGACTCACGAATGGCTCATTAGACTTGGCAGGTTGGTGCTCGCGCCACCGCAAGCCGACTGCGGATAGGAATGACGGGAGATGGTCTTGATGGTGGCCAGGGCCGCGCTGCCGATGCCCGAAACCAGCGTCGAGGTGTTCCAGGAAAGGTAAACAGCACCCTGGAAGATATTTCCGAGCTACCAAGTGGAAACATCTGGGTACTAGATTCCGAATGGGACAGAGATTGAGGTACGAACAGTCGGTGCAAGGGCCGTAAACCACTTCGCCTCATTGGAAATGTCGATGGAGTTGCTCCAGCCGGTTCCTGACGCTATAGGTGAGCTGCTAGAGTACACTATGAACATGCTATGTCAACATTCTGATCATTTGACCAAGACTCTAGAAAACCCACAGTCCGGCTCATTTCCGAGCTCGAACGCGAGCAGCCTGCTTACGGAGGACTTCGCCAGCGATGCCGCGGAGAGCGTGTTCGCCTGGTTGTTCAGCTGACGGTTAAGCCCGACCGTGACGTCGCCCTTCAGCCCGTTCGCGAGAGTGAAGAAGGATGGGCCGTATGTAAGGCTCGTCGGAGCGTCGGCAGGCGAAGCTACCGTATAGTTGACTGCAGTCTGCAGGGATGCATTGTACGTCGCACGGTCCCTAGGCACGAAGGCGTAACATTCAGTGTTTATGTAGTCCCTGAAGCTTCAGCGAAGCTTACTGGGTCGTGCCGCCAATGCGGACGGCGGGCTGCGCGCCTCTGAGAGTAGCAAGGTTCGCAAGGCAGTTGTTCGTTCCCGTGATGTTGGTGTAGCCTGGGAAAGCGAAGAATTCTACCGAGACGCTGACGAGCGAGGGGTCGACAGAGACCGCTCCCGAGGGTGTTGTTGACGGTACTGCAATAGCGCGGACATAGCCCACCGATAGGACAGTGACAAGGATAGCAGCGAAGCGTGCCATGAGCCTCTGGAAGTTGCGCAGCGTAGCGTCGTAGAAACTACGGTGACGGAGGTTGCGGCGGGTTTATATCACGGCTCGGTACGACATCGGTGAAGTGTTCCGTGCATCGGAGGTCACGTTTGGCATTGAGCTCGGCCAAGAGACGCAGTATCGCTTGTTCACGGACCGTACGCGGCCTCCGTCGTGCAGAAGACTGTGATCATGTGGTCATACGTAAGAAACGGAACGTCGCATATGGACCTGTTTAGAATGCGGTGAATTAGCACACTCCAGAATCTGCAAACGGAAATACACAGGCAGAACGTGGTACCTTCATGTTTCGTCCTTGGCAGTCCCTGACTGGATGTCATACAATTGCTTCAGCTGGTTCGTCGTCTTGGGATTAAACCCCACAGTCACTTTCGCAAGCCACGCGTATAGGGAAGGCCGTTGTTCGAGGAGGAAGCCGAAGATGCGACTGTGATATGTGTGCCCTGCAACGTGCGAACACGAATGCAAACAATCAGTTCAAGAACGTCCTGCACCATCCGGGACGGGGCCCATCTCACGAGGGCAGAAGAGCAGGCCCGGGAGTCCCTCAGGCTACTTCGTAGGCGCACAGTCACGTGGGTCACGGGGCTCGCGATCTAGCCGCGAGTGTCTTTCAAGGAGACCATCCTCTATCCTTCTTTTCAGATCATGAAACTCGATGCTTGACGAAACTCTACAAGCCCAAGCTCGTGCTATAGGTACGAAAGATCTGAGGAGCTATGCAAGCGCCGCAATGGTCACAACGTATGCCGTCGCAGACTACCGTTTGGACTCAGCGTGCCCTTAGCTTTCAATCACAATGTCGGGGCTTCGTCCACCTTGTGATGAATACCGTTCTTGGGTGACATAGTAAGCTCAAGGTTTTTTGTAAGCCTTCAGTTGTCTCTAACAGCCGCATGGAGTCAATCACCACCAGTTCGAGCGATGGTTGATACAATGCTCACCCTTCGCCCAGCTGTTCTCATATATTCTCCCTTCTACTGTACTAGTGAGTTACAGCCTTTTATTAGACCCTACGGTCCAATGTGCTGACGAATGGACCGCAACGCAACAGACATGCGGGTCCCCATCCCTTCCTCGTACCTGGGCTCTCCGTTATCACACCGCGACATTTCTTTCATGTCGCCATGGATCACTGCAAATTCTACAACAAAGTACGCTGATAAATTCTCACGCTGACGCGTTTCCGTTTCCAATTCCCATGTGGCTACTTAGCACAGACCGCGCCGAACTCCACTACAGCCCTGAGCACATTCTATAAGGATACACGATTCTCTCTCACGTCTGGGGAACAAGAGAGCAGAACTTCCTGCCTACCGTATGGCAGTCAGGGTTTGTGGATATATCCCAAAGCTGATCTCGGCGCAGAAAGTCAACGCCTACGTCCTCGTATGATATCGTGCCCATCGAATCAATATTGTCGACATCTCCAGTGTGTTGCCTGCAGGGTACGCAATTCGAACCATGTACCAGCCTAGAACGCTGGAAGCTCATGATTAGTGGTGAGCTCTTGGGGTGCTCCTCCTCACGGGTGGGGATGTGATACCAGGTATGACGTCACCTCCACTGCGCTCTGGATTAGCTCCCTAATAGTAGCACTACTTAGTGCTGCGGCTTTCGACATGCATTCTACCCTCCTCAACCCAAGTCCCAAACTTGCATCGTGCCGATCATGGTGCTTCCTCGAACATCCCTCGCGCACACCCTCAAGGGACACCTGCGTCCCCGACCCCTCCCCACCCCTCGCGCCCTTCACAGCACTGCTCGCCTAGCTAACCAGAAGGACCACCCCTTCTCCTTCCTCCCGGCCAACTCCCTGGAACCCAAGGCCTCGCGCGCCAAAGGGCTCACCGAGATCCGCGGCCCGTACTACGCCCCAGTCACTAATACTTACCTTGACGAGCTCCTGTCGGACTGGGGCGAATATGTGGATGGTGTCAAGTTCGCAGGAGGCGCGTTCTCGCTCATGCCCGAGGACAGGCTGCGTGGCCTTATCGAGACCGCGCACAGACATGGTGAGCACGCTCCAAGTGGCCACGTCTTCCGCGCCCGACTGTAACCTTCCGAGTTAGGATGCTACGTGAGTACAGGCGGGTACATTGAACGCGTCCTGTCCGCCTCCGGAGGAAACAAGTCGGTCGTCTCTAAGTATCTGACGACGTGCAAAAACCTGGGGTACGACGCACTTGTTTCAGATTCTTCGCGTGTCCCGCTCACCTATGGACGTCTGCATGCAGTTTTGATGTCCTGGAAATCTCTTCTGGATTCCTCTCCATCCCCACAGACGACTGGGCGTCCCTCATCGAGTTCACCGCTGCCCATGGCCTCAAGCCGAAGCCCGAAGTGGGCATCCAGTAAGCACGTCTCCGCATCACAGCATAGAACACCCGCTCACCTCTCTGCGCGATTCCAGGTGGGGCGCAGGCGGTGATGCCTCCGTCGAAGAGCTCGAGTCCGCGGGTACGCGCGACCCCAAGTGGCTCATCGACCGCGCGAAGAAGTTCATCGACGCCGGCGCATACGTACGTCTTCTCCCGCGCGCCCTTTGCAAGGACAGCTGAGACGAATAACACTCCTTTCCGCTCGTGCTCGTAGATGATCATGATCGAGAGCGAGGGCATCACTGAGAACGTGAACAACTGGCGCACGGACGTCATCTCCGCCGTCACCTCCGCGCTCCCCAACGAGAAGATCATGTATGTCCCCCGTTGTCTCTCCTAGACACAACAGAATTCTCCTGGATTATTATTGTGTACGCTCGCCAACAGGTTCGAGGCGGCGGACCCGGACGTGTTCGCGTACCACATCCAGAACCAGGGCGCGCGCGCGAACCTATTCATCGACCACTCGCAGGTCGTGCAACTTGCGTGCCTGCGCCGCGGCATCTGGGGCACGGGCAGCACCTTCGCGCGCGTCGTCACCTTCGAGGGCGCAGGCGAACACTTCCGCAAGGGCGGGCGGGCGGTGGAGAACAAGCCTTCCGAGTCGTATTGAGCTGATGGGGGGGAGGTAGAGAAGCGAGATCCCGTTGCAAATGTAATGTACGATTACGCATTTTAGGCATGGATTTGCATTGATTATGTCTGAAATCACGTCGCGGGACCTCCAGCGGGGGTCCTGTTCTGGACTGATCGGAAACGGTGAGGGGGGAAATCGTATCTTGAGTCGTGTCATCACATCAAAAACTCGTACAACAAGACAACTGATAGGAAAGCTCCAGCAGCATTCGCTCCTAGACTATCCGCAGAACTCGAAACCAGGGCATCCGATCGCGGTACCAAATCCTGCCGCAGCGGGTGAGATGACATCAACAGACGTGACAATAGCGCAACTCACGAGAGCCGTCGACCTTCGCGACCGCGAGGAGGGCCTGCATGACACCGCCCAGACCCTCGCCAGCGAGCATACCCGCCTGAAGAGCAGCAAACAGTCGCCTGTCAGGTGTGGCCATATAACAAGATGGGCACATATGTGCGCCGCAATCGAGGGGGACTTACGGCGACGGCGAACATGTACATGTCGAACCCGTGTGGGCTCTTCTTCTGCCAGAAGCAGTTGAAGACAGAGCCGAACGCCCTGCAGGACAGGTTGTTAGGAGCGGCGCTATGCTTATATTGCGAGACGATGGACTCACATCGCGATGGAGAAGGGGATTTGAGGGGCGACGAAGGCCTGTACGTCATCTACGTTGAGCAAGCGAACATCGCAAGGCACGATATACGATCCGAGCATGGCAAGACACTCACGAGCCCAATCGCGTTCCAGTTCGGGATCCAATGCCAGTAACGCTTCGGGATCCAGAGGTGCTTCACAACGACCATGGCGACGGTGAAGATCCCCAGCGCGATCGCAGTGAAGCCCGATGACTTCGGGATAGCTACATGATGCACGAAGCGTCAATCGCACTCATGCGGAATGTTTTCGAAAAAAGAAAGGGCATACGCAGATTTGGGAGGGATACGGCCTCGGCGACGGCGACCCACGCACTGACACTAGGTGCTTGGTAAGGGCATTCCTGTCCAGTCACGGGGTGCCTGTAGTCGTGAATTAGTGAACCTGTGGGACTGCGCATACAGTCACAGGAGTAGGACTGCGTACAAGATGCAAGGGCTAGCGGTGCTGAAGAGGATGAAGAGCCCGACGTTGAGGAAGATCGCGACGACGGCGCCGCAGAGCTGCGCGACGAACTGGTTCTTGGGCTTTGCGCGCAGGAGGTATCCAGTCTTCAGGTCACCTTTTCACAGGAACACTCAAGACCACGCTCACTGAAGAACGATGAAGGACTCACCAGTCATGTCGGTAGACTGCGCCGCGGAACCCGCGGCAACGATACCCGCCGTCAAGTTCATCGTCTCGGCCGGCCTGAGCGCGAGGTGCGCCCCTTTCCCAATGCCACCAAAGATGAGCTGGGACGCCTTCGCGACGGCGGTGACGGGGTTCACGTCAGTCGTGCCGGCGGACTGCACGCCGACGAAGGAGAACGCGAAGCCGAGGATTAGCGAGAGAAGCGCCTCGCCGACGTTCATGTTGAACATGGTGGCGAGGATCGCGCAGCACATGATGATGCTCGCGAGCAGACCTGTCGTCCACCAGAGCGTTGGCACGCGGTCTTCGGGTGGCGTCTGGTCCTCGTCGTCTTCGTCCTCGTCGGTGAAGCTCTTGAGCCAGCTGCGGGGGTTAAAGCTCGCGTTGCGGAGGCCTTATAGACGGGACAATAAGACTCGTAGGATAGCAACGCTCGGAAGAAAGGCGCAAGTGGAAGACATACCGCTGATGATGAATCCAGAGTTCATGCCAAGGTCAGTGAATGAGTAGCACAGCATCATCAAAATGCCGGGCCCTGTACGGCCTTCAGCATTGCGGTGCGAGGTTTTCTGATGCCGTGACCTACATAGTAGCCAGTAGCGAGGCGAAGGCGCTTGCGTGAAGTCGGAAGGAGTATCGAATGCGAGGGCGTTGTAGGAGACGAGGGGGAACTGGTCAGAAACCGACTCGCCAACTGCGAGCTTGTTCTTGATCAACGATGGCGCGACTAGGGATGGTGTGATCAGTTGCGTGAGGATGGTAGGGCGGATGTGATACGTACTGATACCCCACGCGAGGATAGAGCCGCCGACTAAGTACACAACAAGGCCCGTGAGCATGAATGCGTAGTTCTAAACGCCCTTATGACTCACAGAAACTCCAACTGGCGTTAAGACCAGACAGCATGCCAGCACCGAAGAATGCAGGAGTAACTGCATATGCCATGAGACGGGTGTGGGTATGAGTAGATCCAGGTACGCACACTCGATCCACCAGTCATAGTTATCTAAGGAGATGATGCTGGTGAAACCGATCTGGTAGAGCGTCCAGCCGATGTGCCAGTCGAAGAGCTGATATGATTCATGTAACACCAGTATCAGCGAATGACCAATCAGTTGCCGTTTTAGTAGAAACGCTGACCACGCCCGGAGCATACCCGCTGAGGACCTTGAAGCAGAAGCAGGCGACAAATGACCACAGCAGCGCAAGTGACTTCTTCTTAGCCACAATCGCGCCCGTCCTGCTATTATGCAATGCACGAATCGTGACAGCCGTCGCAGCGGGCGTCGGGAATGTCAGCTTCTGCCGCACAATATAGTATTTCCGAAGGGGAATGACGAAGAACACGCCAAAGAACCCTGCGCAGGCCGTGACTGCAATCAACTTGCCGATGTCCTGCTTTGGCAAGGGGGAGAGTAAATTGAGTCGGTACATAGCCGGAACGGCGCTGACGAACAATATGCCGATACCACCGGCAGCTGAATGTTGCGGCAGGGCCGTGTGCGAAAGTTGCAAGTATATGTGAGAACGCCGAGATCATTGTCAACGGGCCAGCGGCCATGGGCCATGGGATCAGGACACGTACCTGTCGCTGCGCTTTGAACTGTACAGTTCTCCTTGGGACCGAACGGCCCCCCGAAGAGCTTTCCGAGGATGCCGGACTCGGGCAAGGCTTTAGAGAGAGGCTTAATGATCGCAAAACCGAAGATTGCCTAGCATACATCCTGTACGTTAGTGGGGATTCTGAGCCATGCAAAAGCGGGATGACCTACACCGAAGAGCTAGACCGGAAGAAGTTGAGTACACGCCAGAAGATGGTCTACGTGACCCCTCACCTGAGGTCCGAATGTGAAGCCCGTTTTGAGACCGAGGTAGATATTGGAGGCACCAACTTTCAGAGCCGTCAGCACTCTCACAGTTTTCGGTGCTCACAGCATTTCTCACCGACAGCACCAAGAGCGCATCCTACGACAATTGCTCTACGGCACTTTCAGTGATCTACTAGCGAGACAATCTGACTAATCACTGCACCTGAGTGTCAGCTGATGAGTTTCGACCATCTCGTCTGGGTCCGGAGGGAAAGGCTTCGAGCTACAAGACGAACGACAGGTTATATTACGTCCGTGAGCTTAACAAACGGTGGAACGTACATGTCTGGAGTGTCGAGTTCATACTCCTCGACCGAGATTCCGTCCACTACCCTCTTCTCCTCAATTGAGGTGTTTGAGCCATCAGTCATGGCTGATTCCGGCTATCCACGTTCGTGCAGCGGGTGTACGTGAGCCGCAGTACGTGAAGCAAGCAGTGCGTCGCGACCAGGCCCAACGAAAGGAGCGGGCCAGACAGCGAGGAAGCAGGGAGGTCCGAAGCCCGTTGCTTGACTTTATGTCCGAAAAGTATACTGGCGTCTTGCTGTCACTGCTGCCGCCGACGCGCCGGAGGTGGCAATTCATCGACGTCTGCGACGCACAGGAATGATGTAATTCGGCGTGGGATGCCTCCTGCGCGTATGACAGGTGAGACAGTATGCCACGCGAAGGAGGGAATGGAGTTCTATCTGCGTGAGTCTTTGCGCAGCCTTCAATCGCAGCATGTCAAATGCCCTCGAGACGCAGTGGGAAGTTCCGTGTTCGAACGTAACTGGCAGGCGCGCACGTCTCCATTACGCGGGTGCAGGTTTCAAGCCTGCACTACACCTTACCGCGAGTAGAGGATGAGCAGAGGCCGTGCTCATCCTTGTAGTGCACTCCGCTCGCGTGATGTACAAAGGATTCGAACCGTGTGGGTGACCGGAAGCCCTGATACCTAAAATCTGCGTTAGGCGTCGGATGCAGAGAACACAGTGTTTTGGAGCTCACCTTCATGGATGCTGTAACAAACTCGCGGCCATGCGACAGCAAACCCCGCTTCAGATAGGTGTGTCATGGCAGAGTTCAGACAGGAAGCGCGCGACTGCAGCGCTTTTGTGCCCGTGGTGGGCGTCCTTGCATAAAGTATGTTTTCCTCCGCGACAATTCACACCAGACCTTGATCCTTGACAGGATACAGATGGCTTGCGCTCAGAGTAGACTACCTTGCGTCGACATGGGAATCTTGCTTCTATCTGGGCTGTACTTATCTTGGCTATCTGGGATCTCACGGTATTGCATCACAGGCTGAGGCAGCAGCACCATCGCTCAATGGCGTCGGCATACCGCCTCCTCCCCTCTGCGTTGCGTGCCAGCTCGCCAGTATCTGTCACTCGAGGATCCGTTCTCGTGTCGAGCATCGCAGCTTCGTTCTCACCCACAAGTCGTCTTGGCAAACCTCGCACCTGGGTCACAATGGCATTTCCGCCCACGATCGCCGTTATCGCCCCCGGTACCATGGGCGCAGCCGTCGCTAGCAGGTTCACTAAGGCCGGATGTACCGTCCTGACGACGCTCGAGGGCCGTTCGGCCTCCACTATTGAACGCGCAAAGAAGGCCGGGATGGAAGACGCGTCTCTCGTCGACATCGCGCGCCGCGCGGACTTTGTCCTGAGTATCATCCCCCCGAGCTCCGCGGTCGTGTTTGCGGAAGCGTTCAAGAAGGCCTACGATGCGTCGAGTGGGAATCCCAAGCTTGCGTTCGCGGACTGCAACGCCGTTAGCCCGGAGACGGTGAAGCGCATTGCGCGCGTGTTCGACGGGAGCACCGTCCGGTTCGTCGACGCCAGTATAATTGGGGGGCCGCCTACGGACGGGTACGACCCTGCCTTCTATGCGTCTGCGGCACCAGAAGATGAGAGGACTCTGGATTCCTTCGTTGGTCTGAGCGCGTGGGGTCTGAGGACGGTCGCGTTGAAAGGGGAAGGTGCAGGCGTTGGAGACGCAAGTGCACTGAAGATGTCGTACGCAGTGAGTCTTCACTATGTCCCACTCGGGAGCGGCGTAGCGGAGGGACGAGGGTCAGTCTCGCTTTCACGGAGAACTATGGCTGTGCGGGCCGGTCATGTACTCCCCCCCTCTCCTTTTGAATCTGCGTCTTCCACCTAGATCGTGCTCGTCATCGTGCCTGATGTCTTGCATCTCCCGGACAAGTTGATGTCTCCATCATCAGATGTAACCTATGCGCACCGTGCCCTCTACTGACCATCATGATCTCCGTCGTTCTAGGGAATCACCAAAGGGTTCATCGGCCTCACTACTACCATGATCCTTGGTGAGTATACTGATGCGTCCGTTCGAAAAAGCTTACACAAATGACTGACTGCCATCGTTGCCACCCGCAGCCGCGAATGCGTCGTCTCCGGCAACAGCTCAGGCACTCATGCACGAATTGCACGCCTCACAGCCGTTCTATCTCGAACGTATCACGCGAAGCGTCCCTGGCATGCTTCCGAAAGCGTATCGCTGGGTGGGTGAGATGGAGGAGATCTCGGCCTTCGTCCGGGACGGGCTCGGAGATGGGGAGGCGCACGTCCACCGGGGATTCGCGCACCTGTACGACAGAGTCGAGAAGGCGCTGCCAGACGGCGAAGACGTTGCCGTCCTGAAGAAGTTTGTCGAGGAAGCGAAGGCGACGATCCGCGGGTCTGGTGTACCTTGACCCTACAGGACACAGTGAGACACGGCGTGGAGAGAGGGCTCTCAGTACTACTTGTGCGCACTCGAGGCAGTACCTAGATCATGTGCCAACACGAAGGACAGCGTTTGCTTTTTGAGCTCAAAGTTCCAAACAGCCGTCAATGAGCGGGACGTGCCTTCTCGAATCTAATCAAACGTCCGCAATTGAACTAATATCATTCACACGCCGCAGGAGCTACATAAATTAGAACGGGCACAGTAAGCTCTGTCCATCTTGCTTCCACTTCTGCTCCCTGGCGACCTACCCCACTACCCTGCACGAGGCATGCCGGATATTCAACGCATACCGTACGATATCTGGCACCTCATCTTTGAGCATGTCTGCACCGACGGCGGATACTCAGGGTGCGCGCTCGCGAGGACGTCCAAGGCCTTCCGCGCGCTTTCAGCTTCAACACGATTCCATTCCCTGACGCTGGCCAGTGTCACTGGGGTGAAGAACTTCCTCGTTTGCCTCGAGCGCATCCGCCACTTTGAGCGTGCGCGCTGCAGCAGCGCCGCCAGCGAGCAGGCGACCACCGACGCGGGCAGCCCGAATCCCATCCACAACCTGCTGTTATCGTTCCTCCCGGACGGATGCGATGCGCCGCAGCGCGCGTTCCGGAAATGGACAGACTATGCGCGCGACGAGCGCGCGCTCGTCCATCAGCTCGCGAACGACCACAAGGCCTGGGCCGTCCAAAAGGCGCACTGGAACCGCGAGTTCGTCCTCCACGTCTCGCGCCTCCTCCAGCTCGCCGCGCCGACCCTGCGCTCGCTCGCGATCTTCCAGTGCGGCGAAATACGGCTGCCGCTCGTGCACTACCACCATCACTTCCCCCTGCTGCGCGAACTCACGCTTCTGGCGGACGACAGGATGTTCGTGCGCGTGCCCGGCGGGGGCGCGCTGATCAACGGACAGAACGATCCCTCAGACTTCGACTATTACCACGTGCCGACGGACCCGCCAGCAGATCCGCCCTTTCCTGCGCTCACGCACATGCACGTCGTCTTCGCTGGGCCGAAGCTGCACCCATGGGACAAGACGCTTCCGCTGTGGGTTGGGATAGCGCCCTCTGTGACGCACCTGCGGATTTCGCAAGGGAACACGCGCGTACCGTCCCTGCTGGGGGAGTTGCTGGGAGTGCCGCCTCTGCCAAAGACAACTGAGGACGGAGAGCAGGAGCTCGCCGAAGGTCCATCGCGGGATAGGGAACCGTCTTACCCCAGCCTACAGACCATCATCGTGCAGATGTCCAGCGCGCGCAAAACGAACGCCGCTGAGGACCCGGCTCTGCGCGAGCTGCAGCGCGTCGCGGATGTCTTGGCTGTCGAAGAGGTCCACGCGCCACGAGTAGCCATCCTCCGCAGTCGATCGTATATGCCCGGGTACTGGGAAAGCAGACTCAAGTGGGAGTGGCAGATCCGCATGGTTGGAGGGGGCGGTTGCTGGATGGAGGACGAGGAGCATGAGTGTGTTTGGAAGGACTTCCACGATGAAGATTCGCAGAAGAAGGGGAAGAAAGGAAAGACGAAGGTCAGTATCAGGGAGAGGCTGGAAGGGAGCTCCGACAGCAGTGGGGTTGAGGGGGAGAGGCAGGGGAAGAAGTGGTGGAAGGTGCTCGCCAATGGCATGCCAAAGTTGAACAGAAAGCGCAGCGTGAGTGTAAAGTAGTTTTGTGGCCATACATAGAGTACTGCTACGTTCCCTGCTCTCAGTCTGCAGTATTACAGATGTAGTAAGTATGCAAATATGAGATGTCATCAGCCGCTCATCCAGTGCAGTACTGTCGTAAAGGCTTCGTGCAATCGCGCACACATGAGCAAAACAAGGATCCTGCCACCTTCATCTTGTAGCTATACTTTTTAGAGGCCACGCACATCGTATGGGTGTTTTGGAAGAGTAACCCCGACCAACACAGCCAACGGAGCACATCCCGCTAGGTAGATGATTGGCCCGAATTCACGAGCAGGCGTTTGCAACTTCCGTGGCGGTGGCCGCAGTGGGCGCGGACAAGAGGCCTTCAGCTGTCACATAGCCTCCACAGCCTTACCCACCGTTCCTTGACCTCTCTCCACACACTCCTTGGCAGTCAGATACCCTCATCCTATCCTATGGATTGCTTCCCTATCGACATCTGGAACGAAGTCTTTCGGTATGCATGCACAGATGGCGGCCATACCGGCGCAGCGCTCGCGTTGACGTCCCTATGCTTCCGAGCAACGTCTGCACCATTCCGTTTCCATTCGGTCAAGCTCAGCAGTCTCGCACAGATTGCAAACCTACTTCTTTGCCATGAACGCATACACAGTCGGTCCTCGTCCCGCCTCCGTCCCGGCGACACCTCGCGCAGCCATACACAACATAGCCGCGCGGCCCTAGACGCCTCCCACCTGCTGCTCGCCTTCCTTCCCGGGGAGTGCGATGCCCCAGAGCGTCGGTGGCGTGCCTGGTCAGAATACTCAAGAGGAAAACGCAAACTGCAGAACGAGTTATACCAGGACGAGCAGGCCTGGGAGAACTCGAAGGCTGCATGGGACCGCCAATTCGAGTACCTCGTTCCGCGCCTCTTCCAGCTTGTCGGGCCGACGCTCGAGACGTTGACTATCTTGATGCACTCCGACATCGTGCTTCCGTATGTCGGAGGTCACTTCCCCAAGCTTCGCGAGCTGTCTCTGCTCGCGGACGACCGCCTCTTCGTACGCCCGGAGCCGCAGTGGACCACGGCGGTAGGCACTTTCGACCACGAGGAGCTAGCGAGGTTCTGGAACCACGCCATACATTCGCCACCGTTCCCCACGCTCACGCACCTCCATATCGTATATGAGGGCCCGAAGCAGATTCCTTGGGAGAGAACGCTGCCATTGTGGGGAAAACTCGCGCCCGAGGTGACGCACATCAGAGTGTCGCAGGCGAGCAAGCTAATGCCGGAGGTGCTGGAGGGCATTGCGACGAAGTCCTTCGCGCAGGTGCAGGCGAAGGCGGAGGCGACGGCGACCGGATCGCCAGACCACCGGAAACGAGTGTCATTCCCCAAGCTGCGTCGAGCGATTGTGCAACCCTTTGTGCTCGAGCCAGTGCGAGGGCATGAATACGCAAAGGAGGCCATAACATTGCGCAGAGCACCCGGAGCGAGTGGGGGGCCGATAGTTGTAGTGATGCGAGGGAGATGGTATCGGGATGGTTACTGGAGAGACCGACTGAGATGGCAATGGGAGGAGCGTATGCTCGGAGGTGCAGGATGTTGGGCAGAACAAGAGGACGAGGAGGGAGAATGGGCCTATGAGCGCAGGAAAAGAGCCGAGCTTGCAGTCGCAAAGGCTAGGTCACAGAATCAGGCGGCAGGCAGGGCGGTCGGGGGAAGAGTAGTATCCATGATCCACTTGGACGAAGACGCCGTCTATGCTTTGCCGTTCAATGGCACATCGACCAAAGTCTTGCTGCGGGCGTTCGTTGGTCTGGGTAGAAAAAGATCATTATCTCATTGACACTAACCGGAGGTTGTAGTTCGATTCATCGCATCGGGACCCGGGAACTGCAACTTGTACATTAGCTTGATTGCCGTGATGATGTCACAATGTCCATCTACAACCTATTGTGGTTGCGGACCGTACGCTGAGAGTAGAGTCCTGGTTCACGTGCTCCTTACTGTCACACTCGTTTCACCTCAATCTATGGCAAGTTTGATGAATGAGCTCGAACAGTACGGAGGTACTCGAGCTCAGTGTAGAGACTCGGACACTCACCACTGGTTGGGAACGATTGTGCATGCATGAGAGCAGCATACCATCATGACATTTCGTCAAGGCTGAGCGTCTCATGGTCAAACCAATCTATGCGTATCTGGTATTCCTAGGACTCCGCATAATCTTCTTGTCACATTGGCTTCTCGTTGTTCGACTGTCCTGGGTGTTGGGGCAAACCAAGCGCTTTCGGAAATTTCTCCTGGCGTTTGTTTGTACGTGTTAGGATTCAAAGCCTTCGCCTTCTCTCGGAAACTAGTAGTGAATGCTCAAGTAAATCACGGGCCGCCGTGAAGCAATCTAGTACGCCGTTACTCTGACGAATCAGGCCTAGACATCAGGCGGTGTCTCAGGTTGTCCTTGAATTATAAGGGTATATGAAAGCAAGGCCTCTCGTCTACCCGTTCAATGCTCCTTGCCTCCGATTTCACGATTACCCCTGAGCCTCGTCGTTGAGGTGAAATGAGAACGAAGCAGAATATACAATGCTCGCCGTATGGGCCAATTCAGCCAAGGCTACCACGGCCCACGGGAACCCGTTGGCCCTACACTTCGGCCTCAGCGCTCGGACGTCGCAACCTCCCGTCATTCAGTCGAATCTACGGATCCTTACGCACCTAGTACTCAATTTCTCCGCTATAGCGGCGTCCTACGAATCAGATGAGCTGAGATTACAACGCATCTTGTGGAAGTACTGCGTAGCGTGAGGAGCGCGGCTCCTGTTCGCACCAAGGCGTGCAAATTCAGTAAGAGAAGACCAGAAGCCGCAACACCACTGAGCTTCCAACAGATGTATGAGGAGCTCTGCTACCAGATCCTTGAGAAGACGGGGTTACGTGACGAAGGCTACAGCATAGAGTACAAAGGGAGCGCGTGACATAAATACGGCATATAATATTTGAATCGGCAAGATGGGCGATTGAGAGTACTGATTGAATGCGAACCGCACTCTAACGTGAGACGATGAAGAGCAAGAAGACGAGGTGGACGCGTAGGCACCGACGAGCGAGGGCTGGAGTCTGCAAAGCAAGAGTACAGAGAAGGTCATAGAGATGGAACTAGGATTAAGGAATAGGTAAGGGAAATAGATCGGGCACTGCAGGCGCGCGTGGTGGCAACCATGAGCGAAGCAACCATAGTAGTACGTTAGTCTGGGCGGGGAAAGCAGAGGTGGTACGATGAGGTATCTGCTCGATTCAACCACAACACTGAGCGGTTCATGACGACCTGCCGAGGGAAGGTCATCTGGACATCATCGTCGCGAGCATTGCAGAAATGAGAGAGGTCGCTCGACGCCTAAGCTTCAAAGGATATCGGCGTCCTTCAAGTGGTTCCGCTGAATTCCTTCACGAACTGGGAAACCATGTCAATACAACAGCCTGTAAGGGGTGAGGGACAAGAACGTACCTGCTGCAACTTGAATAGCTGTGGCTTGGGTGTCCTGCGCAACGAGAAGATATCAACATGTGATTGACAGACGGCACCAAGTCATGAATCGAGCCAAATCGCATAAATTGCGGGTTAACGTGATGCTGGCAGCCCCTTGGTCACAGAGTTGGCATCTCGTGGGAGCAAAAGACGCGGCAGTGAGGCACGCCCTCAAGAAGCTTGGGCAAGTGACCAGATAGACGCGAAGAAACTGACGGCCCAGCAATGGAATCTAACTCACCACGACGGACGTGAGATAGGAGTAAAAGCTGCGCGGCTCCGGCGAGTACTTGGTGAGCGCATCTTTGAACTGCCCGCGGAAGTCTGCGGTATATCGGGCGCGAACAGTCAATTCAGAGAGCTGAGCTAAAATAACATGAGGAGACCGTCTACGTACACTTCGCTGCTGACGGCGCGTCGTTTGGCCTGTCGTGATAGGTTGGGATCCAATCGACTACGCGGACGCCGCGCGCAAGCTTCTTTTGCAGAAGATCGCATTTGTTCAAGAACTGCATCATGAGCGGGCCCCGGGTCAGCATTCGTGGATCACGGGGAGCACGAGTGTCGGAGATACTTGCCAGAATGAGCTGAACTTTCGCTAACAGCTTAGTGGAACAGACGGCCTTCCAGAGCTGCATGCTGTCCTGAAGACGATTCACTCTCTTGTCTTCTGCGAGGGTCTCGTCAAAGCAGCTGATCGGCGCGAGGAATATGATGGCGTTGATGTCGTCGAAGTAAGGGTACCATGCGTGCCGCTAACGATCGGTGAGAATGGAAGTCTGCGCGTGTTCGCGATGAGCACGTACCAGAGAGCGCGCACCGCCCACATCGTAAATCAGCCATTCGCGACCGGTCTCAGAACCTGCGGGTACCCGTTGAGCGGTAGCATGAGACAATAAGGCATGATTCTGACCTTTCTCGAAGATGAATCGGTGCTCCTGGACGCCCATGGTCCGCAACCGTGCACGAACGACATCGTCATCTGACGGCTGATAGTCCTTGTCGGCGACGCGCTTGACATCGTTCAGGAAGCTGTGAATCACAAAGGGGTGAGAACACATTTGGGCGCGTACGAGAGGTGCCGCACTCACAAGCCGGGCCATTCTTCGGGTCTCACCCCTCGCTTGTCAAGTACTGCCCTGACGGCGGTGTCTGTCCAAAGAGCGTGCATGTCGCTCGCACACGATGTGATGACCTCCGCGGCACGTTCAACACCGAGTTCAGTTCCCTCCAGCTCGTGCCTGGAGTCAGAATTGCGAGCCTCGGACGTGCGGGTGATGGAGGCGCGGTGTTGGTGCTGGAGAATACTGAGCACTGCCAGCAGCACAATCGAACGACGCTGCGCACCTTGGGGCGTTCAGTCGCTCCTCCCTTGCCGTTATCGGCGTCGTCTCTCATTCCACGTACGCGGTTCAGCGCAGCCTTCCATCCGCTCCGGCTGGTTACGGCGAACTCTCGGGGGCGGAACTTCGCGCTCTCCCAAGGAGCGGCGCTGCCGTGCCCACCGTTGACTTCCTCGTTAGATGCAGCGCCCAAACTACGTTCGAGGGCGCGCTGTGCGTCGCGTAACGGCGAGAGGCGGCGAATAAGGAGGTTATGTGTCTCGTCGAGGAGGGAAGCCGTTGGGGCAACAGATGCTTTGTCGTCTTCGTCGTCGTCTTCTTCGAGAGGGTTCAATGGAGGTTCGTTGTCGAGTGGGGTAGAACTAGCAGGGAACTCTTGCGCAAGGATGTTCATAATAGATGTCACGGAGCGGACGAGGTTCAGATGGATCACGGCACGCCATGCTGCACGTTCAGCCAGGAACGACGAATATGCGTACGCCATCTGGAAGTCTGCGCCGTGGCGTCAAACCCAGCACTCTTCATGGTAACTGAGTCCTACTCACTCTTGACCGTTGTAGACTTCCCACTCTCACTCTGGCCCAGAAGGAGGACCTTGATTGGTGGCTTCCGCTTCCTCATAGCCAGCTTCTCCGCTTTGATTTGGTCGTCGATTTGCTCGCTGATCCTGCGAGCCTCTGCCTCTGCCTGCTCCCTAGCCCATCGCTCAGCAGGCGTCTCATTCTCTGGAGGCTCGATAGCGGCGGCCAGGGGGTCGGGTGTGTCAAGGGATCGGGTCATAGCGCCAGATGTCGATGGAAAGAAGGCAAGTCAGAGGCAAGTGAATGTTCGAGTAGGGTGAAGCGGACCCAGTCAAGACGTTTTGAGGAGGTGCAGCTGCGTTCGGGTGTCCGGTGATGGGAACAGGAGAAGCTGATGCACGGGCGAATCGCTGCCATGGCTATCCCCTCTCAGCGCCATATACCATGCCACGACACCGGCGTGGAACGCTGTCGTCTCCGGTACGTGTGGGTCCGAACGTTCGGCGGGGTGGTTGCGGACGGCTGCAGTCTCTTGTAACGCGCTGCTGCCGTGATCGTCGTGCTATGCGGAAACCCCGAAAACACGCGTGCAAATCCCGCCGTGTGCCGAAAGGGGAGACACTGATATCAGCCTCTGCTCTATTCCGTAGATCTCTAGCATTTGCTCTCTGACTCTCGCCCTCCCACAAGATAATCGCATGCCGCAATGTGGACAAGGTTATAGACGAGATGTGCCAGCTAGCAAAAGGCCTAGATACTGCTGTCGTGAGCACCACCCCTCTTGATGAGACCACACCAGCGCTCTGTCCGCAACTAACGGCTGGGTCGGATACATGTTGAGGCCGCGATGCTCAATCACGAATCCCGGGAAGGTTTACCAGACGATCTTTGCTCAGACCATTGGCGCCATCACCTCACAGATATCGGAGATACCGCATCTGGAGCACTGGTATGCATCGGCCGCTATTCTCCAACAATACTTATCTGACAACACGATGCATTATTTCAGGCAGGTGGAACATGCAAGAGGTAAGTCGTCCTAACTTGCACCCAGTACGCTGACATCATTCAACGTCAAAGTGTGACAGTGATCATTGCAGGCTGTAGACGTATGCAGTGCTCGCTCATAGAAGCTCCAGTTTTCCCAACCCCAAAGTCTCGAGCGAGGATCGCGCATACCATGCTTGCGCACACGACGGGATCAGTGTCGTGCTACGACGTCGACCGAGTTCATCCCCGCACAGACATAGTTGGTTTTTCCGCCATGGGGTTCTTCTTTCCTAACGAATCTCATATCCCGTATTGTAGTGTACAGCCATACACTTCCCCCCAGGAGAACCCCGGGAGGTGGGAGCTGCCAACGTTGAGGCATGTGATGACATTGATGCCAGAATTTCCTGAGCGATCAGATGCACACAGGCAGCTGCGACCGATCTGCGGCGGTGGGACCTCGATAGCGATAAGGTGTCTCAGCATCTGCTGCGGTGTAGGATCACTCGCCGCACCGCAAGCTGGACTACATCTTCGAGAGTTGGATTGCCGAGGGAGGTCCGTGAGCACTTTCATAACGTGCCAATGACCAGTGACCTCAACGATTGACCACCCCTGATGTCATCGCTGGACGGAACGCAACAGTCGTACTAACTACGTTGGTCGATTTGAGCAGGTACAACGCGAGATAACCCGGCAGGACAGGATGGTGAAGGCTACACTCGTACTCCACGCCTTGAGATCATGATATAGCGTGCAGACAAAGCAGGACGTCCGTGACGCCGTTTCTCGTGTCGGGCCGACAGAGGCAGGTGGTGCTAGACATGGCACGAGTGGCTAGCGTGCCTCTAACTACGGGTAGCGTGAACTGGTGTCGCAGGAGGTAAGGTTGGTATGATGTCGGATTCTGCAGACGTACAGCCAGACAACCTAGCCTGAGTGCGGCGAGACGATCCACCGTTCGTACCACATCTAGATTGAAGAGCTCCAAGATGAACATGAACATGAAGAAAAGCTGACAGATACAGAAGAAAACCGCGAACCATCCATCCAGACTAGAGTTGATCCTAGAGCAGAAAGAAGAATGCAAATGAACAAGAGGATGGAGGACGCATGCTGATGTGTACAGTGAATGCATGGGATTACGCGCTTGGCAGTATGTACGACTGCGATGTGAAGATGATGCGAAGATGGTGGATACGTCGATGGAGATTGAGAGGAGCAGGAGTGAGAGTGAATGCTACAACAAGAGAGAGCGTGCTGATCTGTGTATGATTGAGTACGAGTGCGCTAAGACCTGGGAAGGACAGTACTGAGAACAACATTGGCGGCAATGAACGGTATTACTGGTATATCAGTGGATAGATTAGGATATCAGTGACGTCCGGAGGTCGGAGCTATGCATGTACAGTTGGGAGACTAATGATTGGGACGATTAGTGCGTTTGTTCGTCGAGCGGCGGGGGGCAGATGGTGTGGCAGAGATAGCACCGTGTCCGTGGACAGGGACGAAGTCGGGGTCGACCTGGTCACATTTGAGGTGTAGGAGAAGGCTGTGCACGAAGCGCTGCTCGTACCTGTACGGAATGTTAGTACACAGTCATGTTGATGCCTTGGTAACAGAAAACTTACGCAGAGTTAGTGTATACTACCGCCATTGATTCCGAGTTACACCTTAACAAGTTCGGAGCCATGACAAGCGCCAGATTAGCGCTCGTCATCTTGGTGACGACCTGAACCTTGTCTTCCAGGAAAAGCTGCAGGAAGCTAATCACGAAGAGAACGACACGTCGGTTAATCGTCGGCAGTCGCTGTACGATCTGCACACAGGCGTCCGGATCGTGCGATTTGGTGATGCAATCGTTGTAGAGCTCATCGGGGACGAGCGGGTCGATTAACTCCCTCAGCCACAACTTAAGCAGGGAAGCCAGGACGTGAGGGTCGTCGATGGTGTCGAGACTGTAGTAGCCCTTGTCGATACGAAGCTTGAGGTCTGAAACCAGGTCCCCGTCACCAGGGATGCGAAAGATGCCTTCCGACTTCGTGCCACCGAGTGCGAGGATACCGTCGGCAAGGAAGGGGAGGATGATGGGAACCTTCTTGTCGGGGTAGTTACGCTCTTGTAACCTATAGACGGTGTCCAGGGCTTCCCCGAAGATGGAAGGATGGAAAGCAGCATCCTGTTGTTCGCCGTGAGCAAATGGAACTTTAAGACATGGCGGCAGCCGTTACTCACTGATGCTGTTTCGATTTCAGCCGCGCTGGGGGGCTTTCCTCGAGGACCCTTCTTGGAGATATACGCTAGTCTTCGCAAGCAGTATTTCGCCATGACATCCACACGACCTTCTTGCTGCGTGGTCGCTTGCTGAATGTATGATCGCAAGTACGCCTCGAAGTTCTTCGACGGCGGAAACGTTACGAGCAGTACACAGAGTAGCTGCCATCCCCTGAAGACGCTCTCCCTACAGTCACCATGTCAATCGAGCACTCGAGGCCAGCAGTAGTGGCTACGTACGTGTTCGGATTGCCATTGAGCTGCTTCATTACCTGACAGTAAATCTCGTCTCGAAGCTCTCCATAACTCAAGCCGACACTTAGTAACCAACGTTCTTCCTCCAAGAGCGACTTCGACATGCCAGACGCGACCGATACCGTCGACGCGAGCGGACTGATCGGCGACACGCCACCGGGCCTGTCGCGCTCTCGGTCCCCCATGATACGCTGGATGACGCGGAAGGTCTTCACGGCATCCTTGTGCAGTTCGCGCTTCATGTGTAACAATGGTGAAGTAATCGGGGCCTACGTGGGCAGTCTGGAGATGGAGAAGCGATACATGAGGATTACGCCGATGGACACACCTTCTGCCATGTCATGATCTCAGAGACTGGCACTGTGCGCTTGAAGATGAATCCGGTCCGATGTGTGGAGAAGTACTGCTTCGCAAACTCAGATTCCGCAAATTGCTGGATGTCGGACGCCAGGTCGTGTGGGAGGACGAGGTACTTCCTACGTTCTGAATAAGTTGGGTCGCTCACGGGGGGACTCGTGCATGCACGTACCCAGTGTTCAGCGAGGACGTCCGCGCTGTCTTGTCGTAGATGTTGACAGGGATTGGTGTGCTTCCGTTCCGGTCCACGAGCTGGCTCATATGCCGACTCGCCTCTGCGTCACGACACATGGCCACGTCAGACTGGCCCACACAGACATCTCAAACGACTGCCCATACCAGGATTGAGCACAGGGTTGCCAATCTCCTTTCCTCGTATCTGAACCGGTACCGGACTCGACACGCTCCGTCTCGGCTGTGGCGCGACGAGCTGAGGCCGGGTCGGTGAAGGCGGCATGCTCCCCTTGTCCTTCCCGAGCCCTTTGAACTTGAAGCGAAGAGGCGTGTCGGGCGTGCTCATGCCATCGGACAGCGAAGCACCGCTGAGCAGCTTCGGGTCGGTGTTGATCTTCATCTTCCGCGGGGACTCGTGCAACGGCGTGATCGGGACTGAACGCGAGCCGTGCCCGTGTTCCGAGCCACCCTGCTTGTCCTGCGAACTCGGGGCAGACGACGACTGCGAGCTGGAGAGAGCGATCATCTCAAGCGCGGCTGTCAGGCTCTGTGGCTGTGGAGCGCGGTACTGCATGTACGAGGACGACTTGGCGCGCGAGCGAGCGGTATTCGGCTCGTCGCTTTCGCGCAGATTGTCTCGCTTCGACGCGGGTCTACCGTTGACGGGAGTACCACTCGTGGACGGGCGACCGTCGGTCGAGGGCGCGGGCGAAGGGGCAGCATCGGTGTTGTACGGAGAGCCAGGTATAGGCGCAAGAGGATGACCACGCTCGTACGCGAGGGGACCGCCTTGAGACCCCGAGCTATGGTGGAGGTGCTCAGCGCTGGACGTCGACTTGCGCGGGCTCTGGACGGAGCGCCTCCCAGAAGACCCTGGTCGAGAAGATTGATTCGATCCCGCGTGCGCGGCCTGTGTCCGTCCTGGAGAACTGCGCGTCGAGGAATGCGATCGACGAGCTTGGGTAGGAGAGCCTGTGCCTTTTGTCCCGTGACCATGCCCATTGGCAAACCCACCCTCTCTGTCGTTCACGTACGAGCGCGAGCGGCGGTAGGGGGAGCGTTCGCTCGTCGGCGTCCCGGAGGTAGGGTGCGATCCGTTTCTGGTGTCGAAGCTGGTGCGAGGCTGTTGAGGGCCGCGGTTAACGAGGGACAATCTGCGCGTGAGGGCGGTGTTTTGGAGGACCCCGAGCGGGATTACGAAGGCGTTCGGTCGCTCCCAGACGGTCTCGCCGGTCTTTGTCTGATAGTAATATGGCAGGCCGCTCGCTTCGTCGAACATCTCCCACCATTCGCCCTCTGGACTCGGGGGCAGTCTGGTCGCAAAAGGCACGACGGCCCGTTCAGCATACTTCGGCCAACCACATAATCCGGAAAAAGACTGCTCACAGAAAGTGTCCGGCCGGAGGGTCCCAGCTAACTTCGCCCGTGGCCGGGCATGCGAAGAATGACACTTGAGTCTTTTCATGTTTAGTATTTTGAGTTGTAAGACGAAACGCGTCAAAAAGTACCGAGGACGAGCAACAAAGATCAGCGATGCCTGGCATCACAAATACGATCTGACCAGCGTCAGGACATAGAGCGCGGACGTACCTGCGGGTCTACAAGAGTGACCCAGAAGTTCGAACCCCAGCCATCACCTCCTCCTGGACCATCGCGACTCGGTGTGGCGGTGACGCTGCTCGTCGATGTGCGCCGGCCGTTCAGGCGGACTTCCGGTGTTGGCGGGACATTTTCGCTTTCCACAGTCTGTTTTTGCGTGGGAGTGGATGGGGCATCCTTTGCGACTGTTGCTTGCGCAAATTTGTCCTTGACGGGTGTTGATTGGGCAGGTTCTGGGGCGGAGGAGGGTGAAGAGGGTGCGGGGGCGGCAGACATGGTCTAAAGGGAGGAGCGGGATTGACTGTGTGGGTATCCGGTATCGTAGAGATCTTTCCGATGGCTTGAGTGCTCAGGGAGGCGGTAATGAAGGAGTCCAAATGAAGGGCGAGACTGTCGGGTATTCAGGGTATAGTACAGAGGTGGTGAAGAGCAGTTTGCGCGCTGGCGAAGGGGAGGATTCACGGCGGTAGCGGGCAGAGCGCCCTTTCTGTACCGACAACCGACGGCGCCCGGCTTCAAGCCAGCAATCGACCACTTCGCCCGCGACTTCCACACTCTCACTTTTATCTCAGTTGCGACTCTAGAGCACCTTCCGTCGCGGGCATTGCTACCATCTCCTCTGACCTATCGCTTCCAATCTCCCCCAGACGTAGTCTCTTCGCACAATGCACAAGTACATCTAGATGCCCAATTCGCGTTGGCAACCACGATCGCCCCTATTCTTTCGCTGTCATAGAAGATAGGGGCAGATGTAGACCTGTGAGATATAGCAGTATTTAATCTAAGGCGGTTCACAATCTATTCGGGGCGATACATAACACCGGCCTATCGTGCCAGTCCTTGCCAGGCCTAGACGAAGGTGTGCAGTGTATCAAGCTAAGTCACCAGGCAAGCCAACAGCCTGCACTACGTAAACAGAGCGAACGCTGTATGTGTGGTCAGTCTAATACTTTGACTCTTTCTGCGTTTCTCATCAATCTGAGCGCTGATTTTGAAGATCGCAGGTACAGTTGGCAGCTTCGCCATCGCGATCTTCCTCAGGTCCCCCCACCTTGACGGCCTCCACGTCCGCGCGCTGTCCGCAGATCAATCTGTCCCTATGCTACTTATGTCGGCGGGATTGAACGCAGTCAGGAACAGCAGGTGTCCGTTCGCAAGGTCCGCGTGGGCCTGGCCTATTAGCTGCCGTACCAGTCGGCCTTTCCAGCGGCCGACAATCCTAGGATTACCGACACAACAGCCCGACCGCTTCGTCACAGCCCCGCATATACTAGCCGTTAGCCGAGCAACCGCCTTCGCTTTACCAAGGAACTTTGCTGTCGCGTTCGGACGTGAGAACTAGCGATTGTAACCGTTGCTGCGGTCACCAAGACGGTACAAAAGACAGGCGTAGTCGCCGCCCGTCAACAATATTCGCAAACCCTCAAACTCAAACACTAGCCTCAGCAACAGACGACAAGTGGGCAGCGCATGCGCCTCAGCTCCCTCCCATCGCGCCTTTACAGACACATCCACCAGAAACCCACTATGGCATCCGCATCTCCCGTGGACACGCTCCCCATCGACGTCTGGCACCATATTTTCAAATTCGCATATACCGACGGCGGTTTCATTGGAGCAACGCTATCCCGCATCTCTCGCTCCTTCCGAGCGGTCTCCGCCCCCTACCGCTTCCACTCCGTCAGGCTCTCTAACATCAAGGGCATCGAGAAGTTCCTGGCAGCGTATGAAGCTGCGCTGGCCGATGCCGCAGCGTCGTCGACCGATCCACCGCGCGTCCGCCACCTCTTGTTCACGTTCCTCCCTGGGGAAGTCGACATGATCATCCTCGAAGGATCCTTCCACATGCGCGACTGGCACTCGTGGCAGATGGCCAAGATCGACTGGAACACACGCTTCGTCGCCCGGGTCACTCGCCTCTTCGAGCTTGTTGCTTCGCATCTAGAGACGTTCGCCGTCCTGCAGTGCCCCGAGGTGGTCCTGCCATTCGTCCGCTGCCCACAATTCCCTGCGCTGCGCGAGCTCACCCTCCTGCACGAGGACGCTCTCTTCGTGTACACGCCCAAGAAGGCGTATTCGTGGATGGAGCCCAAGGATGCAGATTTCTGCGGAAGTGGAACGCCGCCTACCTATGAGGAGCTCGCAGCGTCTCCGCTATTCCCAGCCCTGGAGAGGCTGCATCTTGCTCGCGGCTACTGGGGTCCGACGCTGCCGCTCTGGGATGCCGTTGCTCCCCGCCTCACTCACCTGCGCATCTCGGGTGCGGATGTGTTGGCGGGCCTCCCGTTGTGGGATGCGTTGTCGGGGAAGCCCCAAGCCTTCTCTGACCTCGTGGCTCTTGTGGTGCAACCCAAGCTGAAGGGTGCTGAGACTGGGGTCGATGAGACGCAAGCCGAGCCTCTCGAGGCGGTTGTGGAGCGCTTGCGCCAGGTCGAGACGGAGTGTCCTTCCCTAGATGCAATTCTTGTGCCTGCGGTGATTGCGTCGCCGGATGTGGATGGCCTTCGGGACTGGACGGAATGGCTCATCAAGGAGTGGACGGCTCGCGCCGTTGGGGAGCGAGGACCGTGGGTGACGAAGGAGAGCGAGAAGCAGCTTTGAGACTCTATGACGTATTAACTTGAACCCGTAAGGGGATCTCGAATGCATTCCTGGTCATCAACAGATGTTCGCGGCGTGCGTGCCCGCCCGGGGTTGGAGGTTGTGCGGCAGGAAGACCAGGTGCGATGCGGTGGTCTCCGAGTTTGCAAGTGCTCGAGCCGGTGACGTCCGACTTCCTCTCTGAATAGTTGTTATACATGGAATGCGTAGGTCATAGTGCATTCGACCTTCGTCTAGATCTGCGCTCGACATGACGCCTCGCGAGTGCACTGTTCCTGTGGGAGCCGACGGCTTGCCTTGTAGTCCCCATATTTGTTTGCTACGCTCCGACCTTGCGCCTGTCCTTCAGACAACTATCACGAGTAGTTGCTAATCCAGCTCAGGGCTCGAGCTCGCAGTATGCATCCTTCACATATGTACGCACGACCTGTCAAATATGTGACGTTATGCTTCGACGTACTCCATTGAGATCGATCGGATCGGCGAGCACACAAACGCGGCGCCGTGGCGACTCTAGATCTGTACATATGGATGGCCAAGATTTCGTACCGCGTCGCGATCGCCGTGGAGCGCATACATCTTGCTTTGCTTGATTATGGCGCTGGTCACCTTTCGCAATTGAACTCAGGCGCTTGTTCCCATACGTATGCGTTGCGCTAGCCTCCACCATTCGCTAACCGCGTGTAAGCTCTCCTTCCATGAGACGTGCTGCGTAGATCTGCTTGCACTCTGCCACCGTCGTGACCAAGACGATAACGAACACTGACACTGCCTTCGGAGTGTGCACTGGGTAACGGCTCAGGGAGGTCTCCTCATCTGAAGTATACATACATCTCAGGAACCAAGTCACCGGTTGCGGAACAGATTCTTTTCGCATATGGTTCAGAACTGTGAGATCCAGCCTCTTCATTGGTGGAGAACGGGCGAGGCGCCGATTGCAAAGGGAGCTAGCGTAAAGACTGTAAGTAACGAGAAAATCAGAACACCAGCCCTAACGCCCCGCAATCTTCCCACATTTCCCCACACCCCGGCCTCAACGACGCTCGTACTTACTCTCCTCGTCGCCGGGTCACCTTGAATTGTCGGTGCATCCCGACAACATCGCTGGAGCTCCGACATGGATCTGTTCTTGTTACATCCGCAGAGGATGAGAACTTCCGGGCATAAGCTCTGCGCCGACCGCGTTCTAGTGAATCTCAGGCGAGCGCGAATCAACTGCTTCCACGCAGGGTGTCAGCTGGGCTGACCATCCTCCCAACTATAGAATCCAATAGAGCACGTATGGCCGCTGTTAGTCTACCTCTGCCCTGACCCGGCGAAGCATGGGCGAAGACTAAGGTTCCTGCAAGATCCTAACTCGCCCATGGTTCGCCGGAGATATCAGGGTCGACCCAGTCTCCTGACTCCTGCTTCTCGTCGGCTTATATCTATGGACAGGACCATCGCGTCCGATTGGGGGCGTGGGCACGATATTAAGCCAAGGTGCGCATGCCCCTGGCTATATTTGCCGGCTGTGAAAGTGTGAAACGGTGATTCACGGATGTCGGCATACCATGACCAGTTGGACTGACACACGCGCACACACGCCTGCTATAGGACAAGCAACGGCTAGTAGGAAAAGCTTGCCTCTTGACGCCTGTGGCGTACGGAGGTACGTATATAGTCCAACATCAGTCCCAGGTTCCCACTCGCCCCGCCCCGATCCTTCCTCGCTGGCTATCTGCTCGCTCAGCTCCTGGCCCAGGCGACAGCTTCCCGGAGCCTTCAAACGCCTCTTCGTGCGTCGTATCACCGTGTCCTGACTACCGAGCGCAACGATGGCCAGTCTCGATCCCCCAAGCACGCTCAAGCCCGCCCAGGTCGCGGTCGCGATGATTGAGAGCGGGATCGCGAAGCACCGCACGCGTGCAGATCTCGTCTTCTTCAAGGCGGTACGTTCGTCTCTCCCTTCTCCACCCTTCACGATTCGCTCTGAAAGTGGACCTCGGCAGGTCGCTGCGGGCGTGATGTTATCTTTCGGAGGCCTCCTCTCGGAGATAGTCTCCGGAGGTGCCGCAGGGGTCAACGAGAGCAACCCCGGGCTCGTCAAGTTCTTCGGCGGCGCGGTCTTCCCGGTGGGTCTGATAATGTGAGCTCCAATCCGTCCTCGCCCGCTCCTCGAACGCGCGCGGCTGCGCGAAGTCGGCCTTTGCTTGTTTCCCCTGCTCTTCCCTCGCCGCGCTCGCCCGGGCGTGACTGCGCGTCCCGGCGTTATTGGGCGGAGCCGCGGTTCATAGACAAGTCGGCGTCATGAGCGAGCGCAGACCGCAAGCTGACATGAGGCGGCTTTGACAGGATCGTATTGCAAGGGCAAGAGCTGCTGACGAGCAACATGATGGTGAGTCAGCGAGACTGAAAGTTTGGCGATAGCCACTGGTCGGCCAGGCAGTGAACTAACCGGCTCTTTGCACTCGGGCGTCCCGCTTTCTTTCACTGTGGTATGGCGCATGCAGATCTACCCCATGGCATGCATCAAAGGCGCCGTCCCGTGGTGGGGCCTTCCCTACAACTGGCTCATCGGTGCGCCCCAGCTCGGGCCCTGTCTCGCGATCTGCCAGGAAAACTGACAGGGCTGCGCTTCTCTGCAGTGACGTTCGGCAACCTGTGCGGCAGCCTGTTCTTCGCTGCGGTCTTGGTCAAGTGTGCGTCGCGCGGTGGCAGATCGGGAAGTGTGCTTCGGGGACTGATCGCTGTGGTTTAGACACCGGCATTATCTCCACCGCGCCCTACAACGCATACGCCGTCACCTTTGCACTGTGCGTACCCACTTCTCTCGGCCTCGTAGCGCGCTCCGGCGCTGAGTTTCAGCCACATCTCATGGATTGCGCTTCGTAGGCACAAGGCAGCAGAACCTCAGTGGCACCAAATCTTCCTGCGCGGTATCGCCTGCAACTGGCTCGTCTGTGTCGCTGTCTGGGTGTGTCTTCTCTGTGCAGCCCGCTAGTCTTCCTCCCGATGTTACGTTGACTCTTCGCACCACGTAGCAAGCCGCCGGTGCACGTGACACCATCTCCAAGGTATTCTTTTTGCGTTCTCATCGCCTAGCAGTTCGTTGGGTTTGATAGCGACGCTGACTCGGTCCACCTTCCCTAGATCGTGGCCATTTGGGTCCCTATAATGGTAAATCCTACATCCCAACTTTCAGGCTAGCGTGGGCATGGTGCTGACTAGCGTTCTGTGCCTTTGCTGCGGTGTGTCGCCTTAGATATTCGTGACATGCGGATATGACCACGGTGAGCTCCACTAGCCCCCGCGCTGCCCTGATCACTCACCCGGAATGTCAGTGGTGGCAAACATGTTCTCGGTTCCTCTCGGCATCCTCTTCGGGGCACCCGTAAGCACACGCCCCTCGTGTTCCGCCAAGAGCTTCCTTTGTGGCTGACCACCCGGCTTGCAGCTGACGGCGGCGGAGTACATCAGGAAGTACGTGAAGTTACGCCTCTACTCGTGCCCGCCACTGACGGCTGTGAAACACTTGGCACTTGCACAGATCGCTCATTGCGGCTTACCTGGGCAATATCATCGGCGCGCTGCTCGTCGCCCTCCCCGCGCTCTACTTCTATGCGCCCGACTACAGGGCGGGCGGGCTGCGTGACGCGGAGGCGGGCGAGGTTATCAACCAGGATCGCGACGACCGCCGCGACTCGCCTAGCACCGCGGTCTACGAGGTAGACAAGCGTTTGCAGTAGCATTAGACATCCCTACCGATCTTTATCCGGCCAGTGCGGATTCTTTGGTGAGACGCCTCATCTCTAGTGTACAATACGACTTCTTGTAGGTTTTAGAACGATTGTTCTTTCTCAGCACGACGCACCCATACACTGGGTTTCTCTATCCTGCTCAGGCCACAGGTTTATGGCATTGAATCAACAACTCGTCGTGGCGGTGCTGAACGTTGCCTGTCGATTGAAAGCTCACTGAGAAAGCACGGCCACCGGCTGACTCTCTATGCAGTTCGTTTCTACTACCCCCCTCTCGCCAGTCGCTTGTCCTCGTGAATAATGGGCAGGCCCTGTGTTGCAGTGCTGGCTCGCGATACATAATCCAAAGACTCAGAAGTCCTGCCTTTCGCAGACAGTAAGGGTAGAGACTCAGGCCTGATGAACCCTTGCGAAGATCAATCCCGAATTGAGCATTGATTTGAAGGTAGGATTTACGCACTCCGACTTTCGTTCCCGAAGATCCGTGCGAGTGTCGAGTGTTGTTCTATGTGAGTCATCGGGGCTAGTGGAGCTCACCGTAGTCATATCCGCGCGTCATGAATATCGCAGCAAAGGCACAGAACGCTAGTGAGCATCCTGCCCACGTACATACGCTGGCCTGAAAGTCAGGATGTTGGACATACCATAATATCAATAGGGACCCAAATGGCCACGATCTAGGGAAGGTGAGCCAAGTCAGCATCGCTATCAATCCCAAAGAGCTGCGATGCGAAGAGAACGCAAGGATACGTCAAACTCTACTTTGGAGATGGTGTCACGTGCGCCTGCGGCTTGCTATATGGTACGAGCTCGGCATATCAAGAGCAAGACTAGCGGACTGCACACAAATGACACACTCAGACGGGACAATCGCCCTCAACAACTGTTAGCCTCCCCTCCGGAACGTTCTTTGACGTGCTATCCACAGACCTCCAGATTACAGGCAGGGCAGCCGCCTTGCACTGGGTGGATACAATCACAGGACCTTGTCATCCGCCCTTTCGTACACATCGTTTTCGGTTGCCGATGCTCAGATCTCAGAAGTAGCCCGGACTCGTCTTCGAGGAGAGAGTCAAAGAAATGCACAAAAGCAAGATGGAACCAGTGCTCGATCCGGGTTTCTCCTCAAGGGTTAGTGTGTGAACGTTCATCAGGGGCTTTAGTCTCTGCCCATCTTGTAAGATATCGATCTTCTGAGTCTGGGGAGTATGTGTCGCAAAGCCAGCACTGCAACGCAAGGCCTGCCTATCATTCGCGGGCGCAGGCAAGCGGCGAGAATGGGTGGACAAAAATAATGTAGTGAGTAAGCCAGGGGCCGTGCCTTCGCAGTGATCGTCGGATGATGATAACAGATATAGGATGTGTCTGAGGCGGCATGTCAGGACTGTCGGAGAAAGAGATATCAAGCCAACGCTTCTATCGTTGAGAGTGCAGGAGCTCGGCCTGGGCATGGACGTCCGTTCTTATACCGCAAGAGCCTCGAGAGAACCGGCATCGCGCTGGACCATGGATCCTATAGTATTACACCTCACTGACCTCCGTGACGTCAAGGCGGGATCAGGTTTGGTCTTGACCCCGCCTTCGCAGTGGAGAAAGTCGCTCACGACACACCTTCTGCCGCAAGAGTGCGTCCGTACACCGCTGAGATGGTTTATCTTGGGGCCTGCAGACGACGCCGGGAGAGCATTAACTCGATCCTGATTTAGGTTAATGCAAGGGGGTAAGGTTGGCACCCAACTGTATGGTCGGCTGCAAAGCCGTGTTCGAACAGAACTTACCTGTGCGTGGGTGCACTTACCAGTTCCTCGCGCTATGGTCCGCTGGTGGCACTCCGAAGAGACGTAAACGCTCCACAATTCGTCGGCTTCAGAAGAAGCTCTACGTATGCGCGTCGTCGAAAAAAGGACAGGTGGAAGCACGCGTTCGAACATTGGCTGTTTTTGACCGCGTTCGATCTGTGGAGTGGAGAGCCTATCTTGCGCTTGAAATGCAAAACCCAGATGATGGCAGGGCCGGGGCTGCAGTGGGTGAAGATGCCCGCGCGGCTATCCTTCCCTCGCACCGTCACATGTCTCAATCACCCCCATAGCAAGCGACTGCCTCCCGGCCGAGGGAGCTGGAAGCAATTCAGACGTCTTCGCCAGCGAACCTACAACACGTGTCCTCAGGGCAATAGAGTCGTGAGCAATCTGGGCGCCGGGTGGCCGGAAACGTAGACAGAGCGATGGAAGGCGAGGCATACAGGGCTTGCAGATTTGGAGATCGCACGTCCGGATGTACGCTCGGACGCTAACCCAAACGGGGGGTCGGCCCCTCGATAGCCCTCATGATAAAGTGCCGGGTACGTGTCAGACTCGGACCACAACTCAGGGAATCCGGAAAACGTCGTACGCTAGCCTTTGCAGGCCATGTCGGAGTACGTACGGTCCTGTAGGGAGTGCTGAGCTCTCCCAGGTAGGGAAGACGGGATCCCGGGGAGGCACCGGCGCCCATCGATTTCGTCCTTGACGGGCTGGCGAGCGTGCTCTTTCCGCATGGACCAGACGGATGGGAAATCTGGCGAATGAGCGGATGAACGCCTCCAGGGGGAACGTATACGTGCCGTTAGATGGGCGTCCACATCGATCCTTCACCTCCAGTAGTCATCCTTCTAAGCTTCTTCTTTGATGTTTGCCGTGATGTGGGGCAAGATCTGGAAGAGATATTTCCCTTTCCAGGGCTTTGTGTGGTTCGAGAAGAGCGTCCGTCATGTCTCTACTCCTTCACTGAGACCCGGCATGTGAGACAGTCCACAGAAGGCTTTGATGAACTGCCCTTCGTAGCTGACGAATTCCGGCAGAAAGGGGCCCTCTCCCGCCCGCAGCGGTTGCAGGAGGCCGAACGTCTCCAAGTCCAAACCCCGCCCAATGTACTTAAAGTCTGATGACGAGGCAATGCGTATCGGTCGTCGTAAGGCAGGAGGAGCATGGGATCAGCACGTCGATGAGCAGGGCACGCGTTACCGAAACGACCTGCATGCGCAGATCGCGGTGGGAGACTATGATTCTACCCGAAAACAGCATACATTCGCGGAAGCACAGGTGCGCACAACGTACCGCTCCTGACTGCCACTTCTAGTCATCATGTTTCCTCGACCCTACCGTACGTCGGCTGCATGGCGGCCGCGTCTTGGAGGGCCAGCATGTCCATCTCCCTGCTGACGTCGAACTCAGAACTCCGCTCCCTGTCCGCAATCGCCGCTTGCGCCCTCTCGCGTAGCCGGGCCACGCGTTCGTAGATCCTCAGCTGCGCCGCGAACCCGGGATTGGGGCGTGCCACCCGGCGCCGCGCGCGGAGCACCCGGAGCGCGTCGTCGAGGGAGAGGCGCAGCGTGCTGATGAGGAACGCGGCGACGACGCTCGCGCTCCGGGACATGCCCCACACGCAGTGCACGAGCACCCTGCTGCCGGCTTGCGCGCGGGCGTGCGCGATCCACCGGACGGCGTCGTCGAGGTAGGCGAGGAGGCTCTCCTCTGACTTGTCCTCTACTGGGACGCACAGGTGCGCGATCGATGGGGGATACCGGTGGCGCGGTCGCCGGACGACGGAGACGACGTGCGTGATGCCGAGCTGCTGGAGGGTGGCCGGGGACGTTGCGGTGTAGAGATCTGTGACGTACAAGCCCGGGATAATTTCGCTCGCTTGGGGAAGGAAGTCGTCGACGGGCGATCGTTGGGTGCATATGTTCCGGAGCGCCGCCCGATGAAAGTAGGTGTCGAGGGTGACGGAACGCAGCATGGACACGACCGTATCTGCGCGAGGGGGCGAATCGGACGGCTGGCGCGGGAGCGATGCCTGCGTGCGAGAAGAAGGTTAGACTTCAATCAGATGACTTGACTGCGTTTGCTGACCATTACAGGTGTCCCGAAAGGAGCGGTGTCCGCGGCAAGTTCGGTCACGATGCAGATATGTGCGAAGAGAAGGTGGCTTGATGATTGCGCTGTATAGTGTTCTTCTTTGCTTCATATAGCTGCTCAGGTGGGGCAATAGACGTCGGATAGACGACATTGTTGGTGTGCTCCGAAGACTGCACGTCCTCTGCGTTGGTCTGGCTGTGTGCTGACCGTGTGTTGGAGAATAACCTACAGGAAATATGGGGAACGATTCCGATTGTGACCGAGCGGGAAGACGAGGCGGATTCGCGATGTCGATCCGCCACTTCTCGGCACCCAACTGTCCGATCTCGTCCCACGCAGGAGCCACACGGAATGGTGTGCGCTGTATGAAGTAAATTATGCTGACTCGTGAAGAGCTCACCTTGTTATCCGCAGTTTACCCCTCTTCTCTGAGCCGCTAGATTTTGAACATTGGGACGGGTGCTGATCCATCTGTTCGCCTCGTCTACGATCGTCCACCCAATGCACAATGACGATCGCTCGGAAGACCGGTTGGTGAGACGCAACATGAACAATAAGGGAAGTGGAAGCGAGGGGAGATTTTTCCGGGATGCAGGCCGTGGATGATGAGATGGATCGGAGCACGAGGCGGTACCGAGTAGGCCTTAGAACTGGAAACAGAAGAGTCGGATTAGATAATATAACACATCACAAGCTTTAGGCATAAGATCGTGGAGAAAGCAAGCAAGTGTCAGTTGGCGATTCGTTCCAAACAGAACTCCCCCTCTTTGCGCGGCTACATAGAGGCTCGGAGTTGCAAATGGCGGAGTCCCTGTCTTTACAACCACTCGCCATGCCGCACCCTCCCATCACCATCGGCCCGCAAGGTACTCCCTCACAGCCAAGTCCCAGAGTCTGCGGTACACAAGGACTGCGTGCTTCCGACGCTCGTTTCATTTTCCAAGTTTCACGATCAGTTGGTCAAATGGATTGCAAGCGTTGTGGAGCCCCCGACCACACCCTCCCAACCGGACCACGACTCCGATATCGATGGCGCATGCTGCCAATGCGTTGCGAAATTTTCACGAGAGGTACGTGGTGGGATCTCGATGATGTGCGACGGAACGAGGTTTAGTAGGACCGCGAGGAGTTTTTGGAAGGGGGATCGACGGTTTTCGAATACAGAGAGCGCTATGAGCGTACGTCCGTCCACGTATCTCACCGCACATGCATGCACCGTGCCACTGATCACATCGGCGCGCCATGAATTAATGACTAACCTCGTTTTCAGGATCACCGGACGGGCTCATGTGCGTGCGTTACCCTATCCTCGGGGCGCGATCCACCTCCGAAAGAGAAAGGACGCTATCGCGGCCCTTTGTGGAAGCATCAGTCCTTGTCTTGGACGACGATGAGGACAAAGCAACGTCCATCCGATAAACAGGACACGCACCTCCGGTATCGACGCACGCCGATTAGGGTGCGGCTTCCGCTATAAAGAGGGAGCGACGGGTCAAGTCTTCCCCATCGCCCTTCTCCTCACCCTGGCATCCCAGGTCTTGCCTTCTATCCTCGCAGCGTCCGGGGCATCTCTATGGCGTCCGGTACAGCTCAGCCGAGAGGGCACTGTCCCCCACGGACGTCGCCATGCTTGGGTCAAGAGACCTATCTCTAACGAGGTGAGCACAGTCCTGCCGCCATTTCGAGAGCCTCGAGGCCATCGTCTGCGTCAGCAGAGCACAATCGTGATACGGAAGTGTCGGAGCTACTCTCGTACAGGCTCTGTCGTCAGTACTTTGGTCTGGCTCCCCATTCTCATATGTACTCGGATGTAAACCCTGATGCACGGGCCTCCATCCGGGTACATACCATGAGAATGGAAGAGCCCAGACCATGGTATCTGACCCCCGAGATGTACAGTGTAGATTGACCAACAACATCACATACCTTTTCGATGGGACAACCCCATAGGAGCGGGCGATATGCTCAGTTTTTACGCATTTGCGCCCTAGACGAATCGCTTACAATACGTCATTGAACTTTATCCCGCTTCTCGCGGGGCATGTCTCCCCACACTCGCTGCAAACGCGGCAGTTGTGAAACCTAGTCCGTGCTTCAGCGCCGTATGCAGACGCTGGGGCGCCACTGTGATCTCACCTTAGCTCATGGTAGGCCACAGCAGACACTCCGCTCACAATAGGAGTACCCCGCCGAACGTGTAATCGGGTGTGGTCGGCTATGGGGTTTCCAGGATGATCCTGTGTGGGAGCTTGGCCAGACGAGAAGCCGAGGTAGACGCCTTACGCGACGGCAGCAGTGTCCTCTGTGTACGTAAACCCTGCCTCGCAATGTGGTCCACTCGTTCGGCCCTCTTCCCCTCATAAAGGCGATTCTGTGCTACCAGTCGACGCTCATCTGCTGTCCGGATCCAATCGGCCATCTAGTTTCCACTTCTATCTTCACTCTATCTGGCATTGCCTAGGTGCGCTCCAACGTCTAGCCTCCTTCGTCCATCGAAGACGAAGCAGGCTGCGGTGGACTGCGACGCGGAGGGAGGCGATAGAGGCGTCCTCCGGACATACGGCAAGAGCTCTCCGCACGCGCAGCACTGCGCGCGTACACATCGATGTCATCACCGCAGGCTCGCTCGGTGTGTTCTTTCATCTCACTTGGCGTACAGGCCACGCAGAGGATCTGCAGGGTCCTTGGACGCCCTCCACCCCTATGCGCGAAGCCATGACATTACCTTGTGCAGGCGATATGTCAGGTTCTGTCGCCTCGACTCGGCTGGCTGCACAACTCGTTGTGATCCAGCCTGTTCACTTCTAGTGTCCAATACACCTGCGCCTCATCTCGGCTACAAAAGATAGCCTGCCAAGCGGCCGTCTCCAGAAGATCGTCGGCTTTCAGGGGACCCTTATCAACGGGTACTATGGGTGCGCATCACGTTCGTTTATAAGCCATGTTATTCAGACTCAATCGAGATCGACTGTCACGAAATGCTTCCATTCAGTTGGCTCCGAGCGCTGTGCCGCGCACCCCAGCACGCTGTCGTCCTGCCGGATACCGTCCTTCGACGTCCGCCGCCGCACGAGTGGGTCGCGACGACGAAATGGCTAGACAGGCCTGGGGTGGGGAGGCGTTTTGCGACTGTTCGGTTTGTGACCTCTCACAAGCTCTTCTTTCCGTGTCCATTGCATGTGTCGCGATCGTGGAAATGCATGATGGCCATCTTGCTTGCCTGGATCCATCACGCTCTATCTACTTGCACAATATGACAATCCGTTCGTCATGCCCTAGTCGACTCGATGCGTTGGAGACTACAGAAGACGCCTGCACGATTTCTGCGTCAACTCTCAGCTATGCAACAAATCACTCTGCGATGTAACCTGCGCTGTTGGGCGTGCCGCCGCTGTAAAATGGCATCGGGTTCATTGCTTTCAATATCTTCTACATTGCGTACTCGTACAAAAGCGGGCAGCGTCGGTCTTGAACCACGCACGATCGGATACTACGACGAAGCGCAAGAACGCTGCTGTAAGCCCCTGAAGTTTGATCACACCCCCAAACCCACCCCGCCAACACCACAAGCAAGCCAAACCTAAGCCGCAACCTTCCCGCTCAGCTCGCGCTCCACACGCACGATGTCCTGCGTATGGGGGTGGGCCCACAGAGCGGCCCCAGCCTCGGGCTCGATCGGGGGCAGCGGCCTGCGCGTGAGCCCGCCGTAGCCGTAGAGCTTCTCGAGCAGGGCCTTTGTACCCGCGATGCCTGCCTTGGCGATGGTGAAGTCGGCCCGCGCGACGATGCCCTGCAGGCGCTGCGCCTCGGGCAGGAGCGAGGGATCGCGGACCGCAGCCTGGGAGAGCTCGTAGAGCTTTTCGATCGTGTGCTGTTGCGGCGGTGCGCGCCCATGAAGAGAAAGCCAAGCCGGGTAGATGTCCCGAGGAGGAGCGCGGACGTCAGCGCATGTTATGATGAGATAGGAAAGGATGCCCCATAGGGCGAAATGTGGGTGGGAGAGACGAAAGCGGACGTACAGGAGCTATGTTGGCCAGGCCGGTGATTGCGCCGTGCGCGTTCACGTAGGCCGTAGGGAGGACGAAGTCAATGAACCCTCCCAGCACCAGGAATGGTGCGTCGGCGTTCAAACGCGGGTACTGCGACGAGAAAGATGGCTCTGACACTGTAGCCGTGATCCGCGTGAGCTTTCCGACATTTCCGCAACTGCACCGATGACGGGTGCGCGCGAGCCAAAGCAAGCAGAGCCTGCAGTCAATAGACGAGCATATTGCACGATATCGGAATTTGTACGCACGTGAGTTTGACTCCACAGAGATTCGGGCACTCAATGGCCAGCTCAGTGATAAGGTCCGAGTCAAGGTCAATGCCTCCGCTCGCCCCAGGATCTGCCGTCGTTGATCCGTGTCAGCCTGAACTTCGACTTTATCGCGCTCTTATGGTCAATGGAAGAGATGAAGACGTTATGAAGACGGAAGCAAGCAACGTATAGCGGAACAGAAGACCTGTTCTCGATAAAGCGTCCGACGGCATAACAAAGTGACAAAATGCATATACATGGGAATGAGGACGCACAATTATAGATTATGACTGGGATGGGACTCTTTGCCGCAACTTCAGTCCAAAACGCTTTGAGAGCCTTCCTGTTGTTGGCGAGTACACCAGCATAATACCCGCTCGCTATGACGATGCTGTAGTCCGCGCCCGCCGCCGCGGCCTCCTGGCAGAGCTCGATCGTCTCGCGCGTGGAACCTGCGCCCGTGCCCGCGATGATCGGCACGGCCGTCAGTCCAGCATCATCGAGAGCTTGTCTGGCAGCTTTGATGAGGGTGACACGTTCACTGTGAGAGAGATGGTGTGCTTCGCCCATCGAGCCCGCAAGGAGGGGCCGGACGCCCGCCTTCGCGACACGCAAAACATGCGACGTAAAGGTAGGGATGTCTACGAGGCACCGCGGCCACTTATTAGCAAGCTTTCGCAGAAGGTGCAGTCTCAGGCGCGTAGTGATCTTACCAAGGTCCTCCGTCTCGGGCAGGAAGAACGTCGGGATGGGGGCATAGATTCCGGCGGTCAACGGACGCGATTTGGGAACGCCGTTCGTCCCGTTGACGTGTACGCCGTTGACGGAGTGGCCGTTGACTTCTGTGGATGCGGACATTGTTGGATGGCAGTGAGAGGGACCGGAGGGCTTCCGAGGCTGCAAAACGCCTCAGGCTGCTTTTGAGGGGGCCACATTGGCGGTCAGGTCCGTCTCGGACCGGCGGACCGTGATCTCACGGGGACGATCAGCGTGGGGAAGCCTCCAATGCCGGCCCGGCAATCGCTTGAATGCCGGTCCAGAACGGCCCCGCCAGCCGCTCTTCCCGGTGCACGCACGGGCGCAACATAAACCTTATTGGTTGCGCTTTACTTCCAACGTTTCGCAAACCTGTCGGAACCTGCTCATCTGAGTTATGAGTAGCCCCACTTGTGAACAGACGCGACATGGTCCACGCTACCAGAGGGTACACAAGTGAGGGGCGCGGACCGTCGGAGAGCAAACTAGGAGCCCGTGAGGCCTGCGTATCCGGGCAGATAGCGAAGAAGCGACCAACGTACCATTTGTCGCATGTCGAAGAACGCCAGATACTTGTCAAGAAGATATCAATAGACATCAGACTTCAATATTTTCAACACCTGGGCCAGATGTGCGCCATACTAGGTTGATTTTGTCGCGACCAGTGCGCACGAGACGGATGTGGTGCCACACCAGCGGGCTAGAAGAGTAGAACTTCTCATACTTTGCAGCTCATGTCGTGCAACGTGACCGCAAGCGTCCGTATTCGTCCGAGAATAGGCCAGCTCACCAGGTTCTATGCCGTTACGCTCTTGCCGATGCTCGCTCAGCCGTGGACGCTATGGTATGCGAGTGGCGTTTGGTGGGGTATAGAACTGATACGGAACACCTGTATTCAACACCACTACGTTCTGTTCATAGACATGTTATTGCCAGTAATGGTGAGATTGGCACACATGAATGCTTACCTACGGACTACAGCTGAATATGCTACAGATCAAACTTCACTACCTGCTCTCCCGCGCCACGCTCAATCTTCAGCAGTCGTTTGGCGACACAACCGTACAAGGGTTTTGTCACTGCGCTACCTCCAATCAGCCCCGCACCTGTGCTCGTGCCAATGCTGGCCGCCTTCTGGGTCAGGTCTTCCTTGAGGACCCGGAGGGACTGTGCATGACCTGGCGCTGTAAGGAGCGCCAGAAGCATGTGCGCTGTGAGCACTTGCTGTGCGGTTGGTGCCGCGTTCGGGCCGGAAGGCGCAGAAAAAGAAGAGAAGCTAGAGGCGGAAGGAGAAGAAGGTATCGGACTATGCGTTGCGAGCTCCCGTAGATAGGCCCTGTGTACCCATGTTAGCAGAATTTTGGATCAGAGTTCAGCACTATGTTGTACGCACATCGTTTCCTTCGCACGCGGAGGCTTACTCTTGCTGGTGCTCCTGCCGAGCGCATCGAATGGATGGCCAGGCATGATGACCTCCCCGACAGTGGCCCAAATCTTCTCCTACATTTACAGCGTGAGCCACGCCGCGTGAACCCAGCAGACGAACGCGACAGACCACTATTCGCTCCAACTCAGTCGTAACCTTGACCTTCTGGCGATGCTGAGGAGTCGCAGCAGCTGGCTCCGCATCTTTTGGAGGAGGAAGCGCTTCCTCCACTTCCTCGGGCGCAGGATCGGGCGCAACGTAAATTTGTTTCTCGGGGGGTGACGCAGCAGGTAGCTTCCCCAGAACCACCGTTGGATCTACGCTTTCATCTATTTCGCCGAGCACCTCGTCAATTTCCTCCTCTTCGATGTCGTCTGCTGGCTCTTCTGATACGACCACTTCTTTCTCGGCCGGCGGACTCATGATCTTCTTCTGCAGAGAGAGGGGAGTTCCAAACGATGCCGTTGTGACATTCGCCAGATCAACTTCTTCATCGAGAAGAGAATCGCCTGTAAAATGTAGAGTGCGAGCAGCCGCGCCAGGAGTGTTCCAAAATGTGTCTTCGCGCTCATCGGTGGCTTCGGTTGGCGTCGCGGTGATCAGGGGCTTAGGTTCGCGTTTAGCTCGAAGTGGGCCACGCGCTTTCTTCTTCGCCAGCTCCTCCTTCTGAGGTGAAACCATAATTATCTGCACACGAACCGGCGATGAGCGCTGCTGAGACTTACACGCTCTCTCAGGTATTGAATCTGAGACTGCAATTCATTGATTTGTCGCTCTTCCTTCTTGATGCTTGACTTAGGTGATAGAGGTGGCGTAGCTGCGTCCGCATCTGAATGCTAGGCTTAATGGTTGGAGATGGTCGAAAGGTATTACGGGGAACTCACTTGCTTAAGCTGCTCGCTTAGGTTATGTATGTTCGCTCTGACCTCCTCCAAGCGTTCAATGATCTGGAGCGCCTGCTCGGATGCCCGAGGCATGGGTCGGATTGATTGGCTACTGGCTTCAGCCTTTCGCATAAGGAGCCACGCACATATACTTACTAGCGTTCCAAGTACTTCACAGCAGCGTTCGCATACACCTCCGGATCGTGCTCCCGCGGTGCTCGGGCAGCGTCTCCCTTCCCGTACCTCGAGGACGGTGGTTTGCGGAGTGGGGTCGCGCCTAGAAACTCAACTCGCGTAATCTCGACGCTCCCAGTATCTACTTCGGCGATGGTTGGCTGCTGTGGTTGCACGAGCGTGAAAAGACCTATCTCTGCGGGATCTATGTCTCGAATAAGATCACCGAGAGGCATGTCCAATATCGCACGAGTGAATGGTCCAGAGATGGGGGTGCCAGAAGTAGGTGCAGCGGAGGCACGGACAGATGAGGCGAGTGCAGAGATGCGGTCGACATGGTCGACCAAGCTCGCCATCCTGCGCGACAGCGACGGTAACTAGTAGAGTTAGTGGCTTAAGTTCAAGGTGAGTGTCTCCCTTTGCTCGGCCCACCCTAAACAGTCACATGATGTCATGCGTGACCACGAGTATTGAGCGTCTCCACCACTAGCGAGGCTGTCCTGATATATATATCAACCCAGCTTGCCAGCTTTCTATGACATATCGAGCCAAGAAGTAACGGAAATCTAAGGGATCCCAGCGGACGTGACAGACGAGCAAAAGAGGAGTTATGAGGCCTGGTGTGCATTTCCGTATTACATCGATAATCCAGCGTTGTCTTCGTACGTGAAGTGCACAAGAAGAGAATGCTCTATGAATTGAAACAGGTAGCTATATATCAGATAATGCAGCAAAGACAGGCCTTGATTGGAGAAGGTGGAAGAGGGCGAGGCGATTCATCATGCTATGCGAACGACGTGTGGCGTGACAAGTGGATGCGAGGCGGCGGTAGGTAGAGATGGTAGCGACAGCTACGACGAGAGTCGAAGGAGGGGGCGCGCAGAAGCGAGGGGCGAGGAGAGGGCTGATGGCGTAGTAGTCAAAGGGCAAGCGTCCGTATCCTAAACACGGAGGAATTACGAATATGGAGCTAATGTTCTGTACGTGGGGAATAGTGGATGGGCGTCGGATATTGGCGTGACGGTGACGTGCGGCGACGAGCAAGAGCGGAATGGGTATGATGAACTAGTAACACAGCGAGTCAAAGCGAACAGTCCGACAATGGTGCCAATGCAACGACTATGCGACATTAGAACTTCGATCTGGGGTCTAAAGGCCCCAGTGGCCCATAATCTTGCTTGCCGGAACGTCCACCGCTCGACTCCTTCCCGTGTGCTTGCCAGTCCGCAGAGCTACCTGTGCCGATAGAATCTCCAGGTGTCGTTGGCGATATTGGCTGGAGCAGCGGTGCTGCCTGCGCAGTCTGCACGCCGGGCGAGGTTGCCCTGGACAGTGGTGTATACCCATTGCCCCTATCGGATAGCTGGAATCGCGTCTCATGCCCTCTTGCACGCCCAGATGACCGCTCGTCGAACCCGACTTCGAGCATTGCTTCGAGATCCGATCCCGCTATGGTTTCCGCGCTCGCCAGAGCCTGTGGCATGAGTGTGACGGGCGGAGGAGGATATTGGACGCTGTTCTCGTTGTATCCGCCGATCTGCGCCCCCCAGTGGTCGTCGTCTGAGGAAGCTACAGAGACAGTGTCCGAGCCATCGTACTGGCTATACACCTCGCTGCGCGCGACGAGCTCGCCATTCGAACCGATGTAAGCTCCGTGTTGGCGCTCGAACTCTCGTCTCCGCCTCTCCTCGCGGCGAATCTTCCGCAGTCGTGAGCGCTCCCAGTCTTCCCAGCGTCGCATAGGTACGCTCGCTGCTCCGATGACTCCAGCTCCTTCTCCATGAGCTTCCCCCTTGCGTTCACCTTCGACCTTCCTATAATATGCCCAAGCCATTAGAGTGTGGATGTGGTATCATCATGAAAAACATAGACACACCGAGTTTCGCCCCAAGAGAAGTCATCGAAATGCCAGAAGGCATATACTGGGAGGACGAAATTCCAAACTGGCAGCGCCGCCAAGTAGATCAACATCCAGAAGATGTACACGACCTTCCTCGTAGTGATGAGAATAAGGATAGCGGGGAGACCGAGGACGGCAATGAGAAGGACGAGAGGGATCGCTTCTTCGAAGTTGTGCGGAGGAGCGAGAATCATGCCCACGATGAGCATGTACGTCAGGGAAATAGCGATGGGAAGGACGACAGTGCCGAGAAGGTCCATGAAAACTACGAACTGCATGCTGAAGCAGAAGGTCCCGCACAGATTCCGAACAAGGACCAGTTCCATGAGGTTGTGGATCGTGGAATTGATCCAACGACGACGCTGCGAGAGGAGCACGCTGAACGTATCGGGCACGACCGTTCTGCACTTCGCCTGGGGAAGGAACATCATCTTGCGATTCGGGAACGTGCGCAGGAGAATGGTGGTGAGGAAACGATCTTCGCCGAGCAAGAGCAGGTTCTTCTCGTGCAGCGTCGTCACAACCGACTGGCTATACTCCTTGACGATCTCCGGTTTGATGATGAGAGGCACCCAGTCGTCGCCTGTAGCCTTCCGCGCCTTCAATCTGAACATCGAGAAACACCCTGGGAGACAGGAAACACCACCAAAGACGGATTCGAAGGCCTTCGCGTTGTGATGGGAGATGAAGTACTCGAAGACCTGGATGGCCGTGACCCAAGACTGTCGCTTGTTCGCTATCCGTGTTTCCCCGCATACGCCCATGATCATCTGATCGTGGTGCATGCAGTTTACGAGGTACTTCAGGGAATCGGGGTACACTTTCGTGTCGGCGTCGACCTACATAGTCGCTTGAGATGCCGATACGCGCGCGCGACTTCGCGAGATGCGGACTTACCATGAGACAGACTTCAAAGAAGTCGGGCGTGACTCCCATGAGGACGTGGATCTTGCGGAAGAGATCGAAATCGAGTGGGCTCATCCGATCGTTGTAGGTGACGCGGGAGAAGAAGTTCATGAGAATCAATTGACTGTCGCGCTTGCCCCGATTGCCTGGTTTCTTGTCCGTAGCCGCTTCCTGCTCCGTCCCGCACTTCACAACGACGACCGTGGGCGTCCGCCGGCCAGCGACGGCTGAGTCGATGGTCAGCAATGCGCATGGACCTCGAGACGATCACAAGACTCACTGTAATGCCCAGCATAGACCATAGCTCTGTTCTCGCTTTTCGCACCCGAGCCGACGGCAGCATAACTCATAGGCACCGGATTACCGAACCGTGGGTCGGCTTCCAGCAGACTGACACAGATGTCGGGCGTACTTCGCTTTTCTCCTGCTCCGGTGATCATTCCGTCCGCGACCACGAACAAGAGCTTACGCTGGTCGGCGTACGATGTAGTGGAGATCGAGTCGAGCGTGGTCCGGAGAGAGTCCTCGCCTTCTGAGTAACACGTAACGAGACAGACCGCAAATAGCTCGGCTCCGATCTGCGCGAGGCTCATGACAGGCGCCGCCGCCCCGCTGTCTCGGTTGTTGACAAGCGTGGAGCTCGAGGACACCATCGAACGCACGGTTTTGCTGTTGGGTTTCATGAGTCGCTTCGTGCCCCCAGGGCCAGCCCACGGCGCCGTCCCGTTGAGGTTGTCAATCGAGACATTGGCGCCTTCAGGCATGACAGCAGGGCTGATCGCAGAGCGATTGAGGGTGAGATTGTCGGGGGGACCGGCAAGACGGGAGGACATGAACCAGTTGAAGACGCAGGCCATGGCGAAACGGACCATGACGAGACTTAGGACGACAATGAGACCGGCGTACAGCACGAGCTGTGACACCACGCATCCGGGCGTAATCTTGTCGATGTTCCCGGCGTAGTATCGCTGCACCAGACAAGGAACTGCTTGGCGAAGTTCCGAGCGGTAGTAGAACAGACGCGTAGCATCTCGGCCGGACCCTCCGGGCATGTTCTGCAACACCGTCCGGATGGCAGCGTCAACGTTGTCGGAGGGAATGGGGGTAGGATGAAGCGCCATGTACGAGTTCATGTTGAGTACGGCGCCGTCAATGACGAGATAGTTCTGGAGAGCTGCGACCTGGTCCCAATCGTAGCCTACGACCAAGGTAGTGTTGATGAACCCATCCTTCTCAAGAGAAGTAGTATCGAGTTGACCGATAGGACACTTGTCTGCTTGGGGACAAGGCGCCTCGGCGGCAGCGCGGAAGGAAAGGCCGCTACAAGCAGGGTACTGGCTGGCGTTACGCTGGAAAAGAGTGGTAATGTCCTGGCCAGGAGACTTGAGCAAATCGGTGAAGTTGACTCCCTGTGCGGTAGGAAACTTCGTGATGTTCATCTGCCACCCCTGCACTCCCAGAACTCCTCCCACCGACCCCTTCGGCGCGAACCTGCTAACGAACTGCGTGGTGTCGGGGCATAGGACCTTCTGGAAGCCGACGGTGACGAAGCCTACACCACCGCAAAGAATGATGATGATGAAGCAGAGGGCAATCTTTTCCCTCCAAGCCTGCCGCTTCTGCTTGTCTCGTAGTCCTCCGAGTGATTCGAGGAGGAAGTCGGGGGCCCAAAATGACACGACGCGCGAGAATATACGCCATGCGTCAAGGGGAGGACCGTCGTCGGAAGCAGCAGCTCGTGGGCCGGCGGCGGAGTGTGCTACCTGTGCATTTATGAGCGGAACGGGGGCTACAGTACGCTCCGGGCGGGTAAGTGTCTTCGCACGGCGGACAGTGGTCGCCGAAGGCTGAAGAGTCCTTGAGGTCGGAATGGGGACATCTGAGGGATCGAACTTGGGCCGGAATTGAGCAGACATGCTCAAATAAGGGAAGGGAAAAGACAGTCAACGAAAGAGAAAGGCAGCTTGAGGGAGGGCGGGCAGGTCGGAGGGAAGGAGCGTGGGGAGAGCGTCGGCAACGACGACGACAAGGCAGAAGGCAACGAGCGCCGTGGCCGCCCACAGAGACAAGGCCCAGGCGGAGCCAATAGTCCCTTTCAAACTCAGATATGTCCACCTACTTGGCGCATTTCATCGATGTAACAACGCTCGAGTACAGTTGTGGCAGATCATTGATCGGAAGCTGATGCCTCTCTTAGTTTCTATCAATCACCAACCCCGAAGAGTGTCGTAAATGCACGTCGTTGAGAGGATTTACCGAGCATGCCCTTTTCGACCCCCCATTTCCATGTCCTCTCTGGTTAGATGGCAAATACGCTGCTCGATTCACGCCCTATCTCCGGCTCTTCCAGTCCTCGTCGGATTTCTCGGGTTGCGTCAGAACCACAACCTGCCCAAGCATCAAACTCCCACCAACGGCCTCACAGCATAAGCCCGCGGGAAGATGCTCTCATCGCCCAGGTACGACGAACGTGACATGGCCTGTGCGGGAAGAACCATGTACAACTGTCCATATTTTAAGCTCGGCCCGCTGGCCTCCCAACACCACGCAAGCGAATATAACCGCCTCAAATTTGGGCCGAACGGTGCGTCATTCCTGTCGAATGCGGTGGCGGTAATGCCAAACGACCTGCGCTGTAGGTTCTCCTCTGGCATACATCCCTTATTCGGTACAGATGCCGGACCACTACAAAGAGATGCAAGCACACCAGACACGATGCGCGGAACAAAAAGCATGGTGGCCTCACGAAACACATCGGAAGTTGTCTGTCAAACGTGCCTCCGCCCACCTGTCACCGTGCGGAACCGATAGCGTCGCCTCGGTAAACATATCCGAACACACGACTACAATAGACCTTCGAGAGCAATTGTCCGCGGCAATTTCAACGTCTATGATTCGGCCACTGACGCATGAAGATCGACACGCTACCGTACCCATGCCACAGCCCCATTGGCAGACATCTGAGACCCATCCCATAGTGTAAGTGATCAATAATTGTAGTCTGCCGTCGGCTGAACTCATGTGACCAAGTATATCCACTATTATACCTTCTGATCTAGTATTGACTATTTCCTCTCAACTACGCTGTCCTGCAGAGCCATATCCTGTTGTGTTCGAAGTCCCATCCTCTCACCAGCTCAACCGCATGATACCCACACCTTTCCCGGCTGTTGTGAAACCTGACCCACCCACATCGCCTCAGATTTCGCCTCCGCCGACAGCTACTCCGTTGATCACTCCCCCCTCCACACCAATATCGCCTTCCCAGTCGATTGCAAAGTCAATAAAACTCTCTAGTCTCTTCTGGGTTCATCCAACCGTGAGACGCGCGTTCATAGGGGCCGAGGAACTTCACGCTTTACCCAAGAAACGCTCTAGACCGGCCTCTCTCATCGTTCCAAGCCGTGGTAGCATGGACACGACTGTCTTGCAACGCCTGGCAGTGGCGCGCAACTGCTCTTCGCATTCCCTGGGCGAAAGGCATACGAGGCTGGAGGAAACTCAAAGGTTTGCCACGCCTTCGCTGTGCAGAAGAGCTGAATGACTGATATACGTAGAAGCCGTGAGCCTTCTGCTCTAAAGGCCGTGTTCCCCCCTCTTAAGCAGGCGTCTCCCGCCTCCAACATGGACATCCCTCCCGCTCTTCCAATCCCCTCCAACATCAATATGAGATTACTCGGAAACTTGTACATGTCGTCATGTCCTGGGAAGAAAGGTGGCTTCCTTGCAATTCGTGACGAAGCGCTATACTGACTTCTCTTAGTGAGGCTGGATGGTCCTGTCAGAGGACGCAACACGGTATGCAGGGATCTTCGATCAGACCTCTCTCGCATCAAGAACGTAGGCGCCGCATGTATTGTCTGGTATGTACTAGTCTTCGCCGTGCGCGTGATCGTTCGTAGTATCTCAGTGACGTTCCGCTGAATAGCTGCCTTGACGACGCTGAGCTGCAGACACTTGGTGTCGCATGGTCGGACTACGCTCGAACAGCCGACGAGTTGGGCATCGACGTTCTACGGTGCGCTTCTACCAGGTCACGTTTGGCGAACGCTAAGGTGACTTACCCTTTACAGAATACCAATACCAGAAGGCCTGGCTCCTATGGCACCCTCGGACTTGGATTCGCATCTCTCGAAGCTCATCGAGTCGTACACTATCCGTGGGAGAGCGATCCTCGTACACTGTCGAGGAGGAGTGGGCCGCGCAGGCGTTGTAGCGTGCTGCTGGATGCTGAAGCTCGGGCTCTGCGGTTGGACCGTTCCTCCGCACGCAGTAGGCGACACATTGCATGCGGCTCCCGTGTCTAGCGGGGACGTCTCCGGCCAGGAACGAGGCGAGAGAGTTAGTCGGGAGACGATGCGTCTGGTGGAGCGACTGATCTCTGTCGTGCGAAGGCGTAGGAGCCTCAAGGCGATTGAGACCTACGAGCAGGTCAAGTTCCTCGTTGACTACGTAGAGTTCTTGCGAGAACAAGCGTCGTCGGGATCCTTCATTCGCGCCAATTTGCTCGCCGACTGGGATGCTCAAGTGGAGTAACATTCCATCTCATCGCTTGAGTACCGCACTCTGTACCCAAAAACATGGCAGTCTACTATTGCCAAGGTGAGTCAGACATACAAGGAAGTTTGCAAACTACTGGAAGCCGCACAGGAGACCGCTACGGACATCTGGAAGGAAGCGCCCTCGTGATGTATATACTATAAGCTTCGGATCTGACCATGGAAATGAAATTGTATGGTATGTGGCAAGTCCAGCGTACGGGAAACCACCGAACTAAGCTAACGATTTCATTCTGCACTTGTAATCACAACGACCGGCTGATTGGGTTAGTGTCTGGATTGCTCTTGGGGTTGTGATACTTCCTGTCCTGTTGTGCGTTGTATGATCAAGATATTGTTGAGCTATTGTACTTGCTCCGGTGCCTTGTCAACTTGTCTGAACCAATGTCCTGCGTCTCGAGGAGGTGAAGTACCAAATCGGGAACGAAGCCCCACAGACGTCATGGCACACACGTACTTGTACACAGCTTATGGTCGCTGCAGTGCTATACAGTTCTATCTCCCGTTATGCCATCCTCTATTGTCGTAACCACTGGGAACACCTCCACCGTGCAATTACTCTGCGATGCAAAATCTCCTTACGCCGACACTGCCGATGCAGCGGCGACTCGCAAAAGCATCTCAACGCTCCTCGGGCACTTCGAGCTCGGATCCGATGCCGGACCCCCGTTCGCTTTTGCGCCAACCAAGCCCGACATCTCCCCTGAAATAGAGGACTTCCTCAAGCAGCTTACGGTCGCCGCAAATGCTGCCGCTGCTTCCGGATTCTGCGGGAGCATCCTCGCAGGACACACTAGCGAGGCCGATGACTACGGAGACGTGGCGTTCTACCTCGGGCCGGGCGACTATGGGCCGGGCCACGAACAGGACGTTCTCAGGTCGCTGGGCATTGAGAACTTCCAGGATTTGATGTCAAACGATGTCGCCTCTAAGAAGGTGGGCGATTGTCCAAAGGATAGGCCTGACCATGAAATATTTACTGACAATACCACATTGCTTTGACCTCCTCCTGCAGGCTACGCAACCCGTGGAGCTGTCTTCTACTGATGGACTCCCGACCACTGGCAATATAGCTGCAGACGCCTCATCGGGAGACACGGTAAAGCGGCTGAGGGACATCCTGAAGCAGTTGAGCGATCGATATGCGTTCTGCGTTCCGGGACCGGGCGTGCTAGTGTTCTATTTTCTAGTCGGTCGTTCGGGAGCATCAGAGTGGATTGGTCTTGCAGGGATCGGAGTGCATTCATGACTTAGGCTGTTTTGTGTACACCATTGTCCGGGAGTCCTCCCTGTCTCGTTCACCTCTAGATGCAGCGCTGCCTGGCTTACATTGTGTGCGCAGATAGTCAACGAATTGCTCCAGAGCCTTCTGATACCCAGCTGAGGAGCTCTGAGTTACATGAATTGAACGCAGATCTCGAAGACGTAACAGTTCCTAGTGTGGGGCAAGGAGCTTGCTTGATTCTGATGATCGCACAGAGGCGGTGTAATAAATGTATTGGCAGTCTGGGATCAGTCTTTCCCCAGGCATTATCGGAACTCGATGATCATGATAAAACCCACCAGTTCGGCTTTGCCTGGTGAAGGTAGCTTCATGGCGTTCAGGGGCACCTGATTGACATATGTGCCACGCTCGCTGCTGAATTACCGCCGCTGTCGGATATCAAGTTGGTTCTCTGGGATGCCGCAATGCATTCATCCGAAGCCGTGAAGCTCTGGGTGCACAGCCGATACTCCAATTATCCCCATCAAGGTCCTTCGAGTCGGGAATCAGTATGATGTCGGCCTGCACGTTTCGGGTGTATGCATGAACCAAGTTGTCGGCTTCTCGCGACTTCAATCAGCCTGTGATACACCGCCTCCCTGAGAATTGATGGGGCATCCGAGCACTTACAAGGCACTCTATATTGGGTTCCTTACAAAGATGCCATAGGCTGCAAGAAAGTTGGAACACCACCCCATGGAGTGCAACGGTGCGATCAGTCTGAGGGTCCCTCGACTGTGGAGCGTCAGCGCTCACGGGGCATATTCGAAATATTTTCTGGGTGCACATTGTCGAGACTCGAATAGCTTTGGGTCCGGTCACCATCGGGGGATGAGGAAAGACGTCCACGTGGCGAAGCCCATCACTGCAGCCGCGCTCGGTGTACTAAGGACCGCGCTTGAGGCGTCCAGGGGAGCCATGATGAAGTCAGCCAGAGTACTTAGCGGTGATGAAGGCATAACGTTGTCGCTCGGCGAGGTCGGTGGTCGGTCTGACTGGGCTTGCAGGTTGCATTCCCCCGCCATGACAGGCGGCCTCCTTGAATATCGGTGGCTGACGACAGTCGGAGTTGTCAAATGGCGTGTAGACCTTGTGACGCACCGCTCATGGGGCCGCGGTCAACTTCGGGCTCAAAACTGCCGAGCATTGTCGACGGGAAGCATTCTCCCTTGCATCACGAACTTAACACGAGGCTTGGTCAAAGTTAACGAACGGTAGGCACCGCTTCTTCCTTCGAGACGTTTACTTTGGCTGTCGCTGCCCCTAGGATGCTCGTGCTCTGCGAACGAATTCGATGATCCACAAAGCGAATTTGACGACGACTGCGGCGGGTACAACGGCGACATGAACAAGAACCGCTGAGTTCTAAACCGTGCCTATCTAGCGCTCTCAGAACCGGCGGTCGGCGGCCAGATCCGAGATCGGACGCTGACGTTCGTGTGGCACGGGAGCGCCGGCGACTGCTTTAGCAAAGTTGTCCCCAACGTCGACCACGATGAGCACACCAGCGACGGCGGCCACGCCATCAGTCGCGGCTTTCGTAACTCCTGCGAGTGCATCTGCTGCCGAGTTGATGCCGCCGCCGCCGGTGCCGCCATCCGCACAACCGAGCGCGCCAGAAACCACGAGTGGGCGGGCCATAGCCCCCACCACGCCAGCACCGGAGCTCACAACACTCCGCACCCATATTCAGACGCTGACGGAGCTAAACAATCGTCTGCAGGCCATCCGTAACATCCCAGCACAGCTGCTGCGACCCCCTGGATCGGACCCGTCCTCGACGCTGCTTACGCATGGCTTCAAGGAAATTGCCGCGATCGCAGACACGGTGCGGACAGAAAAAGTTCAGGATGCGTTGAAGGCGGCGCGGAAGAGCGAACAGGCCGATTCAAGTGGCCTTACTTCCAGTCTTCGTCGAGAGACCCTCAAGCGAAGGCAAGTCGGAGCCTCTCCTGCTGCTATTTCTTTACTGAATTCGCATGCAGGCGACCACCTTCACCTGACTCGCCACAGCCATACCGTGAAACGGAATTGAAGGAGGCCGTTTTCCTCCCACTGGTCGAGTCTGGCACATCTCGAATACTTTTGGACGCGTTACCAGCCTACATCCGGAACCACAACAAGTCTAGCAAAAACAAGCTGCATCTCGTTGCACCGAGGAAGGGCAGGGAACTAGCCTGCCCTCTAACGCTTCGCTTTACCTGCCCAAACGTTGTGACAGTCTACCTAACACTGGACTACTCAACCGACAACGATCAGATCTTAGTCGTGGAGAACGCTACGGCGATCGGTTCTCGAGAACAGGTACAGAGTCGTGGGATACCTCGGCCTGCGATAATACTCAACGCCATGGTGTTCACTTAGAAACAGCCCCATTCACAATCTGACTTCATGGCGTTCCAACAGCTTTCGCAACAGCTCGCGAAAGTCATCCGGTCTGACCCATCCGCACCGTTACAAGCTTACGTGGTAAGCCAATTCGTCAGCTCCCCAATGATCTCAGCTGCAGTGCGACCAGGGTGCCACGTGCGCTGACATTATGCCAGGCACTTTTGAGCTCTTACGAGCGGTTGTTCGTCGATATATGCTCAAATTGTCAACGGGTAATCTCCGCAGAAGGGCATGTTCCCCCTGTGGTGAGGAAGCGGCTACTTTCTTCTTCTGCCGACCCCAAGGCACCTCAGTGGGACGTTCGACACGTCCTTTGCAAGTACGAGCCGCCAGCGCCACAGGCGAACCCAGGCGATCATGGCGTCGAGAACGAGGGCGAGGGCGGCGGCAAGAACGGCGAAGCCGGCAGTAATGCGTAGCCTGTACTCATACTTGTTGACATCGACATGCCTTTCACTGTCACTCGCTATGGTTGTATTGTTACGGTGCGTATTGTGGTGGCTACTTGGCCTCAACACAAGACGGATGTGCGTATTTTTCCATGACATGACTTATAGGGGCACGATCGCTATCCATATTGTCGGGAATGTAGCCCATTGTGTTAAGTCAGCTATTATCAACCTGTTCTGACAAGCAGCATGACCTCTGGTGACCCCGCTGCAGGCATCGTGATTCTACTGACAAGATGCGGTAGGTCGGGTACCCCCTAAATCCACCAGTCGTAATGGGGGCCAAAAAAGTACTGGAACTACCCGAAGTCTCCACGGCTATAGAACGGAGTCTGCTTGCTCCGAAGGCCCGGAGAACGTGCACATGACGGACCGTCGGGTCCGAGGTTCATCCATTCCTCATGACGTGCTCTCGACTGTACCTCGAGAGAGTACGTCGGCGAACGCGTTGATGCGCCGTCAGAGAGTCTGGCAACAGCTACTTACAGACCATCAAGTAGTGATGACCTCAATGCGAATAACAGACGGTTCATCCAATGGTGCGTCGACGCCGGGAAACAGGAACATGACAGGGGGGAGAACGACGCGAACTTGACGCGTTCTGACATGAGGAGTTAAGCTCCGATGCGGCGGAGGGGTCGCGATGGAGGGCTGGGCGCAGAGCTCGAGTCGGTAAACTGGAGGACTGCGCATGGCGGTGGCTCGAGATACTTGCCACGTGGGGGCCTTGTGGGCAGATCTCGATAGGATCAGCATCATAACTATTCCGCGTTTGGTCAACTTTGCTACTTCTTGCTGTTTTCCTCGTCCTGTTTCGGCTCGCAATTCCTGACAACGTGTTTACCCTCAGAATTTCGTCTAGTCCAAGGCGATCGTCTAAACATCCATGAGGCTATCTGCCCTTCAAGAAGCCTAGCCTAGCCTACTCCATTGGATGATGTCCGGTCGGGATGGCGATGTAGATGGCACGAGCCGACGGAGAGGGCGGAACATACTTCAGCAGACCCTTGTGCCGTTGGAAATACGGGTGCCTTGGTTGATGGGACCGAATGCGGAGCCACGTTACATACCGCCCAAACAGCTGTTCGATCGACGATCGCCACGCCAGCCTTGTACCGCCCATGGGCCTTGACGCTAAAAGCGCCTTTTTGTCGTCTAGCATGCGCGCTCGCCAACAATACATCATCCCCATTTTCCGGACTTCCCCTCCAGGCCACCTCCCGCCTTTACCTCTTTCGATATATTATTACTCCGACGTTGCGTCCGACCTCACCCCTTAAGGTCCTCCTTCCTGACTGGCGAAGCGGTTTCCATCTCTTCCGAGCACCACTTGCATTCGCTATTCCACAGCTCCTACCACTGTCACTCGGCCATCTCTTAACCGGTCGATCAGCGCTGTCCCGTTCTTGCGCGCGCGACCTAGGTCTCAGGTTCGTTCAACGCAGAAAACGCCTTGGGCCACCCATTGAGATTTTATCAAGATGCTCTCAGCGCTCCCGGCCGCTCAACACGTTCCCTTCACGCTGCATAGCGGACCACCATACTCTTACGACCTCCCCTCATCCCTTCTTTCCGTAACCCCGCGTTCCAGTTCCCTCGCGATGCACGGGAAGTCGCTGTCTACCTTCGGTGCGTCCTTTCTTCACGTCATGTATTTACTGAGAGGCTATGTGCTAACGCATCTCGTGGCGAGTAGCGTCCTCAAGCACACCTCTCTCAACGTCCCGGCCTTCTGTCACGTCCCCGGGACGAATGTTCCGCATCTTCGGGTTTTCCCCGCAGGAAGGTTCCGCGGGCACTTCGATTGTGGTCAACGTTCACTTCAGTCTCCTGCGGTCGGAAACCACCTTTCTCCGTATCGTCGTCGGTAACAGGGCCCTGAGTACCGTCGTTAGACCGGCACAGTCGGAGCAAGAGAATGAATGGGAGCTAGAGGCCATCGTCCCCGATCTGACACCCGCGTCTACCGATGCATCTGCCTCGTCGTCCACTGTACCTGTTACCGTGCAAGCGTTGAATCGTTCTAACGTGACTCTCGACTCTCTCACGTTTGGCAGGTTCACCTACACTCGTCGTACGTGGATATCTCACATCGCGACCTACGTTCTTCTTACCAGGAATGAAATGTTTGTCCAGGCGCCGTACCCTCCCCTCTTCTGCTGTGCAAGCAAGAAGTCACTGATGACTTCGCGCTTGGTTCATTGTCTGCTGCTAGCACGCCAGATGCCAGACACGCCCACTCCTCACCCTACCCCTCGCCCCTCCTCGCCCGGAAGGCCTCGCGCCCGACGCCCGCGAGCGGAACTGCCCGTGCGCGCGCCCTGAACGCCACTATGGTGGCAAAGGACGCGCAGTCGGCACGAGGACAGCTGAAGAAGCAGTCACTCATGCGGGCACGGCGTTCGAGCTCCGACGATGACGATGCGGACAACAACTTCCGAGTAGTTCTACAGCTAGAGATGCCCACCGACCCCATGTCAGACATTGAAGAGTGGGACGAGGAGGAACGCCGGATCGGTCGTCGCCTGGTCCGTTTTACCCGCATCCAAGACGGCTGCACACTGCACGTTACCTGCGAAGCCATCCGTCCCTCGGATTATACCGACGGAGACACCGTCGTCTCTTGTATCTATCGGCCGTCTGAGGCTGTCGTACCTGGGGAGTTACTCGCCTCTCAGTGCTGCATCACCTCTGTCGACATCATCTTCCTGCTCGAGTGTCTCGTAGGCGACATCTTCAACATCGAGGAGAAGAACAGGATTCGCCGCAATCTCGAGGGGTTCCGCCCAAAGACGGTGTCGAAGAACAAGGTTGGATCCGAGGAATTCTTTCAGAAGATCATGGACTTCCCCGCGCCGAAGCCTCGGAATATTGAGAAAGATGTGAAGGTCTTCGATTGGGCTGTGCTGCCGCAGGCCCTGGAGAAGATTATTTCCAAATATGTACGCTTCCTTTTTCATTTTGTGGTTGATTACTGACCCTCGTGTAGACCTTATATCCCGCTGTGAAGAAGGAAGGAGGCAATATTACTCCGCCGATACCAGAGTCGACCAGCATGCCGCCCCACGTACCCCAGGCATCCGCCAACTCGCCTTATACCGCGTCACCCACTCCGGACCACACACCATCTGCGTCGCCTCAGCAGTCATACTTTTACTACCAACCGATATACCATAGTCCGCAATACGCGTCGACACCCTTGGATGCGCTAGACAGCAACAACAGCTACGCCGCGGCCACTGCCCTCTCCTGTGCAGGCTCATATGACGCATTCCTGGCCCATGCGCAGCCTCATTCGGGTGCTTCTTCGCCGATGCCCATGCTATCGACATCAGGCGCACGGTCCCCTATGCCGTCCGACTCTGCCTCGATGGCATACCCTGATTCGTCACAGTCTCTTTATCAGCAGCACCCCTATCGAGGCCAAAGTCCATATAGTTCAAATAACGTCTATATGACGCCCTTTCACGTCGATCATGAGCGTATGAGGATGTCCTCTTCGCCACACGGGTCCCAGCCGTTCCTATGAGCACTCTACCCTCCTGACGCACTTATGCGCTAGCTCTTCACTTGACTTGGAAAACGTTTTCCTCACGTTCCACTACCTTGATTTTCGCACTCGATAGCCCGTGTCTGTAGCCTTAGCGACTCATTTTCGTCTTCCTGCACATACATTCCATCGTAGCAATACCGAACAATCGTATTACCTGCCTATCATTATTTCTAGACAGCTCACTCGATTGTCTCTTATTTATACTCCATTAATGCTTGGTGTAGTGTCTAGCAGCCACGTCGCTTGTGCTCTAAGTCCCTTGTATCATTCACTAATAGGAATGCATCGTAGTCTCCAGTCACCTTACTCAAGATCTGAGGTTGCGTGTCGCTTATTGGCGATGCCATAAACGATTCCGGGTACGCTGTCAAGCTATCAATCGAAGATCCGGACCTTGTGTGACCCTGCGGCAGACCCCTTGTGACGCTAACTGCGGTTGCTACGCCGTGATCAGGAGCACCGGTGCTGCGCCCGAGGGGTGGAATCCTGTTATTATGCATTGAGGCTACACTGTACAACATTAGACAATAATCCAGATACATCAGCACATAGTATGGAGCAAGTAGTAGTCCACTTAAAGAAAGCAAATGAAGGCAAGTGTTAGATATTTGAAGTACAAGCTGAAGACGACACAACAACTGGCGGGAACGTGAAACCCAAGATTCTTGCGCCCATTATATCATCAACCATCGCGACGCCCAAAACTGAGGCTGCCGAGTTTGGAGAAGCGGCCCTTGATGGAGCCGATGCTGCCCAACGTAGATGCTGTCACAGACGCAGCCCCAGAGAACGCAGCCGCCGGAGCGTTCCCGACGGTAACAACCGAGTTACGCGGCGACTCTTCAGAGAACGAGTCGCTGCCACCGTTGTCTCCAGGACCTGATGCAACGCCGTTGAAACCATGCCTGGCTAGATGTGCGAGGTGGCGTTGTAGGGGTGTCTGCTTCATCCAAGGTGCCTCCGCGACGGGCAGTCCGTTCTCCTGGGATCGGGGAGACATAGGTGAGGTTGAGGCGGAAGGCGTCATGCCAACGTGGATGGGACCGACAGTGAGGGGCTGAGTCCTCCTACAGCTGAGTCAGTACAAGCGATGAGGAGATCCAGTACTCTCAACGCACATAGTGTTGTAGTTGGGCGAGGGCATGGCTGCAGATGTTGGAAGGCGGGCAGACGTTGGCACCGCATTGATAGCGCGCGGTTCTGGGGTCGAGTTGACGGACAAACGCTGAATCTCGTCAGCAAAGTTCTTATGGAAGAACTTCTCCAGGGTAGCATGGAACGCCAACATCTCCTGAGGACAAAGCTGTCCGTGGAGTTTGAGGCAGCTATCAATCATACGGACCTAATCAAGAGTCAGAACCGTGATTGCATAGGATATCGGCTTCCGCCACGCACCTGCTCATCTATTGCATATCGAAGTTTCTCTACCTGTTCGACCCTATCCGGATACCTCGCAAGGTAGTCTTCGGACAAGAACACTTGGCGGAAGGCACCGACGCCACTGTTCAGTGGTGCATCGACAGCAGCGTTCAAGCTCATAGCGAGCACGTTGGTTGAGATATGCTGAGCCGTCTTGGCAAGAGACGAGTACTTCTGGTTCAATCCAGCCAACTCCCGCGTGCGCTGCTCGACTTCAAGAAGCGCAGTATCAACAGGAGAGATCGGCACCAACTGAACGTCAACAACTTCAGACCGGCGCAGGACCGTCGGGAAGTACTCCTCGGTGGTAAGGTACGTCTTCTCGATCCATACCTCCTCCGTGCCGTCACGATCCATCTTGGAGATTGGACGAGAATAGCTGAACAGATTGATTGCGCTGTAATCATGCCGCATCGTCAGGTGATATCACGAGTGCGCTAACGGACATTTCATACCTATGCTCGTAGTATGCGCGGACCTGAGGAGGGACATCTGGGTTTGTGAAGATTGGTAGTTCGCGGCGTGGTTCGGGTGTGACAGCGGTACATTGAATGTATTGATCGGTACCGAACCGGATGTCGACAGGGGGATCGCCCATAGTCTTGAGAAGTTGGGCGCCGGGGTGCTTGTTGAGCATGCGCTCGCAGAAGGCACCAAACTTCTCCCACTCGTAACCACGGTACTGCATGCAAAATGTCAGGAAGTCCAGCGGCTGATTACAGAAGAACACTTACGATGAACTGCTTGTTCCGGATAGCGTTGGGAAAGTTTCCGTAGAAAGCGACCCTGAAGTAATCGGAGTAATACCGCTGATCCGTGATGATATGCTCCAGGAGAGCCGCCTGGTGTCGAAGGATTTCTGCCAAGCGCGCACTAGATGGGCGTGTGAGCTGGGTACGTTATAGATATCACTGAGCACGTACTAGTTGAAGGTGACCTCCGCGTGTTTGGCCGCCAGGTCCTTGCAGATCTCGTACGCACTCTCCCACGCTTTCCCCTTCCCTGGAACCCTCGCGAGGTTGAGACTCACTAAGCTGTGTGATAGTGGTGGAACAACGCACCGAGATAGTCCAAAATGAGCAGACACAACGTCTCCTTCCGATGGAATTGCGATTGTTGTGGCAGACCCAAGTCCTCCATAGGCGGAGCGAAAGAATTGAGGTCCCACTCGTGAAGGTCTGCATGAAGCTTGAGAGTGAGGGCGGCCTCAACGTAGTTCTGAGACTGGAGGTGCATCTGAATGACAAAGCACACATTACCAACTGCGTGCAAAGCAAACAAGGGCGAAAGCTTACGTTGACGAGCTGATGGACATATTTGATATACATTTCATCGCGCCCGATGCGTCGAATGAAGTTCATCAGGCGAAGCTGTTGTGTACTCGTCAGTGGAAGAACGTTGACGGAAGAAGCTAGAACGTACCGTAGCGATAACACGATCATCCGCATATTCCTCGCCCTCCGGCAAGGCACGGACGCTGAGGAGAAGTTCGAGGAAGACATCGACTGAGTCGAGGAAGTGCGTCACGCGAGTGCGCAGGTCTTCGTCGACGTCCGAGGAATCGAAAAGGTGCCGAAGGTGACCGATGAAGAACGCACGGGATATCTCGTTGTTTTTACTGTCAGACATGAATAGGGTATCAAGTTTGCTGACAAGCTCGTTCTCGATATGCTCGAAGCTTCGCGAGGTGTGGTATTCGGCAATGATCATGCAGTAGAGCACTTGCACCGCATTCTCCCGAAGCTGGTCATGGTGGCTGAGACACAAATTGACGATGTGTCCAACAAGGGTATTCAAAGCGGCTTGATAGTTCTGGTGACGATATCAGGCGCTATAACAAGTATACTCGAAAAGGTTGTCGACTTACGGTATACCTTGCAATTGCAAGTTCTTCGGTGGCAGTCTCGTCTGGCCAGCCCAGAGCGCCCCATAACCGAAGCAGCAGCATAGCACCTTCACCTCGAATGTCGCCCGCAAGACGCCACACAGCTCGTCGTTTCTACATTCCAGGTCAAGTCATGTTCACGTCCACAAACCAGTTCAAACTCACCTGCGGGCTGAACTCTTCAATGACCAGGTGCTCAGAGGACAGTAACTTAAGCAGGACGTAGAAGCACTCCTTCCAAAGGGACGCATCGAACGGTCTCCCTGAAGCCTCGTCAGGCACAAACTCGCGCTCGAACATGCTCGCGATAGGGTCCATCATCTTGAGCAGCACACGATGCGCCAAGATATTCACGTTCAGCCAATTCTTCGGGAACGCATCGTTGTCGAGGATCGAGCCTGCCACCTTGAAGTACTGCAAGAGCAGTGTCGCTAGGTGGTCCCGCCCCTCAATCTCCAAAATGCTCTCCAGGAACATGACGATGTGCTTCTTGGGAGCCGAAAGTATTAGGACTAAGATGACGATGGCCACCTCGCCCAGACCGGGACTGAACTCCGGTTTGACGTCCAACGTTGAGGACGAGCCTGCGGCCGTCTTGGGAACTTGCGTTGCAAGAGAGAATGGGTATGACTCCGGGAATGTGACGGGGAAGTTATTAGTGACAGGTGTGGACGAACGATTGCGCTCGACGGCACGGAGTGACGCGGGGTTTTGGTACTCTTGGTACGAGTCTAACAATCTAATGAATGCGTCAGCGGCGACACTAGCAAACAGAACCGAGACAAGTACCTGGGTAGAAGGGATAATAAGTACTCGATGTTGTACTGCTCCTGCCTGAGTGCATTGCGATCGGATGTAATGACAGGATCGACCAGACATTGCTGCAACTTGTCTAGCATGATAGCCACAACGGTCACTGAAAGACGTATGCTCTCCAGCCAGCTCACTCGCGCAGCGTCTTTCGCTGCCTCCGAGTCCCCGGGCTGCGTCTGCGTGTACTCGTCAAAGCGGCCGAACTGCGGCTTGATCCAAATGACGACAGCCTCGACGAGCAGGCTGCGCGACTTGGGGTTGTCAAACAGGAAGCCTTTCACGATTTGGAGGTACATGATGAGCTTCCAAATAATGATCTTGCCCTTGGTCGACGCAATGGCGTTCGCGAACGTGGTAGCAATGGTGACAAGCTCGACGATGGAGAAGACCTTGCCGAGCTCCGGGAGGATGGACGTGAAGTGCTGGAGAGCGATGGTCTGCGTCCCGATGATCGACGGCGGGGATGTTGTAGACATCATTCGATTGACCTCATTCAGATGGGCACGCAGCTCGCGCTTGAACGTCGCCTCCAGGTGATCCGCCGTCGCACCGCCACCCATGCCCAGCTCCTTCGCCTTCTGGAGCTCCCGGGACCGGGCGATGAATTTGAATATATAGTGCCAGACCTTTAACGCTGCACGAAGGGACGACGCAGTATCATTCGCCGTGGGGTCCTGAAGCAGGCGGTTCATCGAGTGGATCATGTGCGACGCGGCCGACGCGCAAGTGAAGTGCCGCTCGATGTATACGTCTAGCACGGGCTGGAAGTTGCTGAAGCGGCGGTCCTGTACGATGCCGAGCACGGTCACGAGCGCGTTGAACACGAGGTGATCCATCTCGCCCGACTGGTTGTTAGACGAGACAAGGATGGCGAAGAGCGAGTCGAAGATGTCACGGAGGAACTTGACGATTTCAACCTCGCCCACAAAGGTGAACTTGCTCAGGATCGTCGACAGCAGCTCTTTATCCGTGATCTGCTCCCAGTTGAGCAGGCTGAGCAGCACCGAGTTCTGCGTGAACTTGGTCGAACAGAGGGATGAGCGAATCACGAGGCTGTCGCGCATGGGAGGTGCGATCCTCTGTAACTCTGGCGGGACGTACACCTGCTCAGGGCGCTGATTCGCTGGGAGCCAAGGCGTCGACTGCAGGTACATATCCGTCGTGATCTGTGCAAGTCGGTCTGCGCGGTACAGCACCAGGGTGTGACTGCCGTCCTCAAGGAACGCACGCCGGTCCGGGAAGAGCGGGAGGTACGCGAACGCAAATGGACGTTCTGATGTCTCAACGTTCCGACTCGACGAACGCTCGCGCGAACTGCGTTGGCGGAAGGTGAAGAAGAGGTGCCAGTTTTGCGCACCGTTGAGTGGGAGCTTGAGCTTGACGAGCTCGCCAAAGTGTGGCTGCGTCGTGCGCTGGAAGACCATCGAGTGGAACTGCGTCACCTCGGGCTCGCCGCTGCACTGGGAGATGACGCGCTCGATCGTCCGTCCATCTTGGTCCTTGACTTCCATCGTCACCTGCACGTTGCCGGTGACCGTGCCGACCTGACCGCGCGCAAAGTTCGCGACATTACGGCGGGTGGTGGTGCCCTGCGACGAGGAGAAGTCTCCGCTCCAGAGCTTGATGTAAAGCTCGTTGCGTACATCGCCCGGGAAGACGACGTCGGGGAAGCCAAGGCGCAAGCTGAGAGGGGTGTCCTGTAGGAGCGATGAATTCTCGCGGACGATTGTCTCGGCATCCCCATAGAAGATCTTGATCGAGACTGCCAGCATCTCAGCCCTGCGCAGCCGTCAGAGAAGAGACACGACTACAACACAAGATGAACATACCTCGGTGACTTCTCATACTCCCTCACGTTGTGATTGAGAATGTCTTGGTGGAGCATGGAGAATGTTGTCTCGTTCGTGGGCACGTAGATGGGCATCGTGTGCTCCCTCGTAGATGAAATCTCAGACTGCTCGGCAGCCATCGCGTTCAGCTGTGTCAGCTCAAGCACCGCGCACCCGAACGGCCTCCGAAAATATTGCGGGTCCGTCGAGTTCGAGCTACGCCCAAACGACTCGCTTGACATGGACGCGTTGTAGCTCGACCCGATCACCGTCTGACGTGGGTTCTCCGAGATCATGCCCATGTTGCTGCTCATCTTGAGCGACCCGTTCCTCACGATCTTGCACACAAGGAAGATCGGGTCCTGCGCGTCAGATTGCACCAAATCCGTGAACAGAGTTCGGATCCGCGCGGACGGGTCACGCGCAAGCACACCGTTGTGGTTCAGGACAGCGCAGAACTCCTCCGAGACAAATCGCGCGTCGGCCTTGTTATACAGCGAGAAGTACAACTCCGCGGTCTCACCGGGGGCGCAGGGCGAGGCGACGAATGCGCGCACGTCGAGGAAGACGTGGTAGAATTTCGCCCGCTGCTGAGTGGGAGACATCGGTGAGAGCGAGCCGATGAGGCGGGAGTGTCCGCGCGGGCGAGGGAGCTCCGGGAACGCCGAGTGGATGGACGCCGAGAGCGGAACCGGCGTTGGGACAGAGGCCGAGTAGTCGATAGAGCCGTTCGATTGGGGCAGCTTGTATGGGGTGTTGGGCGCGAGCGACACGTCCATGTTCGCGAGCGCGGCCTGCAGCGCGTACATCCGGACCGCGCTCATCCAGCTCCGGTGGTCGATCTCGCCCTCGACGTCGACGTTGATGAGCCCTCCCCAGGTCGGGTGGCGCACGATCACATCGAGGCCCTGGAGGATGTTCCCGGAGACGAGCCTAGCAACGCATTCGCGCCGCAGGTTGACGGTCTCCTCGGAACTGAGGGTCTGCGAGAGAAGCTGGCGGCGACCGAGATGAAGTACTTCAATGTACTCTCGGACGACATGGAAGAGGCGGTAATCGCGCTGGGCGAGGTACTGGAACATGAGCGCATGCCATTCCCGCAGAGCAGACGCGATCTCATCGATGATGGGTTGCGCCGCACCGGACAAAGTGTCGTCTCCAGACGTGAGAGTAGGACGAGGTGGTAATGGCTTGTTAAATTGAGACTCGGTGGGGGAGGCCGAACGAATAGAAGCGGGGTAGACGGGCAGGCGTGCACGCGTAGACAGCGCTTGGTCGGGGGGCGGGGTGAGCTTGAATGACTTGCGGGTAGCTGCGTCATTAACGTCTTCTTCTTCCTCGCGGACCGGGTCCATCTCCCGCATAGATTTGTTCCAACTCGCGAAGACCTCCTCCGACGTCCGACCGTCCGCCGGGCTGCTGAGCGCATTGAACAACTCCGTGAGACGGCCTTCCGCGTCTGAGACTTCATCTCGCACGAATATGTGGGAAGCCGGGAAGATGCCTATGAAGACTTGCTGCAACTCGTCCGCGCGAGCGGAAGGTTTGGGATTTGACGGGGAGGGGTCCGAGGACAGCGACCAGTTGACCTGTGGCCGCCGAGAAGTGCAAACGACGTACCTACGCAGCGTCAGCGATCATGTATACCCTGTTGCGATTGAGCTTTCAATCGTGGTCGTAATGGGAAAGATCCTCGACTGCCACTTTTGCGTCCGCGCGGTCTGACAATGACCGCGAGGGCAGGCAAATAAGCCGGGGAGGCAAATAAGCCGGGGAGAGAACGCTAGTGCTAAAATACGTGATAGCAGTCTTGAACACGATGAGTGAGGGGCGCGGAGGATGTCTTCTCCGTCCCCCACTGGCCGTTTCCTGTTTTCTCTCCCCGGCTAAAGTCCAGTTGATTGACAACCCGGACCATACCCACTCGGAGCTCCAACATGGACTTGCATGACAGGTATGTGGCAGCGAAGGACGTGTCGGAAGGGTGGAAAACAGATGCAAGGGTACTAGGATACAAGTACTCACCCACGATACCATACACCTTCAACCTCCTTGTCCCGCGGAATATACTTCTCGAACGCGTACACGTTGTCTCCGACCTCGAGGGAAACTACGTCCCTGTGCACGAGGTGCTCATCTCCCGAAGCGTCTGTCCAGGTGGAGATGTGGGTGCGGCTAGATAGCTTGGTGTCTCTGCGATTGACAGGCGAGAGTGGGTGGACCGCGTAGCCGTAGATGATGAGGGGAAGAGGCTCCCAGACTCCTTTACGCTGGCCAAGGGTGCCAGTCATGGCGGCAACAGGGTATCAGGCCTACGTGCGCAAGCTGCTCGTCGGAAGGTACGGCGGACTCGGCGGGAAAGGCGACGAAGCTGAGAGCTTGGGCGGGTGAGGTTTGGCGCCCAGAATACGCGCTCCGGCGTCCAGTAATCCGAGTTGACGGCTGCGAAGTGCGAAGGAGGCAAATACAACGAAGAGACCGCAGACGTGAGCGAGGTTATGTTTGGGTTGCAAGAGATGGAGAGGACAAGAAATATCAAGAGGCAGCGGCTGGTTGCGCATTCATCACAGGACCATCAGATCAAGAAGCCCACACCGGCGAGGGCTCGACATCAATTCATGTTACACTCTCACCACTGCAATGGTGCCAATATGAAAAGCACAGCATATAGCTTCTCAAGCGTTGTGTGTGGTTGAAGACCTACAGAGCGATGTGCGATATGGTGTATTCCGAAATGTGGAGAGCTCGAGCTAGACGCGCTGGTACTCACATTCGATCAACTTGCTTCTGTCCACCTCCATACTCCCCCCAAGCACCTTTTGGAAAAATTGTCCAGCTCCCGACAACTCTACAGCTTCTCATACGAGCAGCGAAAGAACGCCCTGACAATTAGCTGGGAAGGGCTAGGGAAGGCCGACTTCGCGGACACAGGGTGCTGCCTCCTTCAATATGTCCGAGATTGTGAAGACGAAACTCAAGAATGCCAGAGAGGCTATTCGTAAGAAGGAGTTTGAAAAGGCGCGTGATGCTGCCTTAGGAGCACTCGAATACGAAGAGGATAATTACTTCGCGTACGTCCGTTCCGACTTCGGATGGTGGGTCTAGTCCGTTCATACTCTGTGAAGGAACGTCTTTCTCGGCTTGGCGTACAGGGAATTGAAAGACTATGAGCAAAGCGAGCAAGTAACTGCCTCTCTGAGCTCGGATTTGACGCATATACTAACCCTCTGATCAGTCATTTCGTAAAGCCATAGCCTCCGATGAGCAGCAACTCCACGCTTGGCAGGTGCGTCGCGCAGTCGTCGTGCATACTTGACGACCAGGCTAACGTAGTGCAAAGGGTATCCGAGATTTGTATGAAGAGACGAAGAACCATTCGGAGTATCTGAAGTCATTATATAAGTTGGCAGAACTATACGCGGCCGGGTATGTGCTCCTCGTGCTTTGGTCAAACAGAAGTTCGTACCGAGAGTCTGTAGCAAGGACGCTGTCAAATGCGCCGAAATCATCCAGAAGATCATTGACATTCGACGCGACCCTAGCAGGAGCTCTCCTGTAGAGGTGAGATAATGACTACAATCCGCATTGAAGCTTCCGGGGCTAACAGTCTGTAGCTTGCAGAGGCTCTCGCCCTCTTACTCCCCGAGTCATTATTTTGCCCTGTCTTATCTTCGCTATCTCCGCCAGACCCAACAAACCCCTCTACGGCTACTTTCGTCGTGCAGTCGGCCATACACAACTCCTTGCCCATTCTAGAAGAACTCGTGTCAATCTATGAGCAGGATGAAACGACTTGGCAAGAGAGCGAGATCACCAAGCGCAGACAGAGACTCGATGCGCCTTCGCCCCAGGAGGTTCAGCGAGCTGTGACCCTGGAACTTATGGCGCGCTCCAAGGTACTATACACCGGCACACCGGCACTGGCTGTATGCATGCATATTAACATGAACTATAGCTACCAGCCCTCTACAACGAGGTGCTGAACCATCCTAACACCTCGGACGAGCTGCGCAGGAACACGGAAGAGAAATTGCTCGAGAAAAAGCAGCAATACTTGTTCGCTCTCCCCGCTGCCGGGAATGAAAATAAGGCACATCTAGCCTCTGAGTTGGACGAACTGATCAACGGCATCGTACTGTTGAAGATTCCGAATGAGCTCGCGTGGTCTCTTCTGCTGGAAAGTAAAGACGCAGCGCAGATCGGTATGTATTCCGTCCCACTTGCATTACAATGGATCACATTCAAAGAGAGTGTCGCAGAGGATTATGACTTCAACCTGCTAAAGCAGTTCATTGGGCTGTTCCCGAGATCGCCCTTGGCGAAGTTGCTGCAGGCGTACTTTGAACACATAGGCATACCCTTGATGGAAGATGCGGAAAAGGACGGGCCTGCTCCATCGCCTGATGAAGAGCCTGATTATATTGAGATCATGATGGTTCGTTGTGTCTCCGTCCAGGATAATGTATATGGGTCACTCATATCTATCGAGTCCAGGAGGTGTTCTCTAGCTTGAACGGCTCTATACTTGCACACAGGATTATCGCCGAGCTGTACGAACAAGACACTGATTATGAGAACGCCATCAAGGTTTCAGAGAGTGGACTCGAGCTCGTCCGTCGCGTCGAGCAGAACTGGGGACGACCGCTTAAGCAGTAGGCACAAAGCACGGTCTTTCGACTATGAGATGCTGATTCGCCCTACATAGAACAAAGAAAGCGTTCAACGTCATCCTCGCGACGTCATTGGTCCACTACTTCCCGCCCAAGCACCACCCACGCGCTCTCAAGCTCGTCGACGAGGTACTTGCCGAGGAACCGGACAACTTACGGGCCCTCCTGGCCCGTGGTTTCATCCTCGAGCATGCACAGAAGTGGACTAATTCAGCCGATATCTTTGCAAAAGTGGCCAAGCTGGACCCTGAAGGCTTCGATTACGGCCTGCAGGCAAAGGAAGAGCACGCCTGGTCAGAAGCCATGTGCGGCAAACTGCAAGTTGCCGCTGACGAGCTGAGGGATGTCATCGCCGTCTTGGATCAGCTGGAAGGCAGGGATGAGGACAAGGCGCGGGCGTGGTGGAGATTGGGGCGATGCTTTTGGGAGATGGGCGGTAAGAGATCCCATCTTTCGTCCATGGCTCGTTCGTTCATCTGACACTTCTGCGCTCTTTGGATCTGGGTATGTCAGTGGAACACCGTGAAGAAGCCTACAAGCATTTCGTCACCGCCCTGAAGCGCTCCTCGACGTTCGCCCCTGCGTTTACTTCCCTAGGCATCTACTATTCGGAGTTCCTCGAACCCCCTGACCCCAACCGTGCATCGAAGTGTTTCCAGAAGGCCTTCGAGCTTGACCCGAGGGAATCGGACGCTGCGCGCCGGCTCGCGGAAGGGTTCGCAGAGGAGGGGGAGTGGGACCTTGTCGAGGTCGTCGCGCGCCGCACCATCGAAGGCGAAGGCGGCTTGGAACAAGATCCAGAAGCAAAGGCCTCTCGCCGGTACCTGCCACTCAATGCATGGGCGTGGAAGGCCGTGGGTGCCGTCGAACTGGTATGTCCGCCCTATCTCTGTCAAACGTAATCAGACGTCATACTGATCCAAGATTCTAGACTCGGCGCAACTACGTTTCTGCCATCGAGGCGCTACAGATCGCGCTCCGGACTGACGTGGATGATCACATGTCCTGGCTCCGGCTGGGGGAGGCGTACAGCAAAGCGGGACGATACGCAGCCGCGCTCAAGGCCCTCGAGCGCGCGCGCGAACTGAACACGGAGGATTGGGTTGTGTCGTACTTCACTGGAGACGTGCAGCGGCAGATGGGCACGTACGATGAGGCCATCAAGGCGTTCCGGTCTATTTTGGAGGGCCGCCCGCAGGAGCTTGGAGTTCTTCATTCACTGGGGCAGACTTACCTGGAGCTGGGACGTTTTGAGCTCTCCACTAGTTTCCTCGCCAGGGCAGAGACGTCATTCGTCTCTGCGATCCGTGTTACCCTCGAGCTACTCGATGCCAGCTCCGGACTCCGCCGGGTCGCATGGAAGACAGTCGCCGACTCTCTATACCAGCTGTCAACCTTCTCCGCGTTCTCTGACGAAGATGCCGTCAAGGATGTGGTTGCAACCATTGTCTCACTCGTCACTGCATATCATGGCAAAGGCCCCGTCGATGGGCTTTCTCAGTCGGTCTCCATTGACGACATAGCCGATGCACCCGTGTATGCGCTTCAGGTCGCTTCTGCAGCATACGAGTACAGGCTGTCTCTAGGTGCAATCGACGATGCTGCCATGGCTTCCGAGCACTATGATCTTGGCGTCGCAATGTCTGCGTTCGCGAGACACACCCCGGACAGCGAGAAACGAGAGAAAGCTCAGCAAGATGCTATCGCTCATTTCAAGAACGCTCTCCGCCTCGAGCCCGGGAACGACGCCTTCTGGGTCGCTCTCGGAAATGCGACGTTCTTGTCCCAGACTGCGCTTTGCCAGCACTCGTACGTCCGTGCGTTGGAGATAGACGGGAAGGTATGTGTTCCTCTTCGTTGTCTGACTGCTAAGTCTGACCTGTCTTCAGAATGCCGCGACATGGACCAATCTCGGCATGTTGTATCTCCACTACGAGGACGTCGAGTTAGCAAACGAAGCGTTCTACAAGGCGCAAACGCTTGATCCCGACTACGCTCTGGCGTGGGTCGGACAGGGTCTCGTTGCGACTGCGAACCGGCACGACAGGGAAGCAAGGGCACTCTTCGAGCATGCCACGGGTCTGACGGCAGTTGTGGTAGATATCATCTTCATCTCTTGCGCCTTGTTCCATGATGCTGAACTTCATGTGTGCGTAGCCCGAAGCGGACCTGGAATATGCCACGCGTCTCTTCAGCAAGGTGAACGCGACATCAAAATCCCGCTCAGCCTCGTCCGAAGCGCTTCTTCCAGCATTCTTTGTCCTCGATCGCTATTGCAAGCAGAGACCCAAGGATGCATCTGCGTTGCATCTATTTGGACTTGTCTGCGAGCGCATCGGGCATATCGAGCTTGGAATAGAGATGATATCACGGGCAATATCCGTTCTCGAAGCAGCCTACGAGCAGTCAGAGGACCCGGTTATTGAGCGACAGTTCACCATCGCTCACGCTAACGTCGCCCGCTTGCGGATGGCCAAAGAAGACCACGAGGGTGCCCTTGAGTCGTATCAGGTCGCAACAGGTCTACTGCCCGAACAGAAAGAAGGAGATGACGCTGACACAAAGGCACTCCTGGCGCAGTGCCAGTTCGGCTCTGGCCTGGCTAACTTCAAGCTTGGACAGCTACCAGAGGCATTGACGCTCTTCGAGTTTGCAATGACGACGGCCGCGGATCTCCCGCTGATTCGGGGACACGTCGTCGTGCTGCTCGCGCAAACGCTATGGGCGATCGGCACAGGCGAGGCGAGGGAGTCGGCGAAGAACCAGTTGCTGCAGAGGTGCGTGGTGTGCTGTTCCATAAACTCACCGTCCATTGATCTCTACGCTGCCAGCATTGAATATGACCCCGAGAATCTGTTGGCGATCAACACCCTAGCCGGCATGGGCATCCTCACAGACGATGACGGCCTCGTCGATGCGGCGCTGTCCGAATTGCTGTCCCTCCCTCTCGATCAGCGCCACGAACGCGACCCCGAGCGCGAAGTCACATACCTCCTCGTTCAACATCATCTCGGTCAAGGCGACGCGATGCAAGCAATATCTGTAGCGCAGAAAGCTGTGTTCGCAGAGCCCGAAAGGACCGACGTGCGGCGCGCGCTCGCCTCCCTCGCGTTGCGCGGGGGTCAGAGCGCGACGGCGCTGGCTATCCTAGGTGGCTCGGCGCAGACCGAAGCAAGCTTCGCGGAGCAGCGTGCCTCGCTGGCGCTCCACGCGGCGTCTCTCTGCCTGGATCGCGGAAACAAGGACCGCGCGGCAGAGGCGTTGCGACTTGCACAGAAAGGGATCATGCTTTCCCCATGGAACCAGCGCGGCTGGGAGACGTTGGCATACGTCCAAAGCCGTCTTTCGCAGTGATGCTCTGATATCACTCGCGGTAAGGCCGGCCCAGCCGCCTGTAGTATGTAGCTAAAGTCCTTGATGTATTGGTAGGCAGCCAGACCAGTAGAGCGCGTTTTGATACGAGGGGATGAAGCAATAATAAAGAATGTATGTTGTTGAGCTGTGAATACATCGCCATTACCCACTATATACAGTACTAGTACGAAAGAGTGCATACTGCACTACTCTATCCGCCCTCAAGCAGGGGCGTCGTGCTTCCCAATCACGTTGGCCGCAACGAGCTGTATGCGCTTCCGGATGGGGTCGTTATCCGCCTGATTGATCTCTGCCAGCCACCAGCGCAGGCGCGTTCGCATCGCCTCCGTAGAGAGCTGGTCCGTGACGCTGCATCTGCAAGTTCAATGTCAACACGCAGGCGATAGAATGCTGATGCACGCACATTCCCCTTTCCTCGAGGGCCTCCCGCAACTCATCTGCGGTGAGCCTCTCGCCGAGATGCTCTTGGACAAGGAAGGCATCATCTGCCGCGATGTTGGCTAAGTGCTTCTTGATACGACGCAGGCGCATGGAAGGGATGCCAAACGTCGACAAGGCAAAGATCCTGCAAAGTTTCGATAAGCGGCGCAATTAAACACACAGGTCTAGAAGAACGCGCACCCGTTATACGACACGGCGGCGACACGGTCCAGGAGCTTCTCAACCGTGAGCTCAGGATGATCCACAGACCGCTTGTAGACGTCCCGGAAGACGAGCTGCATACTATCCGCAAAGTCCTTCTGTTTCTCACGCTTCTTTTTGTCGATCCGCTCCTTCTGGGAGGGTAGGAGACATGTTGAAGGGAGCAGGAAGGGAGCGTAGATGACAACGAGCGGGATGACTTCCTCGGCGACGAGGACAATCAGAAGGAAAGGTATGAGTCTGTAAGAGGTTAGGCTAGCCTCTGCCCGGGACTACGCAAATTTGGAGACTCACTTGAGCGCATCCTGTCTGAAGTTCGCGATGAATCGCGCCTCCCACCGCGTCAGCGGGTCTCCCCCACCCTTAACGCGCGCCTGGATATCACGGACGCGTTTCCGGTTGACGTTGATGAGCTTCACGCCGTTCCAGTAGAATTTCTGGAGCAAGGTTCATTAAAGCACCATGGAGAGGACAGGGGCTGCATACGAAGAGTTCCTTCGCTTGGTGGTAGAGCTTCCCGACCCAAGACGCGTCCTCGGGAGGAGGCTTGAGGATGCCGTGCTTCGAGGCATCGTAATAGTCTTCCTTGGCTGTCTGGATGACGGAATGGTCTATCTCGGTCACGGTCCCACTAGGTAGTGGGGGGACTCCGCCAGGAGGCGTGGGGATGCTTTCCGAGCCGGAACTCAAGGAGGTCGCTGCAGACTCGGAGGCCTTCTGCGACGCTAACGGTTCCGGATATGCTTTGGGTGGCTTGACAGGACCAGGTCGCAGATCAACCTTAGGCTTCCGTGGGGCGGCACTGGGTGCAGGAGGCGGGACATCTTTCGCAACTGAGCTCGTGGGAGGCGGGGGCGTCGTGGACACACATCGCGAGCCGCGGGAGTACACGGCTACAGCACCAGAAACTCGCCACGACACTCCGTCGCGCGCGCGCGTTGAGAGGTGGACATGTCGAGCTCGGAAGCGTACTGCCGCAGATGTGCGATGATGTCTTGTCACCGTAAGACTGTCGTGCAGGCGAACGAAAGAGAGGAAGTGTGGTATGTCGATGAGCATGTGCGCTTAGAAGCCACCGATCCGAAACAATTTGAGCACTCACCCGTCCACCAGTCCATTCCTCAACGAAGCTAACATCAAATCGGTAAGGTTCCCAGGTGTCCGTGGTTGCGCCTCGTCTTTCCGTAGTGGTTGGTGTGGAATGGGAAGTGGTGGGAGCCAAACGAAATGCGAGGCGTTTGCAATGGCCGAGCAGTTCACGCAAGCCTCTGGAAGCGCCCGGCATCTGCCGCCTCCCATCCCACCGCTCGTTGTTCTTGCTCCACATATTCGATAGCATTTGTGCCCTTAACCTTGCAATGCGATGCGTTAGTCTCGATTTCGATTCATGTGATGCCTCTGTGGATCTTTCCACGTCGGCGTTGACAAGATAGACATGTTAGGGAAGTACGAATGCATCAGGTCCTCACAGCCTTCCGAAGTCAAGGCAACAACATGACATGGGCGTCGCCTCAGGCTGAGGTAGCACACTGGCATATAAGGACGCCTTGCATGGGATCAGCCATAAGTATTCTCTCTTGTTTCTTCCCTCCTCATTCGTTCATTTCGCGCAACACTTGGCAAGACCAAGCAGGAACAATGCCAAAGTCCGACACCGACTCAGAGTTTGAGGAAAAGCAAGAGACATGCATGGGGGCATGTCTCAGCATATGCTGTGGATGCTGTTGTAAGTTTGTCGTCTGCCATCCTCCGGTTGCACAGAAGTAATTCTTTTACAGGTATGTCTTGTCTGAACCTCAGCAACCCGTGGTGTTTGTTCAGTGTGTACTATAACATCGCACATACGATCATTTCTTACCTCATCGCCGACTCATAGAAAGCTACGGCGGTAATAGAAAAGCCGAGAACGAGGACGAGGACGACGAAGAGCAGGCGAACAATCGAGTTTATGCTCAGCCAGCACCGCGAACGTCAATGTCAGCAACTAGATGACGTACTGCCCTCAATATGTGCAGAGTCACCTGCATAGGTACGTGACTTGCTAGTCGCTTGAGGTGCATAGCCGGCTCACTTGACTGTATGCTAGATTGAGTACTACTTATATACAGTTGTCGTCAACGAGCTTGGTGAAGCATAGGAAGGCTACTGTTCCGGTCGTGGGCCTGTTGGCACCGTCAGAGCTATCAGGGCTGAAGTTTTCGACAAGGTGTTTGGTGAGGATGGGACGAAGAAGCGTGCGAAGCGGACTGAACTCAGCAAATCAGTCCGGGGAAGATTGTGTCGCGTCGCCGAGAGACATGACCAAGTTCCTGTATACGCTGTAGACTGATGTTCTATGAAGATCAAATTCTTGTGAGGCACAGTTTAATATTCACGAGCTTCGTTTGCCTCTGTGATGGTCTTAATTTTTGTGACGCCTAGGCCCGGGCAGCGCGATCAGCAGACTCACCGGACTGAATGTGTATCACAATCATTTCTGCCGAGTCCTGGCACGACGCTACGCACTCCCAAGCTCTATATCCGGGTTTGTGTGTAGTCACGGATGATAACCATCGATAGCGTAGCCCGATGGGAAGACGGTACGTTGTTAGAGGCTATGGTGAGCTCTGGGCACGCAGGAGCGGTTGTCGGTACCGACTGGAGATACTGAGCTTCGTTGAAGTGCGATTCTTCGATCGGAATATGTAGTCCGTCAAACATGGTGGCTGTGTCGCCTTGCCAGACAAACTTGCTGCAGTTGCTAACGGCGGCTTGTATCTCTTTTAAATTGCCTCATACGTAGTGATGTGCAAGGCTGGGTTTCAAGCCCTAAAGCCCCGGGTACCCGGACCTCAAAAGCACAGCACAGCCCGGCCCTCCGTCGGGCTTTCAGGGCTTGAGGGCTCGGCTTGAGATTTGGTAGGCCTGAGCCGGGCCCTCAAGCTTCAAGCCCGGGCTTTTGACCTGTATTCACTCGAGTATCAGCTTTCAAGCAAGGTGTCTGTATGGTATAGACAAGGGCTGCATTGACTTCAAAAAAGCACTTTGTGACTCACATACAGGAAAGAACGACGCAGCTCTACAGGCAGCCGGAGCTCGCACGCTCGAATATGGGCGCTAGACCTGCCGGATTTGGCGACTCCGACACTCTCACTATCTCAGAGCACGCACTTTCCACGTTCTGTTGTCGGTCTCACAGCTTATGCGACATGGTATGCATACTGATACCGAGGTAAGCTCACTATACATCTACAAAGAACATAACCTCTTCAATGTAGGGAGCAGGCGGAAAGCCCGGGCTTAAGCCCGAGCCCAGCCTGGCCCAGCCCGAGCCTGCTACTAGGCCCCGGCTTGAAGTCTTGGTGAGCCCGAGCCCGCTCACCAAGACTTCAAGCCGGTCCCTAGCCCGGATATTTGAGCCCGGCTCGGCCCTGCACATCACACATGAAGTCACGGAAAGCCAAGATGTCCGTTGTCTATACGGTGTTTGCAGAGCTCAGCCAAACACAATATTCTGTGTTATCGTTCTCTGGCTCCTTCAGTGAACTTGAACAAAAACCGTTTGCCTTCTTTTTGCTACCTTGTTATATGCGAGCTCCTGTCTCTGCGTCTGCTTCACACAGCGGTATCTCCGTTGATCGCAAGTTAGACGCCTGAAGACGCCACACAACAAACTAATAATGCAGCGGCAATAGCAGGCAATAGCCCTCCATACTGGGCGGCTGGCGTCCTTAGAAGTCCTCTATCAATCTATTGTGAGTGCTCTCCAGCACGCTGCAAGATCACTGATCTTATTGCAGCTTGGGCAACCCCAGCAAGCCTTGTAATGATGCTGACGCAGTGGGAGTTCTGTATTCCTAAGCTGTGGAAGAAAGAAGCCGGCATGTGACGTTTGGCATACCATTGGAAGCATTCGCACTGCTTGCGCTGGCTACAATCCCTCGAACGTCTGTGTGGACAAGGTGAATGAATGACTCTACCTAGCAATACTGATTGCGTGTTGTCAAGTGCTTCATAATCAGAATCATCTAGTCTTCCCGCGCTGTCGAACCGCCCATGTTGGTGAATATAAAAGACATCTGTTGGTTTTGCGAGGTCGTCAGCTCTTGCGCACCGTATTCAGTCAACTTTCGAATCTCTAGAAGGAGTAGCCTACAACGAGGTATGTAAACCTCTGGGATATCGGGCCAGGGAGGTATGAGACCTCCCAACCACGCATATGATTGGCTGTCAGCCTAGGACATCAATACGGGCGCATCAAATTTTGATAGCTGGACCGGTGTACATACTCGAGGCAACTTCAAGGAGCTCGAATAAAAACCATACTCCCTCTGAGGAGGTCGCAGTAGTTGACGAGGCAGCATTTTTCCAACATGTGAAGAGTGTTGTGCAGGCGTGGCGGGTGAGGAGGGTGGGGGACGCGCGACGCAAAAGACCACCGACGCTGTCACCACGGGCGCATCAGCGCGCTAGTTTTGATGATCAAAGTTCTCAATCAGCATTGTGGCGTTTGATGCCAGATTTAGGGTTTGCGCGAAGAGGACCCGCCATTCGTGCTCCCTCCCCTCCCTCGCTGCGCTCGGGGGGTCCCCCGAGCCGGGAGCACTCAGGCGGGCACTCTAAAGCCTCGTTCGCGCGATAAATACAGACGGCCTCCCCTTTGGGGGGAGGAGGAGGTGTGAATAGCGCCTAACCCAAACCCGAACCCGAACCCTAACCGAACCCAAACCCAAACCCAAACCCTAACCGAAACTCTAACCGACGCGTATCACTAAGACCGCGTGGGTTGGGAGGTTTGATACCTCTCTGGCCCGATATCCCAGAGGTTTGCATACCTCGTTGTAGTCTCTACACTTCTCATTTTGCAGAATAGCATGACTGGTCTTGATGGACATATATTTAGCCTTGGCTTGTGGTTGCCGCATTGTTGCCCAGTGAATACGGAAGCATACTTGAGCGCGTGTTTTATCCGAGTCTCAGTTGTCTCTTGACCTGATGGTAGTCTCATGTAGCCATTTACTGCCTTCTGCGCTCATGCTCCTCGGAGTTGTGCAGAGTGTCGAAACAAGCCAGGCTTTGTATCACTACATATTGAAAAGCCCTACATATCAAACCGCTGTCGATTGTCGTCTGAGAACGAGCCCTTCAAGAAATGCGTAGAGCTTCAAGTTTGTTCCCATCACATTCCCGAGTAATTTCCTCGTATGCCGACTGAGGCATGGGATTCACATGTACCTAGCTGTTGACGTAGAGCTCAGCTGTGCAGGCCTGGATTTTTGAGCTCCATCACTGTCTAGTGTGAAATGTGCAGACAGCACATCACAACCGTTGACCTGATGCCGAGCAAACAGCTGCACATTGCATGAGCGAGGGGACATCCCGCTCAGGTTGCACTCCCGCAGGGTTCAATCGAGTAGCTCACTTGACATATGCAACAAGCGGAGGTGCGCCTCGGACGGGACGCTCATCTCGTAAAATGTCTCCTAACCGGCACCCGATCATCCATGGCCGTGATCGCTCTTACGACACAGCGGAAGGTCTGTGCGTGAGTGCACCGCACGGACCATTGCATTGGAATATAAAAACATTGGAGAGAGACGAGGAAAGCCCAACCGGGGGATGCCTCATCTCACAATCTCCACGCTACAGCTTCACAGATCAAGCTCTGGAAAATTATTGACCGGTGAGTGCAACTGGTCGCCTCTTGCCCTTCATGTTCTTCCCTGTCGCCTGGCTGCGACTCCTCGCCTGCTGTGAATGCAGGGCCGTGCACTCCGGACATGTGTTTCCGATGCTTGTCTCCTGACAAGTACTGATCATCGCTTTTTTTCAGCACGTTATGCCCTGCGGAGGAACGCGCTATGCAGAAGGTACATGAGCTATAATCGAGTGCGCAAAAGGGACGTCTGCTTACCTATCCTATTCCTGTATCTTCCGATCAACATCTTTCAAGCCACGCGATACTGGTACGTCACAGGCACGTCTCGATTGAAACACATGTATATTCACGATTTCTTGGACAATGGGTGGTTACACACAACACGGCTACGCGCTCGACACACCCAGGCCTCCACCCGTCCCACTTGGATGCAGCAGTCGCGATCCGGTCACGGATCAGGCCCCATCACGGCTGCGATGAGATGTTGACCTGATCACCGGGAGAGAGCTTGAGCTTGACGAGCTCGCCAAAGTGTGGCTGCGTCGTGCGCCGGAAGACCATCGAGTGGAACTGCGTCACCTCCGGCTCACGAGATGACGCGCTCGATCGTCGGGCTATCCGTGCTCTTCATTGATGACGAGAGATCACTGCTTGCGAGTTTGATGCTGAGAACGGGACCAAGACCAGGGCCGAGGCGGAATAGCCAACGGAGCCGTTCACTTGGGGCAGCGTGTATTGAATGTTCGTCATAAGGAACACGTCCCCGCCTGCGAGCATGGCCCGGACATTGCCCAAAGAGTTCTGGTGAAACGCCGCCCTCGGGGTCCATTCAGCCGACGGAACCCCAGGTTCGGTGGCACACGATCACATCGAGGCCCCGGAGGATGTTCCCGGTGACGGCACTCGCACGTTCATGGCTGTTTTGGAACGCTGTCTGCGCCGTGTTGGTGTGCTAGAGAGAGGCGAGATACATATCATGGCCGTAACTCACCCGGACTCGGCCATCGGGTTAGATTTTCGGTCAAAGCGACGGGCGGGAAGACGGATAATGAGTGGTCGCACGTCCTGTGACGTGAACGGCCATGACCATCGTTTTCAGCATCGCTATGATGCGACAGAGAGAGGCGATGCATACGTACCGGCCGAGCGTCGCGCGATCTTGAGTGTAGGGTGGTGGTAGGCGCACCCGTAGCCCTCGCCCCGAGACGGATTTTTCGAACCACGTTTCCGGGGCGCGGGAACTGTTCCGAAGGGTGGTCCAGGCACCGGATGATTCGCCCAAAGTGCTTGGTCGGCAGTGCCGAGCGTGGGGAGGCTGGCACGCGAGTGGCGCTTGTGAGTGCACTGAAATCGCGTCTTGGGTCGGTTTTTTGTTGAAACTTGGCAGATCGCCGCGAAACCGGCAGCGATCTGAGCGGAAATGGTCGTAGACTGTGTTGATATCAATCAGAACGTGCCCTGGTGCGTTCGTGTGGAGATATGAGCGAAAATACCCACCTGCGGCGCAGAGTTGCTCGCAGTTGCCCCCCTCGCCAGATGCTTCCCCCGCGTCGACGGCGGCGGTTCCGAGCTCGCGCGGGGTCCTGTTGATCGTCGGGTGACACCGCGGGCCGGGAGATCCTCGCGGGAGGGCCCGCACGGCCGTTCACGAGTCGGAGGAGCACTCGCACCAAGAAGCCTGCACTTCCCCGAGCTTGCGTCTCGCGAAGGCGCACGCGCAGCAAGTATTTCCGATGGCTGCCTCCATCGCCACATCTCGCCTGACCCATCCGCGATGTAGCTGCCCGGCACAGCGCGTACGCGAGCTTCACGTCGTGTCCTGCCACACGCATCCTGTGCAGCAGCCCTTCTCAGACTCGGCGCTGGCCCCGCCGATGAGCTCGCCAGGCCGAGCTCGAAAGCGGACGAAAGAGACGGCGGACGGCGGACGGCGGACGGCGGACCTGGAGACGCACCCCAGGATCAGCAATCCGCAAAGCGCATCCACGCTCGGCTGCTCCGCCCCTCCCCCATTGCCCCTCGCCGAGGCGTGCTGTGCCGCCGCCTGTCGTCGGAGAGCGCACCATGAGGCGACGGGAGGTTCGACGGCGGACATCAGAGTGGGGGGGCGTTGCGACGCAGAGTCGGGCATAGGCTCGCTCGCACAGATGGCCTGAGGGCTCGCGGACGTGCAGCCGGGCGACTTCTTCCGCTCCCCGAGGCGCGCGCATCTCGTACCGGTTCTCTGCAGTGCAACGCAGGCTTGTCAGCTCAGGGGGACGCAAGCTGAGAGGGGAAGCCTCTGACCTGGGCGGAGAGAAGGACGGGCCTGGCTGCTGTACCATGTGTTTGTCTCGCCCGTTCGAGCGCGGTTCTCCTGTTGCGGGGCATTGCATATGACCCCGCTAGCCGGCGGTCGCGTCGCCCGAGCCCCGTACGCGAGAGCGGGGGGAGGAACCTCTGGCGGCGTCCCTCCCGCCGGCTTGGTCCCGCATGTGAATCCACCCATGTTTTTCGTCCGCTAACCTTTGAGCTGATCAGTGCGCGTCGTCCTGGCACCACAGAGCAGCGAACCGACGTACCTCAAGAGACCGCACAGGGCCACTGGTACTGCGTTCGCTTCTTGCACGAGCGCGTGCGCGCGGCGAGAGCCGACTATGCGGCGGGTGATGTGGAGGTGCGGAGGCTGGCGGAGTGCAGCTGGCGGGCCAGCTTCTCGGTACGCGGGTGAACGGCGTGAATCGCTCGGGGGGTTCGTTCGCGACGCGTCGGGGAGGGCGTGGGACGTGCTTGCCGAATGATGAGGCAGGTGGAACTGCAACATTCGGGCCAGGGACGTGGCCGCTTGCGGGTGGCGTGGCGTCCCGAGAAGGATTGCCATGTTCTCTGTCATCTGCGCAGACGCGGAGGGGAGAGCTTTTCTTTCGGGAGCGTCCTGCAATGTGTGCGGGGTGCGGCTGAGCTGAAGGCGAGGCGATCTCCGAACGCGGCGGGGCGAACGGGTCGTGATCTGAAAAGGGGGCGGGGGGTTGTAGTGAGCTTGGAGAAAATGCGGACAAAAGGGAAAAGGGGACCGGGTATCTGCAGCGGGCGGACCGGGTATCTGCAGCGGGCAGCACGTCTCACAGGCTCAACCCGCAAGCGTAGAGGGGGGCTAGAGACTGATGAGCGAGGATGGATGTGAGGGCGACTTACCGGTGACAAACGCGGTCCGAGGGCTCATCTGAGCTGCAGCAGGCTTGTCCGAGCCTGTGACGCGTCTTGCCAGTGCCGCCGAGGCCAGGAGCGAGCCGTGACGCGCTCAGGACGGCCGCTAAGCGAGGGAGAGGGAGCAGCAGAGAGCAGCCAGGACGCGTCATGGCCGCGTCCTCGATTGGCCGGACACGCTCGAGCGAGGGCGAGAGAGGGCGAGCGAGGCCAGAGCTGGTGCAGAGCAAGCACAGAGCGAGCATGCACAGAGCGAGTCCACCGTCGCCTGTCTGCTTCAACTCGAGATGCCCTGACCGCACTCGGTGGCCCACCGGCCCAACGGGCGTCTACGCCCCTGGCCAATCCCCGCTTCGCCCGTCGCCATCCTCCCTTTTATTCTCTCTCCTCCCACCCCAATTATCTTTTGTTGCCTGTGCCCGTCGTTGGTCCCCGTCGTGCAGCATCATGCGCGCTGGATATCTGCCCGCTGTGCACGACGGCCCACGGCGGACTGCGGCGCCTCCCCTCCCTCGGCCGCACCGGATCGATTTGAATGCTTCCAGGACCGTCGCTCAATCCGGCAACTCTCACTTACCATGCCCCCTTCCGGAACATGCACTCTATACATACATGTGCCCGTCGTCTTCCATTCTCATGACTGCATCACCGAGGACTATCATCCCGCTCTCTCCACCGTGCTCGACCCTCCGCGCCGCGTCCGCACGACTGGAGCCCCACGCGTCGCAGCGCCCCCAGCGTCGGCGAGTTCGCTGGTCTGCCACACGGGCTGTGCACGCGCCACCGTGCAACACAACCCAACCCGACCTCAGCGGAGGCGGCCGCGGATGAGTCGGACTCGCATTCGGAAGTCCCATCGTACCGCCCTTGCACGCGTCTAACGATTATT